TAAAATATTTATTTGATGTTGGAAAGTTGTGTAAAAGGAAAACATATTGATAGTTTTGCGCACAAATGACTTACGAAAGATATAAATGCCATATGAAAATAGGCTTACAAAATATGTGAAGTCTAAAACATTTTCGAACATATAGAAGATGTTTAAAATGGTTTAGAGTTATGTGAAAGGTCAGCATCGTCAAATACTGAATGCATCCTATCGATACCTCTTTATTTCCGACACACAAGAAAAATGTGTCTTTACTAATCAACAATTTTCCAATGAGTACATGACTATAATTAATCATGTACACATTGGCAATTGAAGATTGTTTAAAATTAGTGAAAGACAAATGTATCATTGTGTATAAATGAAGAATGAAAAATCATCAATTCAAAACGTAAATATCGCTAATCGCTATGGAAAATTGAATCTCTAAATCAAACTATCAGTTTTTTTCAGTTACTGTACAATTGTATTATGAAGAGATCTACTGTATAAAGAGACATTTTCGCCCCCGTTTTATTTTCGCCCCTTTCGCCATACTCACAGGTGGGCGAATTAAAGGAACACGGTATAATTCCTTAAACAAAAATATGACTGGGCGAATATAAAACGGGGCAAAACTGTTAGCAAGTATGAAAGGGCGAAAATAACAATGGGCGAAATTAACCTTTATACAGTATACATGTATATTATAGATTTCCATGTATACTATATTGTTTGAAAATAATTGTATGATTGGGGTCATATATAACTAGTGTTCTCAAAAAGACATAAAATATGATCGTAAACGCCTTATCATTTCTGTTTGAAATCTTTTGATCATATATACGATTACTTAGTAATTTTAAAACTTTATTTTTTTTTTTTACAGAAAGAAGTGTGGAAACCCTTTCTTTCCTATTGTTAAGAGGGTTGCTTCATTTCTCATTTACATTGTAATTTTATGTTACAATGCCTGTTTTAACTTTATGTATCTATTATAATTTTGATTATTTCATGTCACATAGTGTGCGCTCTGTCAATCAAGGAATTATTGTTACATATTTGTTGTTTATTAGCGAAAGGAAACAGTTAAATTTATCAATCTATAGCTAATTCCAAATTTCAGATTTTTCTGAATATTTACTGCTTTATTAATTTATATGCTTTTGTTATAATAAAATATTGTTTACACTAACTATTATAAGAAATACAAAATAATTCATGATTCGTGTCCGGTCCACATCCTTCTTATGGATAAACTTAGTGAGTTCCCATTTTACACATAGATTGCTTATAACCTGATAGTGTGTCATGACGTTGACCCAAGGTCATTTGTGTAAGTTCAAGGACACTGACAGAAAAAGTTCATAATTTGTGTGTTTCCGTATCTTCCTAATGGAGAATAATGTAGGGAGTATCCACGTCACACAAAGATTGCTTATGACCTGAGGGTGCGTCATGATCTTGACCTATAGTCACTGTAGAAAAAAAATGGATGAATAATTCATCCATACTTTCCAAATAAAGGAATACTTGAAAAACTGTTATTTAGTTTTTCAATGTAATAAAAGCAACGTTCTTATTAGTATTGATGTTTTATTAGGATGCGCCTTAGTTTCATTCATTAAAAAAAAATATAGTGGTGAGCCTAAAAATAACTAAAGAGCGATTAAAAGAATTTGAAAATGAATAAATGATATGACAGAATAGATTTTTGGACTAGCATATTATGAACAGGGGCTCATGGATTTTAATAAAGAATATTATATAACAGACGTAGTCGCAAAACAAAACCCAGCTGGAATCGATAGAGCAAAAGCCATGACAAAGAACTGGATATGATGGGCAGAGAATGATTAGTTAGGTGTTGGCAACTTGGAAATATATGCACAGTGTAAAGATATGTACAGTGTACATATATTCAGAAAAGTTGGTTCGTTTTGTTTGCACCATGGTTGACATTAGGGCAGACAAGGTTTAACGTTCAATTTTTAGGGGAAGAAATCGAGAGGATTAAAAAAAGTCGGAATTCCTAACTTCTCACTCCCAGTAAGTTAAAGAAAAACAAGAGGCCCATGGACCACATCGCTCATCTGAGCACTTTGGCTACAGAAAAGCAGAAATCAGTTCAGTATTAAAAGGTTTACATATATGTGGTCCCTCTTAACCCCCTCCCGAAGGAAAGGAGGAGGGGTTCATGATTTGAACAAACCCGAATCTACACTCCCTGAGGATGTTTGCATATAAATATAACCAATTATGACTGTGCTGTTCTTGAGAAGAAGATTTTTAAAGATTTTTGCTATATATCTTGAGACCTTCTAATGTAAAACTTTGATCCTACATTGTTCAAAGCCCTACCCTACCCCCGTGGTCATGATTTGAACAAACTTGAATCTACAGTCTTTGAGGATTCTTCCATATAAATATGACCAATCATGACTAAGCTGTTCTTGAGAAGAAGATTTTCTTAGAAGATTTTATTCAGTCTACACTTTCTTATGTAAAACGTTGATCGCCCATTGAGGATCCACTCTACCCCGGGGTCATGATTTCAACATTAAACTTGAATTTACACTACCTGATGATGTTTCCATATAAATATGACTAATCATGGCTTTACTGTTCTTGAGAGGAAGACTTTTAAAGATTTTTTCTACATGTGTTCTTAGTAAAACTTTAATCGCCCATAGTGGCCTCACCCTACCCCTAGGGGCCGTGATTTGAATAAATTTGAATTTACACTAACTCAGGATGCTTCAGTTTAGATATGACTAACCATAGCTTTGCTCTTCTAGAGAAGAAGATTTTTCCTAAATATTCCCATTTAAAACTTTGATTGCCCATCATAGCCCCACTATATCGTCTCGGGTCATGACTTGAGAAAAACTTGATTCTACACTACCTGACGATGCTTCCATATAAATATGACTATTCATGAATTTGTTGTTCTTGGAAGAAGATTTTAAAAGATTTTTTTTCTATATATTCTTACGTAAAAAAAATTTATTGCCCTTTTGTCCCCACCCAAGCTACCCCCGCGGGGATATGGTTCCAAAAAACTTGAATTTACGCTTTGTCAGGAAGCTTTCATATAAGTCTTCAAGCCAAGCCCAGTGATTCTTGAGAAGATTTTTAAATGAACCTACTCAATTTTCACTATTTGTCAATTTATCTCTCCTTGGAAGAGGACGTGGCCCTTCATTTGAACAAACCCCTTACCCAAGTATACGTGCCAAGTTGCTCGTGATTCTTAAGAAGAAAATGAAAAATTTGAAATTGACATTTATTGTCATCACCACAAAGCATTTCGATGTATCTGAGTAGTGTTTTCCCACTCTTCTTAGGAATTGATCTTGAAACAGATGCCATAAGTTATGCAAAAGCCAAAACATTCACTTTCCACAAGTGCTATTTCCTGGATTTATATATGGCAATTTAATCAAACTTGGGCAATTTATCATGACCTTTATTAATGATGAATTGTAATATATACAAGTAAAAGGTTAAAAGCAAGATTTTGTTCCCCAGAGTTGATGCGGAAGGAAATGCGTCAATCTAATTAAATTCAGATTTCTTAGATCCTTATGTACTTTATATATGCCTTATATACACTCTTACGCAGAGTGTATACGGCGCGGATCTAAGAATTCTGATTTTAATTAGATTGGAAAATAGTTCTTATGAAGAGGAGGGTCGAAAAACGACGTTTTTCTACAAAAACCTGGTTCCCAGCATTACTAGCTCCTGTATTTTAAACCAAATCTGTTATGGAATATGATTACATTATTCTGCAAAAACCTGTAGTGATTTCAAGAAACCCTACTTAGTCAATTAATTTTCATTTTTATCCAGGAGCCAACTGTAGGCAGAACACCACGTTTTTGTACCCCAAAAATCTGGTTCCCAATTCCTCTTACATTTTTGGCGGTATCCATTTAAATCATTCGGAATGTGATTATTGGTATCCTGTAAATGTACATTAAAGTTTTGAATGGGGGGGGGGGGCAAATTTTGTTCGAAACTTCATTTTTTTTTTTTTTTGGCCTTTTGTAAAGACAAAAACATTCTTGCTTCATTAAGGAAGCTCTAAACACTGCACACTAAAGAGTTCTATTTGTAGGGTAGTTTTATTCAGATGGAGTGATCTGTCCTTTAGTTAGAAGAAAAATATAATAAACTGAAATTTACTGTTAATGACACAATTTGTAATTAATTATAAAGTATTCTTAACGTTATATTAGACGGAGATTAAGTAATTGAATTCATTATTTCCATTAATTTTCTCAATGTAAGTGAATGAAAGTGATTTCTGTTTACAAAAATAGTTCATTGTCTTTGAACATTTTTCCTGGAGAAATAATGCAGGTACCCTATGTTGAAAATGAATTAGAAACACTGAATAGGAGCAGCATTTTATGATACATTTTCTCAAAGTCCAAAAAGCATTTTTCATTAGTATTTAGAGCTTCGTTAAATTCTTGAATTTCAGACTGATAATGGATGTACCATGCAGGTATTATATGAAATGCTAATATAAGAGGTCCATGGACCACATGCTCAACCTAGCATTTTTTACTCAGTTTGATAAATCCTCGTCTGAGCAATTTGATAAATGTATATAATTTGCAGCATAATTATTCCGGCTTAATTTCCCGCTATATTTACCCAGGTGCGAAAGAAGTACGTGTCCATTTAGAGGCAAATACTGTCATGCATGTCAGCATATTTTTTTTTTATTTTTGTTTTTTTGGTTGCAGGTATAATGTTGAATCACTGGTAAATTCTATTTTTTGTGGGCCTATATTGTTACACATCTCTGTCATGGCCATCACACTTCAGTTTCTATAATAAATAAGGGACCGGTTCACTGTGATTGTAAATGATACAGGATGCAGCCAGAGCATATAGAGATTCTACAGGAAATCGCTGCTCTTCATTTGCCACAGTGCAATAAACCCTAAGCTACTCAATGACTTCTGATCGCCTTTAATTTACTAATGTACTTATTTCCCGGCCATTCGACGAGCTATCACGCTTTTGACATCATAGACAAAGACAGCACTACTACCGAGAGAAGAGAAACGGTCAAACCTAAAGATCACGTAAGTTTGCTTTGTTGAATCAAATAATTAAGAGTCTGTCTTGTTATATTGTTATACCAAATTTGTCACAAAGAACAAGTATGTTATTTTAAGAAATGTTCATTCATGGTCAAACGCCAAGGTCATGAGGAAGTTCATTTTAAACATTGCCTTAAAATTTTATTACAGCAAACACAAAAAAATGGAAGTTATCAAAGATTGTTTTCCTTTCATCTTGTTATTTCATAGTAAATATTCGTTTTATCATAAGAATGATTGAAATTTTGACTTACTTCATGATCCTGGGCCAGACTGACAAAACCATGATATACATATTTAATATGCATATCATCCTAGAAGTTCTTCTGGGATGCAGGAGTTAAGAAGGGCAAGGTGAATAGGTATATCTTCTACTGGACACAGTACATTTTATTTGTTTATTATTTATTGTACTGAAGCCAGACGAATCGAATTTTATTAATTCTACCAAGACAAATGAAGACACTGAAACCCAAGATCAATTGAATTATTTAATTTGCATTATGCTGTTTCTCGTTTAAAAAAAATTAAAGTAGATTTTTTTTTTAAATGATTTAGATCGGAGTAGCCCCAACACACGGATACATTCAGAAACAACCAAAGAACTATTTCTTTGAATCTGTTTTAACTTTTCTATGCTTTCCACCTACTGCAATTGCTGCTGTTTTCTTTGCATTAAAGGTAAGTTAGGATTTTAGATATGTGATTAGTTTAATGTAAAAGAATTTTTTGCTACAATTCTTTTTTTTTAAATAATGACTTCAGGAAGGATACATTAAAGCACTATATTAAGAATTATTTCCAAGAAATTTAAATAATGCTTTATACAGCAGAACATTACGTGACAATATGATTTTCGTTATCGATATATATTTAATCTTTGCAGGTTAAACGTTTGTGGAGCTTATATAATTATCCTGCAGCATACAATGCTTCAAAGAGAGCAAGGAATCTCGCACTTATTTCGTTTTTATTTGGACTTATTATGTGGATTGTGTTATTGACACTGTGGAAAATAAAATTCAAAAAGTGACTAAAACCAAAGTAAAACTGCTTCTACGACAGAAATTGCAGATTTTAGTTCCTTATACAGACTTGCAATTAAAACCAAGAACGGATAAAAAAAAAACAAAATGTTGCTAAATAAATTATTGTCACTGAGAACAATACTATTGTATTGAGAACTTCCTTTTTAATATGCACGTGAAAACAATAAAGGTCTTGTATTTATCTGATGTATGAGGGACGTGTGTAGAAGTGTATCTCCTTTCCTGACGTTCTTTGGTTGAGCAAATTATCATCGATTATGCAGTTTGGATTCGGTGGATATCAGAATTATGATGCAGAGCAGAGTGATAGAGAAAAGAAAAGGCTTAAAAAGAAAGAACCAGAGGTAAGACATTGAATACGTTTTCATAAGGAGTCTTGCACTGATGTCCTAATGAAGAATTCGCTTCGAGCCCCCCATAACATATATTTTAAAAAAATTTAATACAAATTTGCCGGTGTAACGACGAAAAATGACCCCCGTAGAATATTGACCAGGGGGTCAAATTTCTACGTAGAAAAATGATCCTGGGTCAATATTCCATGACGAGTAGGGTCATTTTTCGACCGTAGAAAACCCTCCCAGGCCGGTAATTCTACGACTCCTCTCACGTTGAAAAATGACCCCCATAGAAATCTGACCCCCTACTTTTTCACAATATTATATAATAAAACCTGTTAAAAAAAAACTTTTAGAGATGAGATATGATAAGCGTTAATTTTTCCCCAAGAAAATTTCAACATATATGTGGACGGATGAGAAAAGAAAAAATATTTTGTTTTCTGGAGGTAGGAAAAAATTGAGTCGGACCATTTTAGCCAGTCGGTCGGGAGAAGGTTAACAAACATTTTTTTAAAGATGGCCTTGGCTTGTCTCCAAATCATTCACTGCAGTTACAGAATTTCTAAGATGTTTTCTACCTCCTTCCCCAGTCCTTTTCATAATTTAAGGAGGAATGCCACACCAAAATTTTATTTAATAGATCTTTAAGACATCCCTTTTAAACTATGGTGCAGCACTGAAAGACTGATATTAGCTCTTAATTATTTAATAAGATTTTTGGGTATTTTTTCTGAAAAAATGAAAAAAAAATTTACTTGCAAAGATGCTTATTTTAAACAAGAGGCCCAAGGTCCTTAACGGTCACCTGAGTATAATACAACAATTTAGAAGTTAAATACACTGACAGATGAAGCTTTGTTGCCCTAAAGCAAGAGAAGTAGGAAGATCAGGATAACAAAATAATTAGTCTAGTATTCAGTATCAACTCATAACTTAAGTTCTAATCTGTCCCACACTTAATATTATCACCATGCAGACTATTAACAAACTATTATTGCTTCTGTACTATTTTTAAACCCATATTAAGACCTCTAGCATTGACCTCTCTTATGGTCTTTGAGGAACTTTTAATAAGATAAGTTATTTTTGTCTCATTTTTACTTATCTATTACTTACAGGTCTGCCTGATTATTAAAACTAAGAAAGTACTTTTTGAATTATACGATAAACATTCTTGCATAATTATCTTATTCTAATAATCTTTCAAATACATTATTTACAGTGATTAATTATCAAAGGTGAATGGAAAAAGGGAATAACTTCTCTCAGTAGAATACAAATTAATAGAGCCCTGTCCAGGACCAGAATGCTTAGACAAATTGTCTGGCACTTTGTTTGCACTTTCAAACATCTGGTAGAAATACGCTTACTTATATCATTTAAACTTTTACTCAGTTTGCTTTCGATATGCCCAGAAGCAGAGAAGAATTTCACAGGTACAATGCATTTTCACTACAGATTCAACAAAGCCGTACCCTAACACCAGAACCCAAGACCAAAGGTCAAGAAATTTACAAATTTGGAAGAGTTACCCTCATCATCATAACTATGGACTTCAAAGAATTAACACTTTTCCACTATATTATCAAACACCCCCCCCCCTCCTTCCTCGTTATGCCAGAACCCCTGGCCCTAGGACCACAAGATTTAAAAATTCTGTTCGAAGCTCCCATCTTCATCATAGCTAAGCAATTTATTTATCAGCTCAATACTAAGGAGCAGACAGGATTAGTTAATGATTAATTAATAGAATTAATGCATTTTCACTATATAATCAATAGAGCCCCCCCCCCCCCCCTCCTCAAGAACCCCAAAAACTGAGGCCATGTATTTAAAAATTTTGGAAGAGGCATCCTTGCCTATCATAATCATGCACTTTGTTTGTTTAAATAATCTCCAGTAGCAAAGAAGAAGATTTTCATAGAATCAATGCATTTTCACTATATAATCAATAGAGCCCCGCCCTAACACCGGAACCCCTGACCCTGGGGCCATGAAATTCACAATTTTTAAAAAAGCATCCTTATGCATCATAACCATGCACTTAGTTTGTTTAAATAATACCCAGGAGCAGAGAAGAAGATTTTCAAAGAATTAATGCATTTTCACTATATAATCAATAGAGCCCCGCCCTAACACCAGAACCCCTGACCCAGGGGGCCATGGCTTTCACAATTCTGGAAGGGGCCCACCTCCTCATCATAACTATGTACTTAGTTTATCACCTGAATGCCCAGGAGCAGAGAAGAAGATTTTCAAAGAATTAATGCATTTTCACTATATAGTTGATAGAGCCCCGCCCTAACACCAGAACCCCTGACCCTGGGGCCATGAAATTCACAAAGTGGGAAGAGGCTCTCTTGCTCATCATAACTATGTACTTAGTTACTTAATTTAATACCCAGGAGCAGAGAAGATTTACAAAGAATTAATGCATTTTCACTAGATAGTTGATAGAGCCCCGCCTTAACACCAGAACCCCTGACCCTGGGGCCATGACATTCACAATTTTGGAAGAGGCACTCTTGCTTATCATAACTATGTACTTAGTTACTTTACTTAATACCCAGGGGCAGAGAAGAAGATTTTCAAAGAATTAATGCTTTTTCATTATATAATCTATAGAGCCCCGCCCTAACACCAGAACCCCTGACCCTGGGGCCATGAATTTCACAATTTTGAAAGAGGCTCTCTTGCTCATCATAACTATGTACTTAGTTACTTTATTTAATACCCAGGAGCAGAGAAGAAGATTTTCAAAGAATTAATGCATTTTCACTATATAATCAATAGAGCCCCGCCCTTACACCAGAACCCCTGACCCTGGGGGCATGAATTTCACAATTTTGGAAGAGGCACTCTTGCTCATCATAACTATGTACTTAGTTACCTTATTTAATACCCAGGAGCAGAGAAGAAGATTTTCAAAGAAATAATGCACTTTCACTATATGATCTATATAGCCCCACCCTGGGGCCATGAATTTCACAATTTTGAGAGAGGCACTTTTGCTCATCATAACTATGTACTTAGTTACTTTATTTAATACCCAAGAGCAGAGAAGAAGATTTTCAAAGAATTAATGCATTTTCTCTATATAATCAATAGAGCCCCGCCCTAACACCAGAACCCCTGACCCTGGGGCCATGAATTTCACAATTTTGGAAGAGGCACTTTTGCTCATCATAACTATGTACTTAGTTACCTTATTTAATACCCAGGAGCAGAGAAGGAGATTTTCAAAGAAATAATGCACTTTCACTATATGATCTATATAGCCCCACCCTGGGGCCAGAACCCCTGACCCTGGGGCCATGAATTTCACAATTTTGGTAGAGGGCTCAATGCTTATTACAATTATGCCAACAGTTTGACTGCTTGATGTCCAGGAGTAAAGAAGAAGATTTTAAAGATTGCATTATTTTTGGTGGTTTTAGCCCCACCCCTCAGGCCCCAGGGGGGCAGGGACCATGAAATTCACAATTTTTGTTGCCCTTTACCCATAGATGCTATATGCCAAATTTGGTTGAAATTGGTTAAGCGGTTTCAGAGAAGAAGCTAAAAATGTTCAAATGTTAACGCACGATGACGGACGAGAACGGATAGCAATAGGTCACCTGAGTGACTCAGGTGACCTAAAAAATCAAATTTGATGTAAATCGGAAAACTCTTTCAGTCATGTACACAACCTTTCTTAGATCCTAATTAGAATATGCTTCCTTGGTGTGGGGTGGATGTAATGTAGGCGATAGCGAAAAATTAGCTCTTAACTCTATTTGCTTCTAAAGATGCACTATACTTTGAAACTGGATGGGAACCATTACATGAAAGAAGAAAAAACAATAACCAAGTTCCTGAGTATCTAACTGATATAATCCCAAATTTGCGTTGTAATTCATCAAGTTACAGTACGAGAAATTCATATAACTATAAGATACCTAAATACAGATTGCAAACATATAAGTCAACTTTCATCCCCTTGTTACTGACGAATTGAACTCATTACCTCTTATTGTGAGAAATTCTTCCTCATTGTCTATCTTTAAAAAGTCCATTTCTTACAATAAACCTATGCCACCCTCTTATTTCAGTTACGGGATTCGACGCTTTAATAAATTTATTACATACAAGGCTTCGACACAACTGTGTGCTTAATAGCGATCTTTTTCGATGTAATGTAATTTTGAGTCCCCTATGTTCTTGTAGAAGAGTGGAGGATACTCATCATTATTTCTTTTCATGCAAAAAATATGCAGAGGCCAGAAAAGAATTTTTTGACTCATTTCTGCGAATGGGAAAATTACATACTGTTGATACTCACACTTTACTGTGGGGAGATGAAACGTTAAACGATGTTGAAAATGAATACTAATTTTCCACCGTACAAACATTTATTAAAAAGTCAGGTTGTTTTTTTTTTTTTTGTTTTTTTTTTGGTTGATACAATTATTACTTTTTACGAATTCTATACAGCTTGTGTATTATGTAAGAAATATATTAAATTGAATATTGTTCCTCTGATTATTATGTTTTTCTGTGTTTATTTATTTTAAGCTGAAACCATTATATGTAAATATGTTTGGTATAATTTATATGTAGGGAAAGGGCGTATTAATTTTTTAGATCTTTTGCCCAATCCCATTTGTAAAGTTAATAGACAATAAAATATACGTTCAAATCAAAGATGCTTTATGGTTTAAAATTTGCTATTAATAAATGCATAATATGAATGTCTAATAAAATATGACATTTTAATTTTTTAAATTAAATATTATTTATGAAAATAAAACACAAAATTTGTAAATATTTTTTGTACCTATGGATAAAATCTTCATAAAACTAGTCACAACTAGGGAGAATATGTTAGTCAATTATATTTTGAAAAGAAATTGAAATGAAATTGTTAAATTGGTTTTTTTTTTATGAAAAATTGTGGAAAAAATCTTATAAAATAATTGAGAGTTAATATCGGCCTTTTAATACTGAAACCATAGTTTAAAGGGGATGTCTTAAAGATCTATGAAAAAAAATTGGTGTGGCATTCCTTCTTAAATTCTTGCTTCAGACTTCGAATTAAATGCTTACTTCAAGTGTTTTACAATTTATAAACTTTATCTCTATAATGTTATGTACAGTACATGTAGATAGAGGAGGGTTCCTATGCGCGACAGAGTCAACTTTGGTACAATTTTTTAAGCCCACAATTTGCTTGGCTTTTTTTTCTTCTTTGATTGAATGGCTCTATTACTTAAGTGAATGATTTTAATTTTCCCAGAAGCTTTGCTAGGACCTGTAATAAGGTGAACTTTTACTCAGATTACGTTGATAGCCCAACGGTTAATCATTTAACACTGTCCATTCAAAACCGTTTAGGAAATGTAGAAATCTATGGTTAGCGGAGTAGAACCATGCAACAAGTAAAGATTATACATAGTTTTATTAAGAGTACACATTTGAACAAACATCAAACGAACGTTTATATGCAATAAGAAAATATGAAATGCCGGATAATCCGTAGGACAACGAGTGAGTCGTGATGCAAGTGCATTTTGGTTTCCATTGAAAGCAACGACACGATGTCTGAACAAGATAAAAATTATGAAAATATAGTAAACTGGAAGCTTACAAGGGAAAAGGATAGTGAATGTCAAACCCTTATTTAATACTAGATCAAATAAAGGATATTTATAGACCTTCTCTCTGCATGTGGATGATTTAGGGCATTAGCCGCACATCTATTTTTCATAACGGTACAACAAATAATATCCAACTTAGATTTCAAGCTGACACATGTTCCTTGCATGTTAGTAAGCATATAAATATTGTTTTTCAAGCATAAAAAATTAAATGCGCAAACATATAACGCAATGAACAAATTGTGAACAGAGAAGCAGTATTTTCTATTGTTTGAAGTTATCGCCCTTATAATTTTAAATTACATTCATTTTTTTGCAAAAATATACAAATTTGCCAAATCCAGTTTAAAATAAAAAGATCAAGAATAAACATTTTATAATTTCTTTTCTACTAACAGTAAGAATTTTGTCTTTATTCTGGAATAGGTATTTTTTCCATTAATTTTATTGTAAATAACTTTAAAACATATACGTATTGTGCATATATATTAGTTTTTTTTTCACAAGTCCAAAAAAAAAGGAGTCAGACGGTAAAAAAAATAAAGAGAGAGGGAGTTAGTGGGGAGAGAAAGGGAGAAAGAGAGAGAGAGTGGGAGAACGAGTGAAAAGGGAGAAGTAGAGAGTGTGGAAGGGGAGGGAGAGAGTGGGGAGAGAGGGAGAGTGGAAGAGAGAATGTGGAGAGAGAGAGAGTGGGGAGGGGGGGAGAGAGAGGGGAGAGTGGGGACAGAGGGGAGGGAGAGAGGGGGAAAGAAAGTGGGGAGAGAGAGAGAGAGGGAAGAGTGGGAGGGGGAGAGAGAGAAGGGAGGGAGAGGGTAGAAGAGAGAGTTTAAGAGAGAGATGGGAGTAGAGAGAGTGGGGAGAGGGAGGAGAAGGATAGAGATGATATTAGCGTGTATAGACTTGTGTTAAATACATTGAGCTCTCTCTTTGTAAAAAGCCTTATTTTGTGAAGGCTTTGTTGACACTAACAAACAACAAAGGACACTGGGAAAGGTTTTGAGCTAATCACATTTTGTGCCCCTGATATCGAAGGTCAGAGGCATATTGATTCAGTCTTGTGTGATATTTTTAACATTTATATATTTCATATATTTAATTTATGATCCTATATTTTTATGAGAAGAAGTTTAAGACTTCATTCATAGAAATTAAAAGATAATTATGAGATCAAATTTTCTTAAGAATCGTTATTTAAAAAAAAAAAAAATGGGAAGAGTTTTAACATGTTAATCTTTCTAATAACTTATGAAGAAGAAAGAAGACTTTATTTTGATTTTTTGCACATTTCGATCATTAAAACTGTGGAAACTGAGAATTTTTAAGTTATTATTATTAAGGTATTCCATCCCTAATAGCAAAAGATTCAATGAAATTGAATACATATCAGATGTGTAGGTGTTGAATACTCAGTATATTTTAGACATAATTCCCATTTATTACTATTAGCATGGAAGGGTGGGATCTGTCCTAATTTATGATCTTGAATTTTGGTAATAGTTACCTGTTTTTAATTAATAAAAATATTAATCTTAAAAAATTATCTGGTAAAAAAAAAGTTTTCAATATTGTCGTTCTATTTCTAATATTTAATGCATCTTTCTACAACAATATTTATTGATATTATTATTTGAATTTTAAAAAAATTTCTTGTCCCCATAGACTTCAAAGCAATTTTTGCTAATTAATTACTGCTTAGTAAATTACATTTTTGAAACTTTCTATTCAAATTCCACATTTCTTCAACATAAGTCTTGCAGTAATATGTTCGAATTACAAGCAATGCTTCACTGGCTTTTCATCATTATTTTGTTATTTTTCCCCTTTTTATTCCATTATTCTATGGGGGTGTAGAAGGGGTGACCACTGTTATGTTTCACATAGTTATTGTGGTGTTTTATCCAAGACAGGACTGGCTGATCAGTTTGGCTACATCCTAACTTCACCAAAGGATTACAAAGCGGAAGCCATATTTGCCACCATTTTCTGCTGCCTTCCAATAGGACTGGTGGCTCTATTTTATTCTACAAGAGTAAGAATTTTCAGTTTACAATTTTAGGGACTTTATTATGCATGAATTAGTTAAGAATGGATGTATGAATTCCATCATGTTCAGTCATTTACTTTCTAAATATGTACAAGGTTGTTGCAGCAGCTCGATGTGTTGAAAAACAAGGATATTTTACTATAAGAAACAGTATAAATTTTGAAGAAAAAAAAATAATTTTATCAAAATGCTACCTATTACTGATACATTTTCCCCATAATGCCATTAAGTTCTTCCTTATTTGTAGGTAAAACATCACTACAAAAACAACAGACTGATAGCTGCCTACTCCTCGTCCAAGGTTGCACAGGTTCTCAGTATTGTTGCTACGTTAATCGGACTGCTATTGTGGCTTGCTGGTGTTATCGCTCTTGTGGTGTTAAAATAATTTCAGTGTCCAGATTAAGAACATGTGTATTAGGAAGAAATAACAAATAATGACATTAAATTAAAATACATTTATGAATGTGTGATTGAAAAATGACTTGTATAACATCTCCTTAATTTAAACCAATATATTATAATTATTCTGTACAAAAGTATTTAAAGTATTTAAAACAAAATAAAATCACGATATTGTAAATACATGTGTATCATACATTTCATTTGAAATTGTGATTTTTTTTCCCTGAACATAAAGACATGAGAAATAATCATATAAAATGTTTAAACCAATTTCGTGTTGAATTCAAATTATATTTCAGAGATTTACCAAAATCTACTGTTATTTACATACCTTCACAAAGATTCAAAGATTATCACAGTTAATATATTTCACTCACAATGACATTTCAGTGAATTGTACAGTATTCAAGTAAATATATTATATTCAAGCATTGATTAATATTGCACTAAAACTCTACAACTTGATGATCTTTTCAGAGAATGGTTTGATAACATGAACAAATAATTTTTTGTTGCAATTTTATATAATAAGTAGTTAAGTACAGATGTACATGTCATACTAGGTATTTGTGCAAAACAGTGCAAAAATAAGAAGCCATGTACATAAGTGGCAGTACATGTATATGGTCACCTCACAAAACTTAATGTTTTCAAAAAAAAAAAAAAAAAAAAAAAAAAAAAAAAAAAAAACCTGTATAAACTGTATTTAAAACAATGAAAGATGGCTTTTTAACTAAGAGTGATTTTTATTTTTTAACAAATCATTGTATTTTACAGACAAATAGATTTGCTGGTGTCTCTATTTTTACCTTTTTTTCTTTTTTATCAGTAGTTCTATTTCAAAAAAAAAAAATCTTTAAAAAAATGGGTTTTTTTTTCATATTCTTGTGCATGTAAATGACAGGGTTCATGGAACAAGTCACCTACAGGTGATTTTTTTTTTTTTTTTTTTTTTTTTTTTTTTTTTTTTTTGTGAAAAAGTGACTCCTCCCAAACAGAAAAAAATTTTTCCTATGTTATGCCATGCCCTACAGAGAGCACAGTAAAAGGAAAATAGCTTAGAATGGAGAATAAATGAGTTTTAAATAGAAATATGAGAAAAACAAAGCAACACAAAATATCATTTTTCTTCACTTAATCAACAACAAAAAATTATTACATATAATTTATTGCAAATTTCAACTGAACTAAAAGTAAAAAGCACCTTCTCTAAAATGTAGAAAAATCTTGACATGGAGAATTGTTGACAGACCAATCCAAATATCTCACATATCACATCTCTTTAAAATGTACTCAAATGTACAACAGGACAGCATATGAGTATTTGTCATTAAAATCTAATGATGATGTGAAACTGATTGAACTCTTGAGTGTACAGTGGTCACAATTAAAATGGAAATATTTATAAACCATAAAATGCAATAAATATTGAACTTGAAAATAAGAGAAGTAATCACAACTTTTCAAGTAAAATGACTTGACAATTCTTAGTAAATTTACAGTGTAAATTTGAACTATAAAAAGAGTGGGATAATCTCAATTCATATTTTCATGCACTAAAATAATTAGAAATTTCACTTTTTTCCCAACAATTTTACTGACAAGATCAATAATTAATTTGTCCTTCTTCCCCTGTTAAGGTTTACAATCCGATCTCTTAAGATGAAAAAAGGAGATTGTAACCCTTGGATAGTGAAGATATGTCTGTGCCATTCAAAAATGGTTCAAATAAATTTGTATTATTAATGAAATATTTTTTGGTATGAATTTTAGAGGCAGTTTAATATTAAAACTTTTACTACATGTACTCTTAGATATTTTGTCTAATGATTATTTTTTTAAAGAAAGAAAAATAAATAACCATGTGGCATCTGAGTCAGTCATCACTCATACAATAAGTCAGAATGACTCAAATAAAGAAAAACTAGAACTGTCCTAAAACAACCAATACTCCACAAGGAAACCAGAAAAAGGGTTCACTTTAAAATAGCTTTATAAGAGAACTTGGCCATCTTGTCGAAAAGTTATACTTAATTTAAGTATAAGTTATACTGCATGGCCTGAATCTTGTGGAAATGTAATACAATGTAATGATAAGAGGGTTGTAACACCTTTGGTTGAGAGCAACACTTAAGTTGAACACATAAATATATCAACAGTTCAAGCATCAAAATGTCATGGCCCAAAGAACATTTTTCTCAGTCGTTTCAAACTGGTATGCATGACCATGACTTTATGCTACTCCTCTTATAAAAGTATTGTCTTTTAGAATTTTATATTTCTAAGATACTTCTCTGACCTCTGTGACCTTGTCTTAATAACCTTTGATAAAAGGTCACGTCATATCAGATGATTATACATGTAATCAACCCTTAGGACAAAATGACCTTTGGAAGTTATTTCACTATAAAGTTATATTACGGACAAGAATTTTACACTTCAAATCCAGTGACCTTGACCCTGTCAAAATGATATGGTGAAGGGTTGTTACACACCCTTTGGTCACATTAAGCAGAATTAGTATCTAGTATAATCTTCTAAGCTTATGGCTATATGGCAAGAATTTAATACTCATGATCTTGACCTTGGACAAATCAAGTAACCTTTGACTCAGGCATAAACTTCTATGTTTTTTTTTTTCATTTCAAAGTTGTGGCTAAAACAGTAATAACTTTTGTACCTTGTGACCTTGACCTTGTCAAAATAACCTTGGTACTGGGCCAATGCACATTTCTGGACACAAGCTACATTTGTACAAAGTATGACAGAGTATAGAGATACTGGTATAAGAATTGAATAGTTTTGGAGATCATCACTAGACAAAAAATGTATACAGACAGATGGACAGACAGCTAGAGGGACATGGGGATTCCAGTATACTCCCCAAGTTTTGTTTGCAGGGGTATAATATTAGATTTTGTAAAATATAAAATACACAGAAAAAGAGAGATCTTCTAAATAATCTCTACAAAGATTATTTTTTCATTACTAAATTCTGTTTCATTGTTCTAACTTAAAATTATCCAAAGAAATTGAATTAACTACATTCTTCCCTGGTAGATATATGAAATAGATATTTATATTCTTGTTGCATTTACCATTCAGAAAAAACTTGAAATTAACACTAAAATGACAAAAATTACATAATATATAACAAAACAAAAATTAAAAAAAAAAACAGAAGAAATCTGCTCTAAATTATCTTGGGACAAAACAAACTGTAATGCAAAAGTAAAATATGCCTGAATGAAATCAATTCAAATATGTACATGTAATGTCACAGTTCAAATTAAAAGAATCTGAAAAAGAAAATTCAATAATACATACATGTACATTTATGTATTTTGGCACATAAACTCCATAAAGCATTTCTTGATGGTAAACATTCACCCAGTGGAGACAAAAAACACTTAAAATTCCATTTAAACTTACACAGTGATTAAATATTAGAAACAACATTGGATTGTAGAAATTTCTACATCATCAATCACTATCAATGCATGAATCAACAGGTATAGCGAGACTTGTCTCCCTTGACGCCATGCTCATCTTGAATTATAGATTGAGACAGAGTTAGCCCAAAAATAAAAGTTCCTAACACAATGAAGGCAAAAGAAAATGCTGTTATAGCCTTGAACTTTGTGGTCCAGTGACCTTGATCTCTGACCTTCTTCTGTACAGCTGACAAAACACACATTCCTGTAAAATATATACCAAAACACATATACAACATGTGTGTTAGGTGCCTAATTCATTAAAGTGAAGAGAACAAAAGATGTATGCACAAAGCAAATTTTATGGAAAACTGAAAGATCTAATGTATTCGTACACAACATATTGACAATATGCTTTTGAAGATAAGGGCTCTTTCTTTCATATAGATTATTAAAATTCCAAAGATGTCCTTTTTTCATGAACTATCATGCAAATTTTGTTGTACAATACAAATGTTGACAGTTCAATTGTAAAGTTACTTTTTGTAGAATTTTGAGTTAAAACATAAAAAAAAACTTTACCTGGAAATATAAAAATAAAGATGGCAGCAAATGCTCCTAGAATCTGTATGACAACTCCTATGTTTGGTATAAAGACGGCCAGAGCCAATGTTAGGACAAACCAGATAATGGTGACTGTTATACGGTGCTTAAATTCTGTCTGTTCAATTCGTTCTGGACTCATTTTAAAGAAGTCTCTCCATAGACAATCAAAAGCAGCCCTGAAATTTAAAATCAAAATTATATGATTACTGAAGCTTACCCTTTCCCCCTTTTTTACAAAACTGGTATGTTAGTTTTTTCCTAAATTTTAATTCACATAGAAGTTATCACCAATTCATTTAACAAGAGTGATGTTATAAATTCTGAGAGACAACAGTCTTTCTATTTTCTTTGATAAAAAATGATACATCAGGCCCTTGAAGACCATAAACTGAGAATAGACTTAAGTCAAAATTTTTATTTTTAACATCTTGAGTTTAATGTATTTGCTCAAAAATTTGCAATTTTATAAAACATTTAAATTCAAATACATAATAAAAATTTTGTTTTATTATCAAAATTATTTCAGAAGTTATATTGGCTTGAAATATTGACTTAAGTCTGTTCTTAGTTTATGGTCTTGGGGCTAGTTGTACTTTGTGTCAACTGCAGCAGACACAGTTCATGGGATAATAAATTTTAACACTCTCATTTTTCATGGCTGAATAAATTTTGTTTTTTTTTCTTTTGGCAATACATATGCATTGTTTGTACATATATTACTTTGGATACCATATAACCATCAAATTTTTGCTTTTTTTAGTGATGGTCTTTGCAACACAAAAAATAAAAGTGCTAATAATTACATCATAAATATTGTCTGATATAATAAAGATCATTATCCCTAAAATTGCTAAAAATGATCTATGCTAATAATAAATTCCCACTTTTTGGGATAAATATAGCTAATTTTGCTGATTGCTAAAATAACCTGCTATACAGTATTTTCATCATTAATTGATGGCAAAAATTTTCCACAGTTTTACCTGCCACAAAATAGAAGAATGGGGTATGTTGTATAGGTCTTGATGGCTATCAACAGAACAGCTATAATGACTGATGCATCAGGGTCATATGACAACAGGATGTCTGTGGTGATCATATTGCCAAAAGTCAAATAACCAAAAGCAGCAGTTCCTGTGTAGTTTAGAACACACAAAAACATAGCAACAGCCACTGTCTTAGAGAATTCTCGCAGGCTTCGATTCTCCATGCACGAATAGATTGGAATAATACTGACATGACACTGAAATGATTAATGAAAATGTTCAATGCAAAAGAGTTGAATCTGAAAAGGGGGAAATGAAACTGCATTTGAAGAGTTGCTCAGTTTTCAAAAGGTTGAAAAACAAATTTAAATTTTTGAAAACATTTTAATTCATAGATGATGAATAAATTAAAGCTAGAAAATAAAGCTACATTAATGTAAGCTAGCTGTAATAATGCAACCCTCTTCATTTTTCCTCCCTTAAATGTCAGATTAAAAAAAAAAGAGGACCTCATGACTGTAAGCTTACCTGATAGGAAAAACAAATAGTAGGGACAACCAGGAAAACATCCTCCCAGTGTAGAGGCCTGAAATATGGAAGAAAAAATGTCAACATGTATCTAATACAAAGAATATCAAATCCACTGCTGGATGTGGACACTGTCCTGTGTTGCAGTAGGTGTTGGCATGAAAAAGATCCCTTTATAGGTATAAATTTGCAGCCTGCTACAGGCAAGTAGTGGCATCTCCATATGAGTGAAAAATCCTTGAGAGGGATGTTAAATTACAAACAAAGAATATCATAACTATCTCACCATGATTTCTCAGTTCTGAGTATCCAAAAATTATTTTTTTTTTTAAATTCCATACAAACAGCATACTTCTCATAAATTTATTATTAGTAATGATATACAATGTACCAGTTATCCTTTGTAGAATTAAGAGAAGGTCAGTTTTCAAAACTGGGTCATTATACCTACAGATTTATGTCCCTTTATATATAAAAACATCTGACTCCGATAAGGAAACCTTTTCACAGACTTTCAAATTACACTGTATTTCATATTAATTAAATTTTTCACTTACTTCAATAAGCTAATAAACATGACAATTAAGACATTTTTTTAATTGATAAGAGTGAAGGAACAATAACTACTCATTAAGCTTTTCTATAGAAATTTGAATTAATGTTACCTGGTAGCAATTGGTCCTGGTTCAGGGTGAGGTCGGAAATATTTTATTGTCACAAGAGCAACAACATAAAGTATACCAATTACTCCTATAACACTGGAATAAGAAGACATTACAATTTCAAGAGCAACATAAAATATTGTATGCAGACAGATGCACTAGCAAGCTTTTTTTTTTCTTTACTAGAAGATTCAAGGTATCAATTTCACAATAAATTAGTAGATCATAATATTATTATTATGAATCAACTTTTATTCTCTTGCAAGAAATATTCCTGAGTTTCAAGACCTTATTTCACTTGCAGTATTTCTTGACATGAACTGTTTATTTTATTGTGCATTTATGTAGAATATTTTCTCAGTCATGAAAATTAGTTGTTGCTGATGATAGATTTCATTCATTTTCAAACTGAATAATAGTTGGTATTTAGTATACTATTCATTGTCATATCACAATATGTACCATCATCTCAATTGCTGGTGATCATTCTTATATTAAGTTAAAACAAACCTCGCATATTTTAGAAAGTCTATCCTCTTTGGGAAACATAAAGGAAGAATGAGAAGGGCTGAAGACACACAAATGGTCGTTATACGATCCATGTACCATGGACTGTGATTACAATACCAGTCATGAGCAGAAAAAAGGAAAACTGAAACATTAAAGAAACAACTGAAATTACATTATTCAAGATAATAAGCAGCAATAGCATTGACAAACTAGAAATATGTCCACAGGACATGAATGCTCCGCCAAGAGTATATTAGTAATGCAACATGAAAATTTGTATTAGTGTATGAAGTTTGATGCGAATATTTTCTTTAAAATTGAAACTGAAATCTAAAAAAAATGGATATAGATGATAAATTCTCACCAAATTATGTATAAGTATATAAGCTTACATAAAAATATCTTAAATGGTTTCTTAAAAACTGAGCAATATGTAAATTTAAGAAAAGTGAGGTCAAGGTAGCAGGAAAGGTCAAGGTCAATAGTTTTTGATGCAGTTGAATAGCTCTCACTTATAAGTATCAGCATATTAAGTTTGATAAAAATATCTTGAATGGTTTCTTTAAAACTGAGCTACACACTAATTTCAGAAAAGTGAGGGCAAGCTCAAAGGAAATGTCAAGGTCAAAAAATGTTGATGCAATTGAATAGCTCTTATCAATATGTATCAGCATATGAAGTTTGATAAAAATATCTTTAAAAGTTTTTTGAAACTGAGTTTTGAACTGAGCTAAACCAGAAGGACGAAAGATGGACATGACAAACTCTATATGCCCTGGACATATTCATGGCGGGGCATAACAAATTCTATTAACAGAAAAATGTTTTTTTCAAAATCCATTGATGAAGTTTCACATTAAAATTATAGTCTTTTATACTTGAATTCCTTACAATTTCATACACTTCTAATCAAATAATTCTTTATTGAAATAATACACCCATATGGGTCAAGCAATACAATTCATAATAAGAAAAAAACAAAGAACAATGAATGTATTTATACAATAGGTGCAATTTAAGTAATTTACTTCTTATATGTTACACCAATGTGGACCTTTTATTTCTTAATTCTAATGATTGTTTTATAAAAGTGAAAACAGCCTAATCAAAGATGTAAAAGATATCAAACAGATTCAATTAAAGAATTAACATACATTCTTCCCACTGGTCACCAATGATGATAAGGAATGTTATACAAGTTCCAAAACAATATGTCATAATGGTAAATGCACACAATCTTTGTGCATTCTTTCCACAAACAGATGCAACAACATCTTGATAAGTGAGACTTTTGTTGATATCAGAGCAATATGCCAAGATCATTATTGCACACACCACAAACACCAAAAGAATCTGAAAATATTATATACAGAAATTGAATTAAAATGAACTTTTAAATGAACATGAACCAGTTTAAAAATGAGAGCTTTGCTACATTAATATATTTTTTACATTACATTTTTTTATTGAATAGAAATATATAACTATACAAAATATGTAATCTTTATCAGTTTTGATTTTTTTTTAAAATGGCAGATAATGCAAAAATTTCAAACATTTACAGCCTGAATTAAAACAGCAATTAAAACTCCGCCTGCTTGTTGATAGGCATCTGGAAAGTTGAGGAGTCCTGCCCCAAGAGCAGCATTCACAACCAAGAATACGGAAGCATACCATGATGATCCTGAGTAAATAGATTTTTTTTTTTTTTTTTTACATAAATGACTAATGGAAATTTAATTGCTATTTGCAAAACAATGTTATCGTTTATCATGTTTATAGATTACGTACAAACATGATAGTATAAGCTAAAGTGTAATCAATAATATTTTTTATTGCTAACTTACAATTTGCTCATTAACAATTAATATGCAGTTGAACAAAACATTGATTTATTGGTAGCTGTAGAATATGTGTCCAAAAAAAAAAGATTTAAAAAAATGATACCTCTTCTCGGTTGTACTATGATAACAACATCTTTAACCAGTAACGGAGTGTCTTCATTTATATAACTTCTTTGTATAGACATCGTTAAGATTGAGTTTCCGATAGATATTTCCTTCCGTGATTAGTAAGACCTCATTTTCTTAATCGCTTATTTTCAAAGTGCGATCAGCTGTTCCGACATTTTGAAATCACGTGAGTGCAAAAGTAGAACTAATCGATAAAAAGAAATACACTGAAGATTTCAAGACAAAGTAGATCATTGTTCCGTTAATTGTACGACATCATTTAATTTTAACTTTTTATTTTTCTCTTTATTTAAAAAAAAATGTAATCTGGAACATTTAATTAATATCAATTGTTTCTTTATGTTTATGGTAGAATGTTTATCGATTATCTCAAATGTTTTGTTGTGTCACATGACCGCTATTTAGTTTGGTTCCATGACGCAAATAAGGAAGATACCAACATGGCGGACCACATTGTTAACAAGGATTAACATGAAAACAAAGCATGAAGGGACAGAACACATGGAGATTTTTCAAAATGTGAGATGTTCATTTTGTAGTGTATTGTTAGACATCTTTAACTGCTAGTCATGGGCACGAAACAAAGTACGCCAGCTCAGAGACCACGGACTTTTTCAGGAAGTGGTCCTGTGCCCGGGGGTTCGGGGGCAGAAGTTGCCATGGGTTCTAGTGGGGCTACTAACACTCGTTTACGAGCTCGTAGTCTAGGACATTTTAGTGCATCAACCCCAACTGGATTAGTGATACCAGGTGGAGCCACTGCCAATGGCGAGAGGCGAGGAGCAGGATCTCCAGACTCAGATTCAAGTACCCCAGAGGAGGGCCCCTCATTTGGCAGACACTTTGCGCAATCTTTACCTTTACACCTTTTTGCACTCCAAGGTAGTATACTTATTTTCATTAGTTTGATCAAGAAAAACATGAATGTATATTTTTTTACTTGATACTAAAATTTGCAAAAGAGACAAAGGACATGTCAGAAATACATTAATTTCTTTTGACATAATATGACTTCCTGGAAACTGCGCAATTTTGGTCTTTAATGACGAGAATTGGTTAATTCAATTGGGTCCTATGAGCATGTGAAAATGAAAGTTGGTTAGTCCCTAACACATTCTGGTTGAATGTCAAAGAAGTTTATGCACTGGGCTTGCTAACAGTTTTGTATGTACCCCTGTACATACTATAATCAGCTGAATATTTCTTTTTTTCAAATACTTCATGCTGAACATTCAGTCGTGCAGATCGAACTTTATAGATTGCATTCACCATTAACAAACTTGAAGCAATATTTCTTAGATATGAGAATAAGGGTTTCTTTGGTGTTCTTTGGTTTAACAAAACATAAAAACAAAACATTGGACATTTCGATCAGGTTTAAAGATATACACATTTGACCCCAGGTAGTATGCATTGGTCTGTCTACAGTCTTATGTTTTTCATAGAGACTAATTGAACACTAAGTTATAGGTAGGTACATCACTGATTACAGAATTACATATGAAGATACATGCAATTTGTTTCAAATGGGTATTGCAACACTTATAATACATGGTCTTGAACAGCACAGCAATTCATCTGAGTCTGTGAGTCAATCTCTTGATTTAGGTATATAGCTTAAATTAGCTATATAGCTTTATTAAGCTTGATTTACATTCAGTTTTGCACTAAAATATTTTTTGTAAAAAATAAACAAAAAGTCAAGTATTCAACTATTTAATGTATGTTCTATGGGCAATCAAAAAAAAAGCTACCATCAAAAAAGCAACCCAAATCAAAGATAGTTCTGACTTTGCAGATTTAAATACTTTTAAGCAAAAGATGTATTTTCATTGCTTGGATAACTGTACACAACCTTGTGTGCGTTGAGGTGTGGATAAGTATGATTGCATAACATTGTACTGAGTTATTACCAGTCAATTATCTTGTTGACCTCCTTTATAATTTCATTCAAGAAGTAACTGTGTCATTGTGGTCACAAAGCAATTGCTTTATATATATAGCCCCAAAACTTTTAGAACTTTGAATTCAAAGTCTCTCAAGGATGCACAATTTGATGAGCCATTTTTACATGTATTGTTTTCAGAAGAGTTCAAGATTGCATGAAAACTATCACTGCACCAAAGTGCAACTTTTTGTACATGCATGCTGAAAAAAATCACATGTTAAAAAAAAAAAGTGGGATAAAATAGCAAATTCAAGCTATTCTGAATAGCGTAATAAAGCTGTTATATAGATATTTCAAGCTATATAGCTAAATAGATTGTACTGGACAGAGTTTATTATAAAATGACACATGGGCATGAAATTCATGCCGCATGATGGTGTAACTGTAAACATCCTTGCTTAAAAGGTACACATACACACGTAAATAAATCTATTTCGACTTGTATTTTGATATATAAGACATAATTAAAAGGAATTCCATTTTTTATGTCAAATCAAATGAACTGAATACACATACAAAAATGACAATTTAAAATTTATCATATATACTTGCAGTATCAGAGAAGTTTCACTTTGATCATTTTTGTTCATTTTGTCATGCATTAATTGTATTAATTAAGATATTGATAAGCAAGATGAGCCATAAGAATTTTATCTTCAATTTATAGGTTGTTAGATGTACAATGTACAAATTGCAGTATAGTTATAGGATATTCGATACTGAAACAAAGTCCTTCTATAAATCAGCATTTCTTATAAAGAGACAGTGATTTTGTTGGGAATACACAGCAGAAAAGAGACTGCAGACAATCTACGTCTTAGTTTACAAGGACCAATTAAATGATAATATGTCAGAAAATGTTTGCTTTTAAAACGTAAAACGTAATACTTAATGCTGTTAGACAATTAGTGTCTCCTTCATCTGAGGTAATACTCTTATTTGATCATTAGAAAACTTGTATGAACCTGGGTACCCTATTGGTACGACTTGTTTTCTGAAACCATTATGCAAATTTAACTTTCCTGTATATATTATGTAAACCTGTAATGAATGAAAGACCCTGAGTCAAATTCAAATAACAGGCAAAAATCCATATTCATTTTCTGACAGCATGATAAGAAAAAAATGAAATCTTCCATATTGATTGTCATTCTTGAAATCACCTCAGTGTATTGGAAATCTAATATTGATTTTTTATAAAGTTTAAATTAACATTGGTCAGCTGCCCCATTTATAGTTTTTCTCAAACAGTAACTCAGCTGATGCATCATTTAGTTTAGAGTTGACATTCTGTTATCAATGATTGTGAAATTTCAGTGTGCATGCTCTTTATATATGCCTTCAAGTTGTTGCATTTTTGGCTCATCTCAACAAAGTAAAGCTAAGCTTATATCCTATGCCATTAATTACCCTTGGTGTCAGCGTCCTGGTTAAAAATTTGCGAGAAGGTCTATTCCCAAATAACTGTAAGTCGTGCCTGGACCAAACCTGCTTGGTTGATGCATAGATCTAGGATATAAATCAAAAGTACCAGACTTGCTTCTGATACTGCGACTGATATACACTTTCTGTATGAATGACTAGGTTATAGTTATTGGAGCTAAATGTCCATTTCGAAGTGAATACAATACCCACATGGACTCAACTTGCATGGACACACACTATCAGACATGTTTCTGATGCTGCATTTAACCTACATTTTTCAGTTGATTGAAATGATTGAACAGGTCTAAGTTTTTGAGCAGACTCATTCCCAACTAACTATAAGCCTTATTGTGAGTAAACTTGCATCATGAATAATGCATCTTTAGATGCACACTTCCAGACTATCTATTGTTGATTGTTTTATTTATAAATTATAATGTGTATTTTGTCGTTGACTGATGCAATGGAACACTGTATTTCTCCAAATCAGGATTTTGTAAACTGATTGCAAGTTAAAGCTATGAACAGAGTGATATATATCAAAATAAAAGCAACCCAATCTTCCTCTGGATTGGCAATTGGATGTAGATATGTTTGATAGAATCGTCAAACTAGTTGTGAAGTATATGGATTAAAAAATTCTTTAATTGAAATACCAAAATACATTCCAGATTTGAACACTAAAATCACCAAACCTTAATATGGTTAATGGGAAAATGGTAGATTCCCACTTCTGGTTAATAATTATATAAAAGTGAAATGATTTCCTTTTGGGAAAATCTTCATTTTTCTCAAACAATCATGAATGGAAAAATTGGGTCCCACTATGTATTGCACGGACAAGGTTGCATAACCTGCTCTGGAGCAATTGTGACACGATAGCGGTGTTTTTCTTTGAAGATTGCTGTTCTGTTTTAGCAATACAGAACGAGAATACAGTGGGCGGAGCTACTTGCCGTTCTGTATTAGCCCTATATACTGTCTTGTATTAGCCAACTACTCTGTATCTAAAATACAGCATGGTCTAAAAATAAATCTGATTCAATTTATCAAAAGCACGTACAAATAGTAAATTTCTTATTATAAATTTTGGAGAAATATTTCCCTATCAAAGTAGAATGTCAAAATTTCTCAATCACTTTTAAAAGATTATTCCGCACAGAATCTACACGTTATTTCGATCCAAACGAAAAGGAAAATTCGCAGTTATGGAAAACATCCTATGTTGGATAAATTCCCGAAAACCTGTTTGCTTTCCCTGCTTTTTGTTGGGTCCCCTTCAAAATAGTAAAGCCAGTGGGTTCACAGATGCAGCATACATTAGGTGAATTTCGTAACAACCCCCCCCCCCCCCCTCCCATTTTCCACTCTTCTTGTGCAAACTCATTCATTTCAGCGTTTTGTTTTTTTTTATTTTGAATTTCATCTTAAATCCTTTATCGCTGACAACTGCTGCACATCTCTTTCACTTCATTTTCAATAAGAAAATAAAAATCCCTGACATCAAAAGTCCATCGAAGAACTGTCTGTATCACCTGTGTTTCTGATTAAACGAAGATTTTAAGACCCCTGAAATTAATTAGGATCAAGCTCCATCTACAACAAGGTTAAATGGTCCACCTTATCAATTACGTCTACTCCGTTGTCAAAACTAATCTGACTGAATCTTATGTTGTCTGTGGAAATATAATTATATACTGCAGATGCATATTCCCCGTAGAGGCCTCATCTACAGAGGGAACAAATGAACTCCGGTGGAAGTTTGGATGCTGCACTGCTATAAAGTGGGTGCCGTGCTTTTTCTTGGGTGATTGATTGTGTCACAAATCATTTAGAGAACTCGACAGGTTCTGTATCATAGATACAAATTTGGGGGTGGAGACTAGTGCTACGCACTCGTCCACCCCCAAATTAGTACATGTATCTATGATATGGAACCCATCTTGTTCTCTAAATACATGTGTAATACTTGTATTTTGAAAGTATTTTGGATGAATGTGGCTTGTCTTATTTATGGACAATGCAGTATGGATACATATCATAACATTGGGTGAAAAAAAAATGACATAAGCAGGATACATATTGATAAAAACATTCATTTTAATTGGAAAAATAATGTCTTATATGACTTTCATGATTATTTATCCCTCCCCCCCCCCACCCCCCATTAAAAAAAAAGAAAATAAGAAAAGTTTTGTATAATACATGTATATATACATTTGTTAAATTTTAATTCTAATTTTGGGTGAAATGCAGCACACCTAACATGAACACAATTTCAGTGTGAAGTACATCATAAATGGTCAGCACAGCTTGTATAACTGTCAAATGATGTTCATAATTGGTGTCATGCTTTCACTCGTATGGTGTTCATAATGCTGTTGGCCATTGACATCTTGAAAAAAAAAATATTTAAGTCTCAGATTATCACTGCTTAGAGGTAAATTGTACATAAGCCAAACGTAAATTATATATGTAAGAAGATATACAGGATTTACAAATAGATTTTTTGGGGGCGGAGAATGCAAATGCGATATGATATCAAATGTACATTAAACATCCTTGTAGTATTTTAGGATTTGATTAAGTGACCAACTGTGTTTTACATTTCATCTCAATAAATGCTCCAAAATGATATTTTAAGAAATGTCTGTTTCATTTTTGAAAATTTAATGAACATGTGACCCCCTCCCCTGCCCCTCCCAGGATGGGGGACCACATATATTTTTCAATACTGAACTGATTTCTGCTTTTCTATAGCCAAAGTGCCCAGGTGAGCAATATGGCCCAGGGTCTATTGTTCTCTTTACAATAAGGTGTACAAGATGGCTTTATTTATAGCAGAGAGCAAATTTAAAATTTGAATTCTTTTAACTTTAAAATAATGGGGGCTATCATAGTTTAGAAGTTTATATAAACTAAATTGCCAAATTTAGGTCCAATGTAAAAAGTTTCCACAATGAATTTTACAAAAGTTGAGAAATTCAAAAGGTCACAGAAATTCAAAAATAATTTGGGACATTTGTTATTTTGACTCACATAGTCACTGTGGATAAATTTTAGATACATAAGTCATGAAAGGATATAATGAAAAAAAAAAAAAAGAAATCTAGTATTTAATTTCTAAATAAAAATACACTTTTTTTTAAAATGTCTTCACATATTTGACCCCAAAATTTAACTATAAGTAAAAATCAATGTTTAAAAAATCTTATGGATGGCTGTTCTAACACCTTTTGCTGCTCAGTGAATTTACTGGGGGGAATTTGAGAAGAAAATTGCTTCATCATTTACAGATTATGTTGAGAACATATGTACATTTACTAAGAAACTGGGCACAAATAGATCCAGATTAAAGATTAAGATAAGATTAACATATTTAATATATAATCAACTTTATACTTAAATACATTCATTACTGTTGTTTTCAAGTATTATCATTATTATTTTATATTTTTTTATTATTTATTTATTTTTTGGCAAATGATGTGCTTGCTTGAGCATGCAAGCAAAACATGAAACTATGCCACTGTTGGATTAAGCTAAAAGTACATGTGCTACTTAGTATTTAGACACAAAAGTATTTTAACCTTCTTCCACCAACCACCTTAGTTTTTATAAGTATTACATGTGCATAAACTTGAATATACATAATCTTCTTTTTTTATTTACAGGCATTAAATGTCCAGTCTGTGCCAAGTTTATACCTCCTGAAGAAATTGAGTGTCACCTAGTGATATGCTTGACCAAACCTAGAATCAGTTATAACGGTAAATGTCGTACTATATTTCATGTCTTTAAGGATTAACCTTAGTGTATATATATACCCAGTTCTTCACTTGTTGATACATGTATCATACATTATATCATCAATGCTTTTTACCGTTGAAAGATTCATCTTGATTCACCCTGACATGTATGTTTTGTTCAAATCACAAACATACTGGTAAACTACACATATGTACACGTAGCACTAATTTTGGTTGTTCACAAACTATGAAGAAATACATTGCTCCACAACCTGTAGGTCTTGTTCGCAAGGCTGGCATGGTATTCAAGCCGATACATCCTACTTGTAAATGTCAGTTAGTACTTACACTCATGAAAGCTCAAGTACATAGAACTGTTTGAATACTGATACCATTGATTATCTCATCGGGGGGCATTATCTGCATTGTTTCACAAAAAAACTGGAATCGGCATATAGTTTCAAACTGATAGCATCAGTTGTGAGACACATTTTTTTTTTAAGTACAGGAAAATGATGTGAGATTCACCTTTGAACATACGTCCTATTGCAAGACTTTTGAACTTGCTGAAAATCTTTGAATTGCTGTGAAATGGAAAAAAAAAAAACGAAAGTTATGAAATGTTTTTAAAATAGGTAACATTTGAATGTTTTAAAGCTCATCATTATTTAAAAGGCTATTTTTCTTAGACTTCAAATTATTGAATTTACGTGAAAGTATACCCAACCCCTCAGGCTTGTGTTTAGGTGTCAGTTCTGTACTGAATTTTGATTTCCTGACTTGAGTATTAGTTGTCCATATATATACTGAAAAGTTATTGTTAGCCATTTCAGGTAAGCATTATGACTCGTTGACTCTTCTTTGATCAAAAGTGTTTCATTTTACTATTAGGTCTATTTGAAAACTCTTACCAAAAAGCAGATTGTTAAGTTGGTCATAAAGAAGCTTGTAATTTTGCTTAAGCAAACACACTTTGACATTTCCTAAGTTCAGATTATATGGAGTGAAAAGGCAAAATTCTTACTTAAGATCAAGAAGGTCGCAAAATATTAACTAGGTCCTTTGTCCTTTGAGGAGATTCATTTCACTCGCAGTCTTTGCTTTTTTAAGGAACGTATGATTTTTATTTATTTAATTTTATATTTATTTTTTTCTTTTGGCCCTTAGAAATAAAATTTTAAGATTGTTAAGAATGAACTTGTTTAATATTTGTTCCAAGATTTGTTTGAGATTGTTTGTAAGAGAAACTGTTATAAAGTTGTCTGTAAACTTAGACTTAGGATGATTTGCAGCTCCTCGTTTGATCAATAAACAGACCTGACTGTTCTCAATATTTTATATGTTAGTGGCAACAGTCTAAGAGCTTACAAGCATTTCTTGGAATTGGTCCACTGCAAACATGATGAATATACATAAAAGTTTCATTATATTCTTTGTAAGGAAGTCTGGATTTTTTTTATCTTAACAGGAAGGAATCTATTTGGTATAAATACTTGATATAATGGTGTAACTGACATACATTTTTTTTATACAGAAAAAAATGTACAGATCTATTTTGTGTGAGGGTCTTGGTTGTACAGTATGTGGGTATTAAATAATCTTATAAATTTATTAATTAATGATGTTTGTAGAACTTTCAGTATTTATACCAAATTATTATATTTTTAAATTTTGGTAGAACAATTTATCAGTTTCTTAATGTTCAGGTTATAAAACTTTGTACACATGTACTAACTGTCCTAGATTTTGACATATTTTTTTTTTTAAACGTAATTTCAGATATAGGTGTATTCATTCAATGTCAGACACCTAAAGAATTAATTAGCCACGAGTGCATGTATTACCCTTAAGTGATTCACAATAAGCTGCTTTTTTATACTTACAGAAGGGTGTTCGAAGCGGCCTGAGATAAATCATTTTGTCCTGAATTACGCATGTTAAACTCTGTTTCCTTTACCTATTAAAGCTCTGTATATTTTACTCCTACCACTGAAATCTCTTGATTGGCTACAATTGTTTTTAATAATTTTTACCAAATGAATACCCCGGTAGATTTTTGAGGGAGGAGGGGGGCTTGAAAGGGGGAGGGGAAATTGAAATGGGAGATTTACAGATTTTTGTTAAAGATTTGTGTTACATAACTGCTTCATATAATTATGAAATGAGCTACTCTAGCTATGTATAAAATTTATTCATAATTGCATGATTTAATTATCATTTTTTATGAACAGATTTATTACCTGGATGGAAGTTTCCTAAATTTATTTAAATTCCTTATAAATTTATAATTCTGACAATAAAGATAATAATTATAAAAGAGAAGGAAAAATATTTTTTTTAAAAATTGAAGAAGCCTATTCAAAAACACTAGGCTACAATGAAAACCTAAAGTCAGGGTGTTCTATCCCTCACAAGCAGATAAATGTATTAACAATAATAAACCAATAACTTTCTTGTCTCGTGTCACTTGTTTAAATTTTTGGCTCAACATTTCAGGATATGCTAGAAAAAGGTTCCATGAAGTGAATAAGCTGGTCCACAGAAAAATACTGTAATCACCATGTCAGTCCCTTTGTTGATACTGTCATGTGATGCAATAACTGCAGTGACTTGAGTAATTTTTAATGTCAGTGGCTATATTAAATCTAATACATAGGTAGAGCATCTTGTAGAGTATGGTAAAACATAAAAAGGAGTCGCCTAGCTTATCGATTTGCACTTGATCAAAGGTCATGGTCAGAAGGCAAAGATAACTTGATAAGATCAAACTTAAGAATTTTGTGTGACTTAGTGTCAGTTTCTTATTTTAATGTACTTGTTATAGTGGATCGATCAGCTCCACTCTGATGCTGGGGGGAGGGAGTACTTACACATGTACATGTTTGGGGTTCAAAGGGTCAAAGTCCAGAATATGTATGATGACATTATACAGGTATATGCATCGCATAATTTGAATTTTTTTTGGCTACAGACTGGTGACCATAGAAAACAGTAATCGTTTAGTCAACTGTTTTTATTATGTACATGTACTTCCTAGTCAAATGGCCCAAGGGACATTGTCTTAATTTTTGAGAGAAAATGATACAGTAAAACTTGTCCAATCTGGGCACCATTAGTTCCAAAGAAATTGGCCGGATTAGACAACATTCCGGATTAGACAACATTTTAAACAATTGAATTGAAGTGTTGGTGATCTGTTTTATATCTTCTAATTGAATTTACTGCAAGGGACTTAAAGTTTACAACGTATTGTACAAGATTTTGGATTACACAACACCCAGATTAGACAAGTTTCACTGTATATTTAATCACAGGCTTCATGAAAGCTATGTGCAGAGGTCATAGATAGGTCAAAATATGATTAATACCATCACTTGGATTTTATTTATTTTTCACAAACAGATAAACATTATCGTAATTTGTTCTAATCATGAATTCATCATAAAGTTATAATCTCACTCATTTATCTTCTTCTCAATTACAGTCAAGCCTTGTTAATCAGGACATTCATGTTCCTGAGCAAATTGTCCGAATTATTGAAGCATCCACATTACTAAAACATACTTGGAACATTTCAGCTGGAAGGTGAAATGTCCTGATTATTGGCATCTATATTAACGAGGCTTCTCTGTACATAAAAAAAAGTCTATATACGGTAGATGTACACATTTCATGAAAACAATGACATCAGTGCTTGACATGATTTTGAAATTGTTTTTTAGAGGATGTCTTAGTAGAAGACAAAGGGGAATGTGTGATATGTTTTGAGGAACTGGAGAAGGGGGACACCATCGCCCGATTGCCCTGTTTGTGTGTTTACCATAAAGGGTAAGGTATAAATAGAATATCAAAATAATAGCAATAAAAAAGTTTTTTTAATAAGCTGATAAAATTAATTAAATATTTCCTGTATCAGTTAAACTAATTACTTTTTCATGGATTTTATTTTAGTGCATTAGAATTACATTTCTGATTAAAAAAAGATTTTGGTATATCCCTCATTAATTGTAATGTCAAGCAGGAAATTAATTGGATTAAAAGAGTACCTGATTGTAGAAGGTCAATATAACATTTATAAACTTAAAAATAATCTTATTTATGCATGATTTACTTAAAGGGTCAAGGTCTAGGAAATGAGTTTACACTATCTTTTGAGATGCTAGATCCATTATGATGTCATAATTAATTAAAGCTTTAAAGAAGAGGTCAAGAACACATAAATTATCATTTCTGAGAGATTGTAAGGCAATCTGGACACATTGCACTTGTCTAATATGGAAAAAAAACACCCGTAATTGTAGCTGGTTCTCTTCATTTTTCATTGAAAATGACAGTTTAAAATATTTTATTGTCATGTTTAACCCCCCCCCCCCCCAAAAAAAAAAGAATGTCCTGATACACATTATTTTACCAAGCTTTGGTTATAAAGCAATATAATTTAAGAAATTCATTTCTCAAATTTGAGAAATCTGTAGGCATTTTTCATTATAGTACTGTAGATCTTGAACTCAATCATTTTAACCAGCATCAGTTATTGAAATTTCCTATTTACCTTATAAGATAGCTATAACTCTGTATAGAATGTTGATAGAATCTTCTTATTTTCAGATGTATTGACAAGTGGTTCGAGAAAAACCGTTCTTGTCCAGAACACCCTTCTGATTGATGGGAAGGTCTAACTACCGGTATTATAACTTAAGAAGCACAGGTCGACAGAGATAGGTATCACTTCTTGGGCCAGAGTGACCATGTCTAGCAAAACATACTGATAAATATGGGCTTTCATTGCAAACTTCATTTACTCTAGTGACTGTAATCTTCATGCTGTATGTTGATTTTAGGTGCTAGGTCATTAAAATGCGGCCTAGTAATTTGAAAATCGCGACAAAGGAAACCCCTCATTTCCTGTTGAGCATGTGTATTTAACCTTTAGTGAAACAGTTAGTGCTGGTGCATGTGTATGTATCACGACACAAGTCATAGTTTTGCATCTAACATCCTTCAGGATTCAGGTCGGGAACTAGTTTAAGGATGTGTCCGCTGCAACTGCATATCATAGATATATTTGAACGTTTCCCATAATTTGCGATATTCACAACTCATGTCATATTTCAGCTTTTGTTTTTGTAAACATAAATCTATATTAGATTGGTAAATGTATATATATAATCTATATTTCACTTAATGAAAATAAATGATGATGGAACCATATGTATTGTATCATTATGAGATTACATTGTCCTCCATGTTATAATGGTATTTGCTTAATTTTTTCAAAGGTTCATGGCTGATTTAGGTCTGGTATCGAGATTATTTGTTACAGAACTAATTTTTGGTTTCACATGAATTTTCAAATCAAGTTTTACACCAATGAAAGGTAGCTATATTGTCAGGCTACAATTCACATCTTATGAAATATACTAGAAAAAAGATGTATTTATGAATGAAGTGTGGTGGCACATATAAACACTGTGGTGAGAGAAAAACCAAAACTATAGATGCAAGTTAAGATTACCGTAAGTGTAGATTAATTAGATATTTTAATGAATAGGTCTCTGTGCATTTAGATGAAAAAATAATACCTATAATTATTTTGAAGTACCGGTATCAGTATAATAAAATTGTCTTGGACAGTGTTATTGAAAATGTACTCTATATACTTGCCTATAAATCAGTTCACCTCTAAGTCAGTTGTATTTTTTTGGACTATTTTTTGAGGAATTTGGCATTGACGTACCCGCTTATAAGTCAGAACAGTTGATTATCAGAATCTTTTGTCAATTGCAAATCAATATTCTGTTGTATTTACTTGTTTTAAAGTAACGTTTTTGGGTATGGCATCATAATTTTTGCATATGGATAACCTTAAGTCTTCCTTTCATGCACGCATTAAAGAATCTTATTAAGATTAAGTTTTGACCTGTATAAATGATTATCATTGGTTTTGTTTTTGTTTTTTTTTTTGTTTTTTTACAAAATTACCATATTTCCTCTTTCAGAAAAATACCAGTGTTTGTAGGACTCACTTGTAAATCTGACATTGAGTTTTTGTCCAAAATTGAACTCCCAAATCTGACTTGTAGGCAACTATATATAGAATACATGTAGTTTATGAGGAAAATAAAACTGCTTTTGTTTTAGATTTGACAGGGGTATATATCCTCTTGCTCATGCAGTGCAAATGCTTTACACATATATATACTTATATTTAATTCTATCAATATATTTAGGTTCTGTTTGGATGTCATTTGAATGGAATAGGTATTCTTTTGAAAAAAAAAAATCCCAGATCTTATGTATAATATGTTATTTTCTCATCAGTGACAGGATAGATCTGTTTTTGTCAGTAAGTAAACACATAGTACTAAACTATGGTAATAATAAAAGGACCAAAAAACTTACATCTAGACCTAGAAATGGTAAATTGCTTTAAACAGAAATTTTGATGATTTTTTTAAACTGATAAGGAAAGCAATTCCTAGTTGACAACCCATTGCCTTTTCATCAGTACATGAAAATTTGGGAAAATGAACCTTCAGTCAAAAAAACAATCAAAATAATTTGCATCTTCATCTGACTTAGATTGAATATGTGCCATTTGAACATATATTTCTTGGATCTCTTTCATGAACACACACACACCACTAGGCTGCAAAGATGGGATGGCAAGATTTTTTAAAGAATATAAGATTGCTGTAAAATCCAAGAGTTTATTGAATTATTGATTTGTCAATTAAAGTAATGAATTTTTTTTTCATCAAATGCATACATTCTATGTAATGTTGAGAGAGAATTGTGAAGTTTTGAGGGGAAAAACAGAAATGCTGATTTGCAGTATGTGTGTAGCACTATGTACTTCGTATTTTTTACGCTGATATTGGACACCAATAAATTCTTCTAGGGCTGAATACATGATATAAAACAAATAGGAATTTACAATAGTATTTATTTAAAACATTGCATAAATTGTATTTTGCTTTTTCATCTTTGAAGAGTGTACTGATGAAAATTCACAATAGAAGGTAAACTGGTTGAAACTGTCATTTTCATGATTTGAAGACCATTCTCATGTTATTTTTTCTGGTCAAAATGTTAGTCTAAGAGTTGATCTCGTATAGAATTATACAAATGCATATGAATTAAAACATTAAAACAATTGACTAGTATTGCTTTGGTGTCATTAAAGTAAAATAATAGAATAGCATTTAATTTTTCCTAGAACTGACTTGGATAATGATTATGAAATTAACTGGTTTATAGGCAGTGCCTTTTTTCAACCTTCATTTCATGAACAGTGTCAGAAAAGCACAAATTTTGTGATAACAATTGTAAATTTTTTCAAGGAATTTGAACAGAAATGTCAACTTTTTTTGTGAATATTACATGTAATAGGGTTGATTTATGTGTTGCAAATGTGTTATAAAGCAACAAAATATGCATACACTGTATTTATTTTTGGGAATTGTGTTGCCTTATGTCAGTTAGAATGGTCACGAAACTTTGATTTATAATGCAGATTTTATTGTTGTGCTTTATTTATTTTTTTTTATTAAAAAGATTGTTTCATGTGGAAATCAATATTACTCATTTTGTAGTTTTTAACCCTATGACTTTTTTTTTTGTTTTGGTAGTAAATATTGTTCATTTAGAAATGCAGGGAACAGTTTACTGTTGTAAATGTAAAACAACAGGAACACCTGGCTCCGGGGCCATAAAACTTAGACGAGCTCACTTTTGATCTCAGTTTTACCAAAGGAACTAATAGTGGAAAAGTGAGACTGAGATCAAAAAAGAGCTCATCTAAGCTTTATGACCCCGGAACCTGAGAATTTCCATCAGTGGAATGGAAAGCTCTGATTGACAACGTTGGGTTTCTTTGCTAATGAAAGGAATTTGTCATTATCAGTATTTCCAATGATGGAGAGCAGTACGTTCACAAATCACAGTATCTCTTTACAAGTCTTTCACTTTTTTCCCCCGATACTTTTTGAGGATCATTCCTCAGCAACATAATTAGCTATATTAAAAAAATCAAATTAAACATACTAACCACATATGTTTTGATTGCTATTCAATAATCTGTTTGAAAAGTTGTATTGTCATTTCTGAAAAGATCAGTCATCACTCAGATAAGTCTATTTTTTTTTGTTTGTTTTTTTCTGTTATGTTTTTGCAATATATGCAGATCATTTTGTAAATTTTTCATGTTTGTGTTTTATTTGTAAATAAATTATCATTTTATACCTTTTTCTTCCATTGTCTATATTTCTCTTCACAATCTATGGTATGCAATGACAATGGTACTTTTTCTCTCTCAAGATTTCCCTGAAGCAGGCTTTTAAATATATTTAGAATCACTTCTAGTGATGAAAATATTAATAATTGATAACACTTATATAAATTAATTTGCTGAATCAGCTTCATACAGATTGTGCAATCCATTAACATTAAAATGTTGCCCTCAACAACAGTTACTGCTGATCACATTCCCTTTGCTAAGGTCAGCAACTTATGATGACCCCCACCCCCTGGGAATCGGACAGTGTTTCCCCTTCTCTGAAATGTAAAACCAGGTCATAATAATTCATAAGACTTCCTTTGATATGATGTATTTTACTGAGAGATTTGCTGGCATTTGAATAGCAAGAGGCCCAGGGGCCACATCGTTCACCTGAGCACTCTGGCTATGAAAAAGCAGAAATCAGTCTTGAAAAGTTTTGATATAAAAGTGGTTCGAGGGGGTGTTGATTTAAACCAATTTGAATCTATACTTCATAGGGATGCTTTTTAATTACCTGAGGATGCTTCAGTTTAAATTTAACTAATTATGGTTTTGCTGTTCTTGGGAAGATTTTTACAGATTTTTTTCCTATGTAAAACTTATAGCCCATTGTGGCCCCACCCTACCCCAGGGGGGTCATGATTTGAACAAACTTGAATCTACACTACCTGAGGATGCTTCCATATGAATATGACCAATCATGGCTTTGCTGTTCTTGAGAAGAAGATTTAATTTAAAGATTTTTTCCTATGTATTCCTATGTAAAACTTTGATTGCCCATTGTGGCTCCACCCTACCCCAAGGGGGTCATGATTTGAACAAACTTGAATCTACACTGCCTGAGGATGCTTCCATATAAAAATGACCAATCATGGCTTTGCTGTTCTTGAGAAGATTTTTGAAGATTTGTCCTATGTAAAACTTTGATCCCCCATTGTAGCCCCAACCTACCCCTGGGGCTCATGATTTGAACAGACTTGAAGCTACACTACCTGAGGATGCTTCCATATAAGTTTCATATTTCCAAGCACAGTGGTTCTTGAGAAGAGTTTTAAATGATACCATTAATTTTTCATGAATTCATAATTATCTCCCCTTGGAAGAAGACGTGGCCCTTCATTTGAACAAACTTGAATCCCCTTTATCCAAGAATACTTTGTGGCAAGTTTGGTTGAAATTGGCTCAGTGGTTCTTGAGAAGAAAATGAAAATGTGAAAAGTTTACAACAACGACAGACAATGGGCAAATTTCGATCAGAAAAGCTCACTTGAGCCTTTGGCTCAAGTGAGCTAAAAAAAAAAAGACTGCTTTCATTTAGATAATTCTCCTTAGATATTGCTTGTATCAGTTGATCCTTGCATATTTACAAGATTGGATATTTTTTGTCTTCCCAGTGTCAAAACTGTAAAAGTGGAAACTTTGACAATGTAGAAACATTGACAAATGACCAATACTTTGTTTCCATTCAATAATTTCTCAAAGAGCAAATGCAATTTTTTTTATAATAACTCCAGATAAATCTATTGAATTTGAGGTCAAAGGTCAAAATTTATATATTGCTTAATATGGTTTTCAGATGATTAGTTCTCCTTGAGCTTTTGCAATATTTTATATCAACTACCTATAAGAATTCAAACAGAAATCTTTTTTGAGGTTAAAAGGTCATGGTAAAAAAAAAATTCATATTGCATTTTTTCCATATAACTTCAGTTTTCTTCAAGCTTATGAAATGAAATTTTATGTCCTAACTCTTTATTATTAAAAAGCCCCCCCCCCCCCTCTTTAGATTTACATGCCAAAATATCGAGTTCAAAAATTTATATAGAGTCAAAGTTAGACTCCAAGTTCTCTTTTTTTCTTTAAGCTTTAATTTAGCTTTAAAATTTAAGTCTCTAAGATGATAACTTAGGAAAGACCCTTATTGATTTTGAGGCCAAAATATGAAAAGTCAGGATCAATCATTCTTTCTCCATCTGCATTTTTAGGTCTTCCAACCACTGAGTGGGGACATAAATTCCTTGAATTAGCTTTTGAGTTTATTTGTTGTTGTTGTTGTGTGTGTGTTTTTTTTTTTTTAGGTCTTTGATATCAAGCAAAAGGCATCTTACAACAAGGGTTAATGAAATGAAAATGCCCATGGTAATTTAACAATACATATGACCAAGCCTTGGTAAAACAAGTCTGGATTTCTTGCCAAGTTGAAGAAAGTCTTGCAATCACAATGGAAAGTTTTTTTTCATCATTATGAGTTTTTTTCCCGAATGCATTTGTAAAATTATAAGTATCTAAAGGTAATTAAAGTTTTGAAAACTGATATTTACATTCATAAGAAATGTCCAAGATATAAACTACAAATTTAAAGCAAACTTTTGAACTTTAATATACTGTAAAATTCAACAATACATTGTAATATGGCTTTAATCTCACATACAAAATTTTTATACATGTTATAAATACAGGCAAAGATGATATCAAGCAAGATTAATTATACGAACAAATACCATATTTATTCCAATAAACATCCATTCCCTACAATTCTCAAAAATATAAATCACAAAAATTTACATGTAAAATTATTATTTAAAAGTTTGAAAGAAAGAAATTTATTCCATATACTATAATCTTCAGTTTGCTCATGTATAGAAATCTATGTAAGACAGGTAGTAACGTCAAGTAGTTAGTACACTTGTATTAATATAAAATATTTTAGATCCCTCCTTTCCCCCAGTGCTCTATTCAATTGGGGTGCTTACTGAAACAAATAGTAATAAAATACACGTTTCTCTTAGAATATGGAATGTCACAGAAATGTGCATAGTAAAAATATAATAAAACCAGTATTAAAAATATACAACTATATATGAATTCACTTAATCTTTTTTCTAGACACATATAAAATGAATTTTGTGGGTGGAGCATTAAATTTCATGATTTTCTAACAATAATTAAATGTACCCTGAAAAAAAAAACCAACTTATTATAACATGCAGAAAGAATTTTGAACAGATCATATTAAAAACCTTATTATAACATGCAGAAAACATTTTTAACAGATCATATTTAAAATAGTGGCCTTACTTGCATAAATTTCTTGTATTTCCACATTGTTGTATATGAGCTAAATCTGTTTATAGACATATATGTACAGTGTATATCACTTCAAATCTCCATGACAAACAGTCAAAAACATGGAAGTCAAATAACAAGGCATTAAGTTTGCATATATAGCATTGTATAATCCATTTATAAAAAATACACGAAGAAAAAAGCAGTTGAATACATACATGTATGTATATATAATTCCGATCTGTGTTCAATTCCAGCAAAAAAAAATTATAATAATACTAGTACATGTATATTCATTTCAGAAATGTGGATCTCAGCAATTTGACATTAACAACACTGCATGTCTCTTCAATCTCTCTTAGGGGGAATAAAAATTTGAGAAATGTTTTGCAAAATGGTAAGATTTCATAAATTCCTAAAACTGCTACAATACTTAATCATTCATATTTATTCATTCCATACGTCTGAAATGTAAAATGTGTGATCAGCGATTATAGTTTATCATGACCAAAAGAACTCATACAATGATATCATATCATTAAGCAATTATTATGCTACTATCAACTTTAAAGAATTTCTTTCGTAATTCAAAATTTAATCTCAAAAAGGCAAACATAACAAAAAATGTAAAGTTATATATTATTGTACTTAAAAAACATGTACATATTATCTAACCCACTGTGCTAATTACATGTAACAGTCAATTAAATGAAGAGGTGCATTTTAAACACAACCCTGATATACGGTAATATTAGTACAAGAATTTAATTAAAGCTAAAACTAAAAAAAAATACAGCAAAACGCTATCATAACTAAGTAGTATGGCATACATGAACATATACATGCCATTTCTATTCAATCATAAAAGATGCATTCAGTTTGTTTTGTTTTTGTATTTTTTTTAAAGTAAAACACCATTTAATGCACAGGAAAATTTCTTCAACTTGTATCTCCATTTGGCATGAGGTTTCCTATTTCATATGGATGTGCATGTACTGATTGTTTAAGTCGTAACACTTCAGTTTTAATTTCATGCTTTATGAAGCTAAGCACACGAGTATCATAGACTAAAAAATTGCACAAAACTCTACATTTTCACTCTCACACAAATTTAGTGCCATTTGCAAAAAAAAAAAAAAAAAAAAAAAAAAAAAATGTTGCAAGGTGCACATGTATGTGTAACAAAATCTAGGTTACATCAGTTCTGAATGTTCTGTATACCCTGGCGTTACTGTTTTCAATTACTGCTTTTTATCATCAACATAACCTTTAATAAAACAAAGTAATGGTAACAGAGCCCAATTCATGCAAAAACATCATATTTTTAGAATCGTAAATTGTGTATCACAGGTATCAAATCAAATTCATAAAGCATTTATTAGCATGAAAAAAAAATCACATATTAACATGGAATGTTTTGTTGGTTATAAAAAATAAAATATATTTTGATGGGAATGCTGCATAGGTATTCAGTCATAAGCTGTCTTAAAGGTTGTTGGAAGGAGATTACAGTGAATTCTGCGTGTATGAACGTTCCCTCAATCTTGGCATAGTATTGGTGCTCTGATATCTTCGAAACCCTAAAAAAAAAAATTTACATGTACAAAGAATCTTGTGTCTGTTTTGAAGCAGTATCAAAATTCTGTTTTGAATTCTTTTTTTTTCTTTTTGTTTTTTTTTTCTTTTAAAATTATGAGATAATAATAAATATTTCTTTTTTTTTCCAGATATTTAAGGATCCAAAGTAATTAGAAAATACATTGTAGTCTCATCCAAAATGGAGTAAAGACAAGATGCATACTGCTATGCTAGGCAAGAGTTATGGCCCCCTTTTAACATGAAAATTTTCTGCCTACTAAACCCAAGTTAACAAATGTTGCAAATTTACACGGTTATAAAAATGAAATTTGAATACTATAATCAATCATAATTCAATAAATGTAGTTTTACATCTCAGTGCATTCAAAATAAATACATTTTAATTTGGATTTTTATACCAAAGTATTTACTGCCAATTAAAGATTCTTGTAAACATCTGTTTATGAAGAGCAGCCATGCAAAAAAAGTATTTGATTTTGATTAAAATCTATTATTAATTTGGTTAATTCAAGTTCAGCTACTACAACATCAAGTCTTTATGGATAAACTGCTTGTTACACCACAATATCATAATTATTTTCATCATATTTAGTTTTACATGTAAATAATTACAATACTTTAAAAATATTTACCCTAATTATGGCAATAATCATTGACCTGAAAGAAAACAAGATGCACTTGAGAAACACCTTACCATGCTAACTTACATTTATTCCAACTCGTCCCCCTTTGATCCATGAAAATAAAGACTGAATCTCTGTCAACTATGGGGCACATATAGCACTGGAAATAACTGTACCCCTTAATCCTTTGACCTTTGAGTAATCATTATCTTGACATGAATATGTGACCTTGACCTCTGCACTTGACCATTTTTTCATATCAAGACACTGGCCATGTAACCGTCATGCTAACTTAGTGCTTCTACAATATCAACATCATAAATAAAATGATGACCTAGACAATAATGTTTTTCTTTGCAACTAAAGTTGATCAATATTATATGTGTTGAGGATCTAACAAATTTTAATTTTAATCATTATTCATTGAATGTCCAGGAGATGCATGCTTTAGTTCTGTAATGATTTGGGCTGTGGATATTGGCCTGGATAGATTAGTGGTTATAGCACCTGACCAGTGATGCGGGAGTCCCGGGTTCGATGCTCAGTCCAGCCATACATTTTCCCCCTTTCCTGTTACATAATTTGGTGCCATGACCAGGATATGTAAGGATTGGGCTGTAGATATCAGCCTGGATAACTCAGTTGGTAGAGCACCTGACTAGTGATGCAGGAGTCCCGGGTTCGATTTCTTATTTTCTCCTTTCCTGTAACAGTTCCAATCCTTACTAGCTACTGGTACTTTTTTTTTCTTACAAAGTTAATTGTGAAGTAATAAGATCAACAGAGAAATACATTTACATATATATACCCCCATCCCAACCGTGGGATTCTGTTGTGGAGGATAAAAATTGCTACCGGACAGTGATACAGACAGACTGACAGGTCAAAATAGAAGACATAAAAATTAGAAAGAGAGACATCATTAAAAAAATGCATGCAAGATGAAATGTATACAGAAAGGCATAACTGCTAAGTCATAAATTCATATTTTCAATGAAATTATTGCTCTGAAGAATCATGAAGTCCACAGAGGTGAAATTATATACATTGTAAGATAAATCATAAACAGATAAAATTTTAGAATAATATTCATACTTGGCATTTCTATAATGTAGTTCAACCTTTTTGAAACTGATAGTGTAGAAGCAGGCTTGTTGTTATAAGCACAAAGATTTTCATAAAAATTGTCATTTAAAATCTAGTTCTGAAGAAAAGATTGCTATAAATCAGCCAAAAAATTTGAAAAATTAGATGGAAATAATGGCTGTGTTTATGTGGATAAACTCACGTGGATTAAAGCTTCCATTGCTGCTCTGTGAGTGTCCAGATGCCACACTTCCACGGAGTCTTCTGGCACTTTGATCCAGACGTTTATATATATCTTCTGACTGGTATGACTTGAACAGCAATAAGCATTCTCCAACCTCTTCTTGTGAACTAAAAAAGCAATACACTGTATTTTAAAACTGAGTTTTTCCATTCAAATAAAACACTGTACCAGTACCTAAAAATGCTTTTGGATGTGCATGTACATGAGAGACCTATGGGCCATGACATATTTCTCATTCTTCTTTGCTAGCTGTCACTCAGAAATGGGTAAACTTGAATCAGTGTACATTTTTTTTTTTTTTTTTTTTTTTTTGCCAGCCCCGTTATGCACTTTTTCAAATCAACATTGAAATTACTGAAAATTCTTTAAAACCTTATCAGCATCAGGTCTGCAAGCAGATGGAAATTTCACAGACTAGTTGAATATCTACCCTACATACATTAAAGAATGTTTGCCAATTATTAAATTAACAAAAACATCATATAGAAATAATAAAAGGAAAAAAAACAAGCTAATTCAGAGACTTCGTGTCCTCTACTTTATGATAAAAGATGAGGGTGGAAGAAATGGAAAAATTATGCAGATAGAGAAAGAGAAAAAAGTCAACCTTGACCTTTCAGCTTTTGGCCTCAAAGTTAATAGAAGTCTTTTTTTTAAAGTTAAAGAAATTCATGACCTAAAGTTTCATTGCAAAAGTCTAAAATTATTATTTGAAAACTACATATGCAATATCTATTTCTAACCTTGACCTTTGACTTTTTGACCTCAAAATCAATATGGGCTTTTTTTTAGGCCATAAGAGCTGTGATATAAAATTTCATTGTAAAAGCTCAAAGGCTTTTAAAGATATCATCCGGAAATAAGTGTTACACACAAACAGAATGTTATGAATTTATGACCTCGACCTAATACCTTTTGACCTCAAAATCAATAGCGGTCTTCTTTAGGCCATGGAGAGTTGCAGTATAAAATTTCATTGCAAAAGCTCAAAGGTTTTTTGAGATATCATCTGGAAACAAAAGTGTTACACAAAGACAGAATGACAGACAGACAGATGGATGGATGAACAGTTAGACCAAAATTAATATCCCTAACTTTCAGTGAAAGGGGGGGGGGCAAAGACACAGAGGTTTTAAATCTTATCTTGGTGTAAAAATAATGGTTGAAATCTGTTCCTCTTTGAGGAAGTTTAAAGTTCACAAGTTTTATAAACAACTAAGGTGCACTCAGAATGGTGAGGGCTTGCTACCTTTCACGAGTCAGCTTCTGTATAACAAACTCCAAACAATTGCTACTGCTCCTGTGTTTACTCCTGTCTTTAATGAAAGATGGTGTTTGAAGAGAAACTTATTTTGATTGAATGATTTCATTTGTACTCCATTATCATAACATTTATCTTAATTATTCAATGTTCAAATTTCATTCAATAATGAAGAAAAAAATTAAGTCCATGAAATGAACATTATTAATTATTTCGCTGTGAAAGTAAATCATGTCCAGTATGAATCGAACTTGGGCCAAATATCAGATGTGTCCTATACCATTCAGACCTAATTTTTTTCTGCAATAGAATATAACTCTCAGCATTTAAATTATTGATATATTATGAAACATTATAATGAGAATTATTAAGGATTTGGATCTTTTTTCAATAATTTAACCCTGCATGATGGCAATATACATGAAAATTTATATAGAAAATGAAGTTGCATTTTGCAATTAATCATAGATGTTTTTTTTCATGGGTACATACAGTAAAGCTTGCCTTGTATGTCTTAAACTTACATTTTTGCAAGTTGTACTATTCACATGCTTAAGCTAGCCTTAAAAAAATTCCATAAGCCCACAAATTCTTTTTAGTTCAAAAGAGTGCAACCAGTTCTTAAAATAGAAACAGATTTTACCAGGACAGTGGCAGTGGCAATAATTTTACTGACCACCTCATTCACACATCTTAAAAGGAGGAACAGGTTTTACAGACACATTCCGAATAATGTCATTACAGGACAACTACACATCTTTCAAACATGCTCCATTACATTAGGCCTAGATAAATAAATTGTGTGTTTCTGGTTCCCCAACCGACCCTAAAATATATGAGCCGACCCTGAAAAATTTATTCGCTGATATTTTTCCGGAAGTAAATGGTTCCATCTTCACTATTAGAAATCCTAATCTTGACCACTGTGGTGTTTGAGAAAATGCATATCCTATACACATTAAAAACAAATGCCATCAGTAAGCCTCCCTTTTGGGAAAAAGAAAGGAACTCTTGAATTTTAACAAATAAAATGTTAAAATAAAATAAAATGTTTTGCCTACCTACCTACCCTATTTTTTCTCGGGCTGGAATAGGAAAATTTATTTATCTTGGCCTTATATAATTACTAATCACCATCTGAAGGGATGATGCTGGAAGTGTAAAATGTAAACAATGGTTTTCGTAGACTGAAGCCAAGGCAACCTCTAAAGGAAATCTTACCGGCCATTTTCTATAAGGAGGTTGTTGTCCCGTTTCTCTGGGTTGGCCGTGTACCTTCTGATGCAGGAAATCTTCATACTGACCCACCTTCTCAATTTTGAAATATCCTCATAAACATTAACCCTTTCAGCTGTCACTTCCATTATACATTCTCCATCATAATTTAGAAAAATGTTTGGTATTAGGTAAGCTCGAAACATTCCTGAAATCAGATCATTGCATCATAAGGCCATTCCAAGTTTTTTCTCTGTTTAGAGTCCACCCATCTTTCAAAAACCTACCTACCTAATCGCAAAAAAACCACACAGGCCAAAAAATAAAACACAGGCTTTATAGTCTTAAAAATGATGTCATTCACAGCATTTGATTTCGTAAATCTAATTTTTCTCGAAGAAAAATCTATTCTTTAGCACAATCAAGGTATTAAATGCTTAAAATAAGCCTAATATGATATACTGTAGACAAATACTTACAGAAATTGATATAATTAAAAGAATTTTAAAGATTTTGACCAGAATAATCAATTTTAAGGCTCCTGATTTTGTTTTTTTTTCTGATTTGGGGTGTCAAAAACCAAGGCACATGTGGACGCTAAACATAGAAAAAAGTTGGAATTGCCTTATTTAAAAAGAACAAAGTATGATAGGGCTCATCCTTAGTTACAGAAATAGGGCTATATTAATATGGTCAAAAATGTCTTGTTCAATTAACTAATGAATTAAATCAAATTTATTTAAAAATCAAATACTCAAAATAAATCAACATCATGCAATGATGTGCCAGGCATTGTTTACTTAAATGGTGTCCCAATTTTCTTTTTTTCTTTTCTTAATCATATGAACATGGACAATTTAACAGTAAACACACAAACTGAAATTTCAAAAATGCAAATGAATGTACACCTAATATGTCTTGTCAATGTAAGAAAAACTTCTGACTTAAAAATGGTAATTAAAACTTATGAAATCACGTTTCAAACGGTTTGTCTTATTCAATCATCACTGAAACTTACCCACTGGAAGAGTATCACTTTTACCAGCCTCTGCCTGCAATTTTTGAAGCCAGTCATCTGCATCTAAAAATTAATGATGACATTTTACAGGTATAAAATGCTTTAATTTGATAGCACTAATGTTTTTTCTTTCTTTCTTTCTTTTTTTTGAAACACTTTGTTTGGTCTGTTTAATCTACAATAATTATACATTTCACATGAATATAAAAAAAAAAAAATGCCCAAGAAAGAAAACCTTTCTTTGAAACATGTTAAAAAATCTTTTTCCTCCTGTTTGCCATTTTGAGAACAAATTAATTCTATAAAGTGTCTCTGTCTGTATTCAACCTGCTACTGTCTATAGATGGACCAATACAAAAAATGCCTAAAACATGTACATAAAGCTTATTAACATGTTAATTTCATATTTTCCTGCTTATGACCTTGTCAAAATGACCCTGGCTCATGGCAAACCATAAGCCATTAAGGTCAAACATAAAGCTTCATAATATGTACCAGTACATGTACTTACATCTGTTGTAGTTTTTTTTTTAAATAATCATAGACAAGTTTATTACTGATACAAGCCATACATTAATTAAGAAACTTTTTGGGTTCAGCATTAACCTCTTGTGTTTCCAAGCAACAAAGCCATTACCCTTCATGATCTGAGAGAAAATTTTACTTCTCCTCATAGGACTTTAACAAGGTCACTGAGAACCTTTTGTGTGTGATATGTTTCAACTTCTGTTCTCAACTAGAAATCTGACCAGTCAGCAAGGGCCCCGCCGAGGGGTAGAAATAGGGTGCAGATTAGGGGATGAGAATTTTACTTGATTCCAAAAAATTTAAAATATATAAAGAATAAGCAACAGCAACTGCTAAATATCCAACAATCTGTAAATAGTATCCTTGTATTTACATAAGGCAGTAAAAAACATCATATCTATAATAACTCAATTAAATGTATATTTAAAAATGAATGAAGCATGTGTTTTCTAAAATGCCAGCCTTCAGTGAATGCAAATATCACCCAGGCTTGACCTTAACTTCAAAACAAATATCAGTTGCAGACAAACTTAAGGTGTTAATTAATCTTAAGGTGACAGAAAGATAACCCTCTAAAATATTCTGCAAACCAGCAAGATAATCAAACCCATGGGATTAATTATACTGCTCTCTCAACCTTTTCTAAGTTTACAATAAGAACTTTTTCAGCAATGATAGAATGAGGTTATTATCTGAATACCTGTTAAAATAATTAGTATTCTTAAATTTACATAAGGCAGAAAAAAAAGAAAAAAAGGAAGTAATAATAAAAACAATATCTTTATCTATATCTTGTTTTTAGAATTCAATAAAATCATAACTCATTGTGTATTTTAACAAAATAAAGTATAAACATTATTTAAACCCACATTTCAGAGAATGTAAACATCATTCAGAATTGACCTTAACTTCAAAACAAACTTCATTTGCAGACAGAGGTGTTAATTAATCTCAATGTGGCAGATAAAGATAAATGCTTTGGATTTTCTTCAAGAGGAAAGTTAATTAATCCCAAGAGACTCATTGCAGCCTTTCATAGTTTACAATAGGAACATTCTCAGCAGTTATCTCTCTTTGCCAATTCACTCTTATATAAAGTTAAGGAATATACCCCACCACCCCAGCTCCAAACCTGATGACATAGAGAACCAAACTTAGCATCAAAATATGTCTTACTGCCTATTCAACCAACATACCAAATTTAAACTTAATTGGTCAACCCTAAAAAAAGTTATTAGAAGAAAAACAGAAAATTTGTGGACGGAAGAATGACAGACGGACAGACAGACAGACAGACAGAGTGATTACTATAGGGCACCCGCAAATCCTTGCCGGGCCCTAATTACAAAATTATGGCATGGATATGCTATGCACTAAGAGATCAACAAATCCCCCCCCCCAGCAAAGAAATTGTTCACAGGGACATGCATATGATGGGCATCTCTATAGGTATTTGATACTATCTCTATAACTATTTGATACTATCTCTATAACTATTTGATACTACATGTATCTCTATAACTATTTGATACCTACCATCATTACATATAAACTGTCGAACTTCACCCCCAGCCAGGGAGATTGTGATGCCATGATCTTCATTAAACGACAACCTTACAACCGTTGTCACATCCTGCATGCGAATAAATGAAAGCGGCTTCTCCTCCCGGAACCCCCTCTCATCTGCATACTTCACAAATCTTGTTGGACCTTTACTGGAAGGGGCAAACAGAACAACATAGCGTTTCCTCCAAATCTAATGAAAAGAATGTATGAAAAAAATAGTCATGAGCTAGGTTCCCAATGTTTTTTTTTCTATGCCTTTTTCCCCCTTCATTTTCACCACTTAAAATCTTATTTCCCCTTAATCTTTATCATGCTGCTATAATAAACAAACTGTATATTAAATGCAAGAAGCATGGAAGTGAAATTGGGAACAATTTATTAAGAAGTTGTAAACATGTACATGATGTAATAGTAAGAATTTTTTTGTTTCTTAGAGTCTTTTTTATCAAATTTTACTATTCTGAAAAAGTGAACTAGGCATAATAACTATGACAATCAATAATATACCAATGGTTATTGTCAACACTGAAATACCTGGTTTGCACTTACATTTAAATGTACATATAGCTCTTAGGCATACACGTATTACATTCACTGTGAAATTTCCTAGTTCTCCCATTTAATATGTGGATAAACACAAATGCCTTTTGCCCTTTTCTTTTCACTTCTGCTTCAAGAAGCAGGAATTATTTACTTTTTTAACTATTGATTTTTCAATCCAAATCCAGGAAGAAATTCAAAAGGAATAGCATAATACATACAATCATACATAAATTAAATTAAAGTTTACATATTACAGTGTATTATGCTCATATATCCAGGAAGAACGCTGGGATTAAGTTAGGTTTTTTTTTTCAGTTAAGTGAAATCATATATTAACATGTGTAAGTCTGTATGCACAAGTATAATATACACTCACCCCAAAGGTCTTGCTTTTCATGCGAACCTCCCCCTCTTTTAAGATAATGGACTGTTCCACTCCTTGGTAACCACCATCACCACCATTCATCTTCAAACATTATAACAAAGTGCACTTCAAAAAAGACATCCTGATAAAAAAAAAATAATAATAATTATTATCACGAAAAGTTCATAATAAATTTAATAATTAATAAAAATTCATAACGAGTGCATTATGAAGACGTTGATCCTGTTCAAAACATTATTTACAATACTGAAATTACCAGATAATTGTCAATTAAAAGTCCCCAACTCTAGGCTGCTTGTCAACAAGAGAATTAGTTTTTGACTCCGTTATTCATTCAAGAAAATGTTGAAGTAATATTAGCATCACTCACCCATATACATGTACATAAATAAACAAAAATGTCATCTCAATGACACTACATGTACACATATATGATATATATGTATAAAACATATAAACAGATGATACTATAGCACATGAATTTCCTAATTGTCAGTCAAAGGCTGTGATTTTTTTCACATGACAGAACTTGATCATTAGCATGTTACTTGTAAGTTTTAAAGCAATCACATGTCAATTTTCTAATGTAACAATAATTACTTTAATACAAAATTATATTGAACACAACACATAAACATGAGATTGTGTTTCACGTGACACTGATATTGTAAATGCCAGCTATCATACTCCATCATTATGAAATACAGTTGAACTTCAGTAATATCTCGAACACTGATATCTCGAATACCATGGATATGTCGAAGTGATTTGGAAGTCCCAACCCCTTATTCTTTAAGTATTTTACCCCAGTTATCTTGAATCCTCGGTTATCTCCAAGTTTTTCCTTGCTTCCATTGAGTTTGAGATAACAAGGTTTGACTGTACTTCCAAAACATCACATTACCTTAAGTTTCAATTAATATGTCGACATTTTCTCTTCAGAAAACTCCCCGTATATGAGACTATTTTCATTTTTTTTTTACTTTATATCACACACATTTTATTCAAGTTGAAGATTTCACCTGTGTATGTAAGTACCTGTGCTTATAAGTGTATGTATAAGGACATGTACTCTACACTCTCAAGGACTATTATAGGCACTACACGATTACAAAGGAGTGATTGTGAATGAACAATTGAGTTACATTATAAACTGCTTTATTAGTTTTACCTTTATTCTTCTCATATTTTTTTTATTGTATCAAATTATATATTTCTTGTCTTTTTGTGGGATGACAAAAATTATGAAATTAACACTGTAGAAGTGAAAGTATCTTAATTAAAGAGCAGATTGATATATATGGTGAAAAATGAAATGGATTTAAAAGGGGATAAACACAGATTTTTTTTCCCCTTCTAGAAACTGCATGAATAACCAGTAAAAGTTACCTGTATAGTGACTACCAGTATATAAATAGTGTGACAACTATACCAGTACATCATGGGACTGTATTGTATGTCAAAATTCCACCACACATTTAATAAAGTGCACTGCTAGGTTACATGACATGCTTAAATTTGGAACTACATGATGCATATCTGTTTATGCATATTCATAGTCACCAACTGTGACCTTGTCATTTGCAAGTACAATGGAACATGGAATAAAGTTACTGTAAACATGTCTTAAGCTCCACATATTAATGCAAAGATTTACACGTAAACAAAAAGAGCTTTCTCTTTATTGTTATCTATTGAAAGAATCACTGCTAAAAAAGCAAAATTCATTGTTTAATGCTCCAATGCTTCACTATGTTAAGGATTTGGCCTGGAAACAATTTGATTAGCTATAGCTAGTATTGAATTCCAAAATGAGGTCACAATGACCTTTTGGGGGCCATGATATAACCCCACCCCACCCACCCCTTTCAAGATCATCAAATGGCAAGTATTCCTAGTCCTCCTAGTGTGCAAGATATGAACCTAACATGATATTTGACTATGTATCACTGTAAAATTCCCACAAATATGTTTTAGCAACAACAAAAAATTAATTTGAAAATACACATGGTAGAACATAGTTACCAAGATTTTGCTATCTATAAATATTCATTATTGTATCTGCCATCAAGAATTAGTAGGGCTGCACAATAATATCGATATTCCAGTATATTGCGATTCGTTAACAAAAAATATCGTATACCGATGTTTTTCCAGTACCAATATACCGGCAAAATGATTGGGCTTTAGATTTATGAAGTAAAATATGAAATTTAAGCAATGTTTTCAATCATGCTAAACAGTACCAAACGGTAAAGGTTTCTGTTGCATTTATTTGCCAAACCGTAGTAAAATTGAATAATAGAACTTTTTTTGTTACAACATATTTATAAAAGTTTTATACACTCTGCTATAAATGGAGGTTAAAAAAATAAGAAAAGAGCATTTAAACTCTTATTTAAAATATTGCAATACATATCGCAATACAGTTCCAAATATCGCAATATATTGCAATAGGAGATTTCCAACCGATATTCAGCCCTAATAATTAGGGATTTTTCATAATTATTTGTTTTGCAGACATAATATTCAGGCACATAGTAATGAAAAGTTGGAACCTTGCTTGTCAAAGGTTTTATAGGTATCTAGTCAATTATTTCTGCATTCTGAAGCCCCCTTCCACCACCCCACCCCAACCCGGCCCCCATAAAAATATTATTAATACACTGTATGTGCCTAATCTTCTTTTTTTTTTTTTTAGGAAATCAATGCAGAAACCATCTCCTTAATATTATTCAATGTAATTCATGTTTCACTTGGAAACCTGTATAACACTACATTATAAACAATAAATAGTATAGTTATGTGGAATATGCTATATGGATTAAAATGAAAACTTGTTATATGTTCTGCCATGGAGTATGCACTACTGAATGCAATGTACAGTTTGCTAAAAAAATTGTAACAGTTCTTTATTTTAAAAACACAAATCTGTCTGAAAATGTATATATTGATATAGATCATATTTCTTCAAGTTACCTGCCGGAATTATTACACCGCGAACAAATCCTCACGTCAGGCAATCTAATTAAAATTAGATGTTCCGAATCTCAAAGATCTAACAACATCCCATTCGGAGTCACATCAGAGCGACCTTTTGATTAGCCAATGAAATTGCTGCCTCCAAAATCTTGGCTTATGGTTCGGATGCATTTCTTTTTTCAGTGCTAAACCTAAACGCCCAAGGAGTTTCGTAGTAAACAAAACATGCATGGCAAAGGCCATGCTATGTATGAATGTGACGTGCGGGATGACTTGTATAGTTTGTGCATTTTCATTTGAGTTACTTCAGGTAAGAATGCTAGATTGGAGGACTATACATTTAATTTATACCAAAATTACTTGAATTCAACATAAGACAGACTACTGAGCATCACTAATGTTAAGATGTAGCTGTGGAACTAATTTTAGAATCGTACAGGGAAGCTCAAATCTGATTGGCCAAAATGTTCAAGTTTATTTCTAATCAAAAGGTTGCTCTAACGTGACCCCAAATGGGATGTTGCTAGATTTTGAGAAGCGGTAGCGGATTCAGAACATCTAATTTTAATTAGATTACATGTCAGGGGTTCTTAGTCAACATGTTGCTGGTTGGACCACTGACAAATTTCATTCGATATCTTACAGGCTGACTGCAGCGACGTCTTTCGGAAAAATTACAAATATTGATTGTTTTTCTTACCTCTCAACCGATCAAACTGCTGGTTTTTTGGTGATAACCAATGTGTAACACATGCATTTTAGGTGTCACCTGATTCCCTTCTCAACCTGTTTACATTATATGTATACTTCAATTTGATTGGTGTTTCACAATGAGAGAAGCAAGCCTGAATAAAACTGAATGAAATTTGTCAGGGGTCTAACAGCACCATGTTGACTCAGGGCCCCAAACACTATGAGGATGCAGTGAACAGAAATATATACAACTCTAGCAATTAATTTAAAATATTTTAAAATGTTGGTGTTTTAGTATCATACCTGTGGGAGCACCTAATGCCAGTTTATGTTTAATAAATACAGGTATTATACCTGTATTTATTAAACATAAACTGGCACTAGGTGCTCCTTAAAGCTTACAGTTAGATAAATACTGTGTATGTTAGCAAAGGAATCCAATTATATTGAATGGACTCATTAAAGATGCTGGATGCAGTTGTGAACATGATGGTAGAACTTGAGGCACCTGAATTTTTATCGATAAGTTGCATATAAGGTCCAACAAAAAACTCTACTCCCTTTTTATAAATATAAGTTGGGGTTATATAGGACTTTAATGACTTTATTTGTAACTTATTAGGCCTAAATAAAAAAAAAATTAGTACCTATGGTGCAAGAAAAAATGTGTTATGCCCATTTAATTGAAAATAATCTAGCCCAGCGACACATTCAAAAGTGTGTGGTAGAAGAGAATGAACTCTTACCTTACATCAAAGTTTTCAAGGTGTACTTTGCGGTGTCGTTTTTCATTCTCTTGTTATTTTTGTTTTCTTGAGACTTGAGTTTTTGGGTTTGCCCACCGGATATCTTTTACGGTATAACGAACCCGATCCAATTTTTAAATTAACACAGTGAACTCATTGCTGAAATATTTCCTGTACCACTTGAATGCAGAATATTTTGTTTGAATAAGCTAAAGGCATGTAAATAAAAGACATGACTAACGTTTTTTAACGAATGAAAGAGTGGATAAATAAGTTCAGAGACATGATTATTTATGCATCGTCCAACTATGATCAAATTCATATCATTTATGTAACGTTAGGCCTACAGTTTTTTTTTTTAAAAATCCGACAGTAATTATTTTCATTAAGAATTCACAGATAGGATACCAACCAGTTTAAACTTTTTTTTACTCTAAGGATACACTGTACATGTACCGTAGAATAAGGAAATTTTCCGTTATTGTGATGTTCAAACGGGACGTATAGTCAGAAAGAGAATAAATTTAACATGCTGCCCCCTTCTAAAAGGAAGAAAAATATAAATTCTAGTCCAGAAGTGTATAACTATCATCCTATCATGTCACCCCCTTTTTTCATAACGAGCCAAACAGTCATAATTAATTTCACATGCAGTTCTTTCCAGAAAATTTAAAAAAAATACCAATACCGACAAATAAATGAAGTATATATTCCGGTATACTAATGTTTTCAATTTCGTCTTCCAAAGATATACAGAATTTGCTCGGATATCTCTTTTAGCATATTTGACTTCGTACTGACTTAACAACAGGCTAGATTAAATAAAAATAAAAAGACCGTCGGAAGGGGGTGGGTGGGTACGATCGCACCCCCTTAAAAAAAAACAATCGAAAATCTATAGTGTTTGAAACAAAGCAATTTTTTAAAAAATTATTTTTGTGTTTATAGTAATGCTGCTTTATTTTGTTAATTTGAAAAAATGACTTTAGAAATGCATCAGAACCCATCAAAATGGTACCATTTATAACCTCTCTCTCTCTCTCTCTCTCTCTCTCTCTCTCTCTCTCTCTATATATATATATATATATATGTGGCTCTGAGATCCTTCACCAGCGATGGCCCTGAATAAAGTGCTTTACCATCTCAAGCTAAAATGGAAAATATGTATCATACAAATGCATATCGTGATGACTGACCATGAAGTTTGTTAAATTGACTTGAGACAAAAGTATTCTGTGGGTGCATGACAAAGACTTATATAGTCAAAGGGGGCTGGGAGATCTTTGTGGCGCCACTGTTTTGGTCATAACAGTAAATCCATTCCGAAAATGTAGGAAAATTATATGAAATATCCTTTTTCCCTTTGTCAAATGTCTTCGCAACTAGTTAAACTGAAAAAAACAATTCCCCTACTGTGTCCTACTTCTTTGTCGGAGTTTTGTCATTGTCCAATTTTAATAGGGGTGAGGGAATTGTCAGCGGCGGATCCATGAATTTCATAACGGGGGGGGGGTGCAGTAGAAGGCAAGGAGGGGGTTCTGGAGGCTGCATTGAAGTCCCCACTGGTTCCAGGGCAAAGCCCTGGTGTGGATTCGGAGGCTTCGTCCCCGGAAGCTGAGAAATCTTACAAATAAGAGGCGTTTTTTCCTTGATTTTAGGATAATGGATATATCAGTTCTATATACATGTAAAAAAAAAAATCAAAGAAGGGGGTGCATGGTGTTGCGCTGGATCCGCCTTCGATTGTCGACAATTGAATTGGAAGTCACATTTACTTGGTTAAACCTCTGACTCTTTTATCAAGTTTGTAACTACGCCACGTATATAATGATATTCCAATCCCGACCCTGTCCTTTAACTGTTTAAAGAGGTGTAAATTCTTTATTTACTTTTAATTTTTCTCATAATAAAAACAAGAGGTCCAGAGGCCACAATGCTCACCTGAGTCACTTTCGCCCTTCTGTTCTGTATCAGATTTTTACCCAATATACGTGTATTCCTATGTAAAATTTTGTTATTTAAAATCTACACTACATCAGAAAGCTTTCTCCTAAATTTCATATTATCTTGTCCAGTGGTTCTTGAGAAGATTTTTCCTATATATTTCAATGTAAAACTTTAATGCCCTATTGTAGGCCCACCCTACCCACAGGGGGCATGATTTGAATAATTTAAAATCTACACTACCTAAGGAAGCTTCAACAAATTTCATCTCTTCTTGTCCAATGCTTCTTGAGAAGATTTTTCCTATTTATTTCAATGTACAAGAGGCCCATGGGCCACAACGCTCACCTGAATAACTTTGGCCTTGCAGTTTTTCACCTGTCCCCCCTCCACCTTGCAGTACTTATTGTGGCCCCGCCATACCCCCAGGGGTCATGATTTAAACAATTAGAATCTACACTACCCCAGGATGCTTCTACATAAGTTTCAACTTCTCTGGCCCAGTGGTTCTTCAGAAGAAGATTTTTTAAAGATTTTTACTACATATTTCAATGTAAAACTTGGATTCCCTATTGTGGCCCTGCCCTACCCCCAGGGGTCATGATTTTAACAATTGAGAATCTACACTACCCCAGGATGCTTCCACATAAGTTTCATCTTTTCTGTCCCAGTGGTTCTTGAGAAGAAAATTTTTAAATGAACCCACCTTTTGTCTTTCCTTGATTATCTCCCCTTTGAAGGGGACTTGGCCCTTCATTTTAACAATTTAAACTCCCCTTCACCCAAGGATGCTTTGTATTAAGTTTGGTTAAAATTGGTCCAGTGGTTCTTGAGAAAAAGTTGAAAATGTGAAAAGTTTACAGACGGACGGACAGATGGACGACGGACAACGGGTGATCAGAAAAGCTCGCTTTCAGCTCAGGTGAGCTAAAAACTTTGATTCCCTATTGTGGTTCCACCCTACCACCGGGACCATGATGTGAACGATTCACAATCTACACTATCTCAGGAAGCTTTCACCTAAATTTCAGCTTTTCTGGTCCAGTGGTTCTTGAGATTTTCCTACATATTTCAAAGTAAAATTTTGATCCCCTATTGTGGGCCCACCCTACCCCCAGGGGACATAATTTGAATTATTTAAAATCTACACTACCTATGGAAGCTTCAACAAATTTCAGGTTTTCTGGTCCAGTGGTTCTTGTGAAGAAAGTTTTTAAAGATTTTTTTTGCATATATATTTCATTGTAGAACTTTGATTCTTCATTGTGGTCCCATCCTACCCCTGGAGACCATATGAAGAATTTAGAATCTATATTACCTCAGGAAGCTTCCACATAAGTTACAGCTTTATGGGTGATCAGTAAAGCTAACGAGCTCAGGTGAGCTAAATACAATTGGTTTTAGCTAGTATGATTGCAATCATGAAAAAATATAAAACAATGTTTTAATAAATTATACATTTATTTAGACACAATACTTTACTACAGTTATGAATACATGTGTTACTTTGCCTTTCCTAAATCTGAATAAAGGAAGACAAAAAACTCGAGAAAAAACAAAAACATTAACAAAAAACCACAGAACATATGTACCCCTGCTTTGTGAAATCAAATAAGAATTTAGCATTTGCCTGTTGTTAAGTGGGATATAAAAGTAAATTCATAATGATTTACATGTACAATTTTTTTTTACATTCATTTTATGTTTCTGACAGAAGTTGAAAATTACATGAGGAGTATTTCTTGTTAAAGTTATCATAATACATGTAATAAGATAATTCCAGGATTCCCTGTTTATATGGTGCACACTAAACTCTCATTTGACAGTAAAGACAACAATCCAAATTTACTTTGTACTTAAGGGCAGACGATACATTCCTCAATAATATATAATTTTTTTCTATGAATTTGTCATTGAAGTATTGCTACTTTAATATGTTTACTTGCAAAAAATTGAGGCACCTTACCAGGCATTTGTGCAAGATACCAGAGGATGATGTTTCCTATATAATCCTTTTGGAAAAACTGAATATGCCAATATTACAATTTTTAGTGTTTCAGTTTTTTTAAAGACAATTAGAAACCTGTTTAGCAATCAGAAAGTATTTAAAATTTTGAATATTTTCCATACAGTATGCAGATATACAACACAGATATTTGAGGAACGTATCATCTGACCTTAATCATGAATATTTTCACACTTTTATTAAAAAAAAAATTACCATTTGCCTAAAGTAATAATAATTGTTATTTCAGAGTTTTATTTTTTTTTCAATAATTTTTTGTATATAAGCTATCTGTGTATGTCTTGAATTTTCTATTAAAATTAAGATCAGTTCATGTCCATTCACAACTTTAATTAATATTAATTGGTCTGATTATGAGAGTCATCTGTTCTGAATAAAAGCAGTGAACATGATAAAAACAAATACTTTCAAGTACCGTACAATTCAACATCTTATAAATATTCTTTTGATTTTTCACAAATTGTACAATTTCTTTTATTGCACTAGTTCTTAAACACATGAAAAACAGCTGATGAAAAACTGCAGTGAAAACAAGAGTAAATTAATTGAATGATTGCAACCAACAGTATTGCAAAAGAATATTTACTGAAAAAATAAATGAATATGATTATAGTTGAGATAAGAATCAATCAACAAAAAAAATCTTTATGAAATGGAAAAACTTTATAAACATTCCTTGTACAAAAGATTAGTGCATGTGCTTCAGCTTATTCTACGGTACAAACCAGCACAATTTACAAACAAAAATATTTTTTACCAAAGAAGATGGGCAAACAAGCTGAGAAAAATGCCTATGGTTCAACAAATAAGAAAGTGAAAAATTAAACTCAATTATAACCCAATTTTGTTTGATATTTCAGTTAACATTAATTTATACTTTATGTAAAATCTTCCCAATTTGCAACAATCTCACAAGTGTGGTTATTCATCTATGAAATAGCATTCACTCACCAAAGAGCCCCAGCTAGGGCAAAAATGATGAAAAATGATAATTTCTTCATATCATATTTTTTCTATATAAGTGGGTCTTTGCTCCTTTTTTTGAAAGTATATTCAAAGTAGGTTCAAATTTCAGGAATTTTTTTTTCTTCGATTGCCACAATATGCCTTAAATGTACTTTCAATACTCGGGGGAAAATTTCCCCAGAAAATTGGTGACTGTGTACATATGGTTAATTAATACCATACAGCAAAAAATACTTCTACAGTACTTAATACTCAAATTGAATTTGATTTTTATACATTTGAAGCTATAGGCATTTTGCATGCCTTGTTTGCCCATCTTCTTTTGGGAAACCTTGAACAGTTTTTACGACAATGGCAAGTTAATATACAAGTATGTGTACTTCAAAATCATATTACCACTTCAATTCTGAGTGCTTCTTGTTATTAATACTGAGTATACTATGGGACAATTGTACACATGTGAACATATGAATCTATCTAGTTTAATTCATAATGTGCTTTAAATAACTATAGGCAACTTCTTTTACATACCTCAATAATTATGTGGCTAAGTTGCCAAACCTAAAAGTTTTGTACACACATGTATATATTTAATGCACAGGTAAACAATACATGATTCTTTTCATGTAAATACATATATTTCACAAAAATATTTTACAGTTCACTGATAAATACCCAGGTATGTAAACATGTCTTGATATTATTAAAGCATCACAAAACAATATTGAGGTCAATTATCATAAAAACTTGGCAACAAATGATTGATATGAACTGATGACCTATATGATGTAATAAAAGACACTGTTTGAGACTTAGTACATGTACATAACATTGTTCGAAATAGTTTGTATGCTTCAATCAATGAGATTTATTCATATAAGAGAGAAAAAGCCAATGTATTAAACTATACACAAGAATGTTTTGCAACCTATTTCTCCTATTTCACAACAATTCAAAAAAAAAACATATTTATATTTACAATATTCAAAATAATATATCCATATGATATACATCTTTACCTGTAAATACATGAGTTAATCTGATTTTTTTTTCTAAAATGGGAGAAAGAATCAACAGAAAAAGTGCACTGTATCGAAGATTTTGAGAGTGAAACATGATATATCTCTATACATTCAACAAATTCATATACTGGTATATTGTCAGTTGACCCTTTATGTATAGGTTTTATCACGAAACGACATAAAACAGAGTTTTTCTTTACTTTGATCAAAATGAAGTGATCAAACACAGAAACCAAAGTTGATGAGATTCTCTGATTATCCCCCCCCCCCAAAAAAATGATAAAAATAAAGGGTCTCAATGCTAACAACACAGTAATCAAGCATAAAAACACCATGGAAGAAATAGAAACAGTACAGTATCATTGTATCTGCAATCAATTTGTGCACAAAATTAAAAAAAAAAAAGGTTATAACAAAGTTGAACACCAATTCATAAAACATTCAGAAAACAATGCAGATAAAACTAGTCATCGCTTTTTAGCTGATATGTATTTTTCTGATCTATGAGGGTAACATTATAAAAATTTGTTAAAAAGCAATATTAAATCATTATTCTAAACAATATTAATTTTTTTTTACTTGTACAAGATTGTATATAAATACATTTAAAGCATACAAATTGAGACAAACATCACAACTCATTCAAAATTAGATCTACACTTAGTACACTAGAATAATACCCCCACCAAGATGCACTGAAAACATGCACATCTGAAAATTTCATGTAAAGAAATCTGTAATATCAATCCCCAAACATAACATCATTGCCACTGTATGCAGCCTTCAACTTCTCTGTTTATTCAGTAAACAGAAATGACACCTGGTATATCTTTTTAAGTCATATATGGCATATTTTTGATAAGTTCAGACTAACTAAATTAATAGGACTTTCCTATAAATTACACAATTTAAATCAATCACGTTTCATAGATATTAAAAATTTAAAACAATAACCGATTTATTTACTGACTCCGCATTTAAATATCAGACACAGTTTACAGTCAATTGAACTATAGAAACGTGGGGTTATTCAAGTTCAACATCGGTGAAAATTTTAATTTGAACATAAATAATAAATATCATGTTCATCTACACTCAATCTCATTTTTTTTTTAGCTCAGATATGCCATAGCTTTAATCATAGCAATGTTTGAAACAATCTTCTGCATTTGCATGGACAATTCATTAAAACTACTGGGTATTCTAGATGACCTTTTCCAAGTGGCCTTAGTTCAGTGTTATGTCAAATCCACAGCTCAAGAGCATTTCTGGGTCAAGTATGAGCTCCTAATGGTTTTCCATTACAAAAAAGGCCTGAATGGGAATTTTAAACTTCAGAAAACTTTATGTTGTCCAAAATGTCTTTAATTTTAAAGTCAAGATACACTTTCTGCCAGAATGAGCTTCTAATTTTCTAAATTAATTAGTTAAGTCTTGGACATGAATGTTAATGACAATTGTTGAGGAAAATGACATATCCTCATGTCATAAGCAGACTCTTGGGGAAAGTGAGGATTTAAAGGTTCAAAAGTTAATTTTGTTTCTTGGGCATGTTGGGGGGGGGGGGGGGCAAAAATGATAATGGTATAGAAATAGATGCAACATAAAATGGATGAATAATCAGTAAAACTGTACAAGTATAAATTGCTCTCTCAAAACATGGAATGTCAATCAAGTTGGCACAGAGTGACATGTATACATAACAACCTAGTTAAACAACTTTACATATAGAACACTCATTCCTGACCTCTTAGCACAGAAATGTGAGTGAAAGCAGTCTCAAAAAACAATGCAACATCAGACAGATATTCTTCTGTACCAAGAGCAATTTTGACATGTGAGTTGTGCACAAAAAGCCTTGCTGCAGCTTTGTCATCAGCTAATCCCATCCATGACACATTCCTTGTTTCTAGGATCTGTTGGTTGTTGTAGGGATTCTGCATTACATCAATAAACATCGTCCTCATCACTGTCATTGTTTTCGGGATCAGTGGGATCTAGGGATCTGAGACTGGCAGACATTGTGTTAATTCCACTCTGGCTACTTCTTTTTAACCTACATGTAAATCAGAGATATTTTGATGAATTGAACAGTCATCTATTTTGCTTAAAATAATAAAATTTTGCTACAATTACGGGTAACAAAATTTATGGGTGAAATTTAGAAGTAATGTTGAAAAAAAAAAAAATACATGAAAATGTACATGTTGTCCTATTTTCAAAGTTGATTTTTTTAAATTAAATAATATTCTAGTATGTTTCACTAGGATGTTTTCTTTTCTGATATTTTGCACTAGAATGTACATAGTACATGTATATCTTTCTAAAAAAGAAACATTTTTCTTATTGTGTGATCATTAGGTCTTTCCACCTTTCTGTGGAAAGACCTATTGAAATTGTTCTGTTTATTATTATTATTTTTCCTAGACACTCTGACCTTTTGAGTGCGGAAGGATTCATCCATCCCTTTAAGTAGTTATTGCCCCTGAAAGTTTTTGAAGTTTACGAATAATGAAAAATTTTCAAAACGATAAGTCGTAGAGACATGAAACCAACTGCATTAGATTCCTTAACCTTAGACATTGAAGTTTATGTCAAGGTCAAAGGTCAAGGTCATTCCAAATTTGAGAAATTAAGCTCTTGTTATAGCTCTTTTGTCTTTCAACATATACTGTATATCTTTGCATCTTTAAGATGTACTCCTAAAACTATTTCAAATATTTCAATCTTATCCCCTAAGCTTAACCTCTCAAAAAGTTATTGCTCCTTGTGCAAAAAACCTTGTTAAGGCTACTCCTCAGACACCGTAAACCGTAGAAACACAAAACCTTCACTAATGTCTTCAGGGTCTTTAGACACAACTTCAGTCTTTCAGTGCAAAAGGATCTGATGACCCCTTATATGAGTTATCACCCTTTAACGTCTTTGCGATTACTATTAACCCTAATAACTTTAAATGTATAAGTCATAGAGACATGGGGTCAATTGCAATGTGACCCTTGATCTTTGACCTTGAAAATTTAATGAAGGTCAAAGGTCAAGGTCATTTAAAATTATTTGAAATTTTCATTTTTTCCCTATCTTTCAAGCCATTTCTGAATTCTTTTTTGCATAAAAATTAACTTTAGAGAGTAAAATATAGAAAATTGAAGAAATTTAAAGAAGGTGGAAAGACCTCTAATTGTTCGAGAACAATTAGTCTACTAGTTATAATTGCAATATAATAACTTTAGAATATCACACATATCACTTAAATTTATTTCATTAATGTAATGACAATTCACCTGCTCTGCGTGTGATTGAGTTGGACTTGTAAATTTTCAATCTGTTCTTGCAGTTCATCATTGGTGCGCTGTACTTTTCGATAGAGATTTGCCTGGTTATCAGCCTGAAACATTATGAAATTTTTGAATACTGGTACAAGTATCTCCAAGAATCATTTGAAAATAAGTTTCGAATTTTTTACTCAAGTTTAAGTGTGCAAGTATGTGAGTGAAAGTTTTCCCATGTTAACACAGATACATACTGATTATGTAAATATCATTACACATGTATACATGTATTTTACATTGTTATTGTGAACAACATATTTATATATCAAAGTACATTTCAAGTTTGTTTAAATATCATTTTTTTTTCAAAAACATTTTATGTAGTTAAAATGTTTTAAGAATCAACAGGAAATCCATACCTCATCCTCAGCGTTTGCCAGGTCTTTCTTCAGTTCTTCGATCCGAGTCCTGAGTTTTTTGACCTCCATTTCGTACTGCTCAGCTCTCCGGCGGGAATGATCCAAATCTGTTTGTCTTTCCTGGAAAGTCTTCTTCAGTTTGGCATGTACATGACGGAGGTCATTTAATTCCTGAAAGGTTTTGTTAAAAAAAAACAAAAAACAAAAAAAAAACAACAAAAAACGGATGAAAATTCTTATGCAATGTTTAAATAAAATGGAGTTCTGAAAAAAAAAATAATTCTGATATATAGAGGTAATGGTCTTTGTTATGCTTTCACATGCTGGTAATTTACATGTACTTAAAGATTCTTCTTGTGGTTTCCTTTACATCAAGTTGTAATTTACAGGTAACAGTTATTGTGGTGGTTTCGTTTACCGTAACTTACAGAAAATGATCCTTGCAGCAAAGACAATTATATCAACTAATTTTAGTTTGTTTGTTTGTTTGGGCAGTTGGTTTTAAATTCGATTTTGATTCTGAACTCTCTGCATTTTGGTAAATCCCATTTTTTGTTACCTTTGTTTTGTCATTAAGATCCTGCTGTAGGCCTCTCATGTCCGAGTCTACAACTGCAGACGTCTGTTGTTTCTTGCTTTCTAGCTGCTCTTCTAAGTCACGGATCTGCACTCTACACTTCTTATTTTCCCTCTCCAAAGCTAGTTTCTCTGTTTCTAGTCTCTCCCTCTTCCCCCACTCATCAGCATTTTCTCTCTGAAGTCTCTCAAGCTGCAGAAGAAACACATATATCTGATATACAGTTCATCTTTTTTGTTTAAAAAAGAAGAGAGAAGACAGATTTCAAATTTCTGTCAATGAATTTGGTCCTAGGAAATTGCTGAAAAGCAATTAATTGCTAAAAGGTTAACTAAAGTCATTTCACTAATGAAATTGAAATTAAAAAAATATATATATTTTTTTCATTATCATCCCCACCAATCCCTCTCAAAGCATCCTTCCCAATCATTTTTATTTTGATTTAAAAAGGGAATAAAACATATAGAAAACAAAATGTGTTTGTGAAACACTATGACCCCGATATTAACACAATTCTGGAGTGGGACGTAGACAACAGTGCAATAGTAATGGCCAATGTTAAAGTTTTTCAAATGTAGGTCAAAGGTCATAGCTGAGGTCACATGATCAAAAATTTCTGAACCAATAGAAAGGTCTTGTCATAATGAACACTCATGTCAAATATTAAAGCCTTACCCTTGACAGCACAATAGTTATGGGCTAGGTTTAAGTTGAAAACAGACAGACAAACAGACAGACAAGACAAAAACAATATACCCCAGGGATCTTTCGATCCGGGGGCATAAAAAAAAAGAGCCAGAATAATATATAATCTATATTAAATGAGTATTGTAGAAATAAAATTTGTATAATTAAAAACAGAAGAACCTTGGTTTGTGGATTTGTGTTAGCTTTAATGTCCAGAATAATTTTAGCAATTTGTACAAAAACAATGGAATAAATTATATTTTCAATAAAGAAAGAAAACTATGAAGTAAAGTTCACCCATCCTCACATTTTTTTGTCAATTAGCATGAGAATCTACAAATTATTTTATGTGGACTAACTTTACCAGTATTCAGAATTTATATTTGATCTAATATAGTATAACCTACCTCTTTTCGGACTTCATTGAGTTTTTTGTCCACTACAGATTTATTACTAATCTCCTCATCAACATCTTTGATAAGTTGATCAATTTCCCCTCTGTGATCCTCTTTCAGCTTGGATATCTATGGAGGACAAGCATAGATTCAAAATGATTTTATTTTTCAAAGGTTGCTATAATATACATATGTCTAAGAGATCTCTTCAGTGACACATATTGTTATCAAATCATAAATTTCAGCATAACTCCTACTATTCTTAAATAAAAAGTTATGTTATTGGTATATTTTTTTATTCTCTAATCTTACATTTCTTATGCAAATGGCTCCTATGCAAATACAATTTATTACTTAACAATGTCATTTAAATGCATACTTATTTCCTTGTACATGTATACATACCTCAAGCAAAACATCCTGCTTTGATCTTTTGGCTTCCTCATATTTCTGTTTCATTGTGCTAAGATCCATTTGTAGTTTTTCTATGGTCTTCATCAGTGATGTTTTGTCTCTGTATAAAACAGTGGAACTTGCTAAATGTTGCAATTTTATAGTAAACTAATAAATTCAACTGATCATTAAAAAAATAACTCTCACCCTCTCTCAGCAAGAAGTGTTTTCTGTGCTTCATCCAGTTTAAGTTCAAACAAAGTCACTTTTTCCTCAGCTAAGCTTCCCTCAACTTCTTGACTCACATTATTCACATTTGCTGTCTGCACTTTAACATCTTTTTCCTCGAAAGTCTTTTCTTTCTCAGCAGATTTACAAAGATTATTTTCCAACTCTTTTTTCACACTGTCACTTGTACCTACAGGGGAATCTTTCTTCAGTTTGACATTCTCGGCTTGAATTTCCTGCTTCTCTCTCTTAAGAACTGTGCATTCTTTTACAAGCTGTTCCAGTTTAGCACGAAGTTGACGGTTTTCCTCCCTGGCTTTGTTTCGCTCGTTCCTGACCTTGCTCCACTTCTCCCGCCAATTTGCAGTGCAGTCTGACCACCATCTCATTGTCTTCTCCATCTGCGATACTCGACCCCTGGCCTCCTCCAGCTCTCGCTGACGAATCTCATCTCTGTCATCCCAGTCATTGTCCATATTGGACAATTGTGACACTGGTGTATGACTGCCGTCTCTCATGAGGGAGGGAGAAGGTGCCATAGGCAGCTGGGGGGATGCACCTGTGGCTCTCACATAGGAGACATCCCCTTTGGAAGAACCAGGTTTCATTTTCTGGCTCATAGTTTTTGTCTCTAAGATGATTTACAAAGTCATGCTGTAGAAGAGCATATCACCTCATTGTCTGTGTCACAGTCAGATAATCTAAAGATAGAACAAAATTAAGTTTCCTATATTTAAAGAATATCCTACATTAAATGCATGATTAACAATATATGTTAGCTGTGCTCACCCTAATTTATTGATAAAATAATATCATCTTATTGACCCAGATTAATGATGGAATTCATAATTAGGGGGTCAAAAATGTAAAAATTATGGGTAAATTGGGAGAGTGGGCACTAGGCAGGTCTGTAAGTTTACAAGTACCTTACATAAATGATTCCAAGGAATACAGGGTCTGAGAAGCAGTGTATTTCATTCATGCAGTATTACATATGGGGCTTTCAAGAATGTGAACATTAATTTTTCACAAATTTGATTTATTTCAATTTTTGAAGTTTAAATCCAGGACACAATTTTTGCTCCCTATTAAGAAAAATCCAGTCAAAGAAAAAAGTTGGAAACTCAGACTGTCTGCAGTACATTTATTTTCCGAGTGCCAAATTAAACTATGACACATGCATAATATTATTCAAATGACACTCCTATAGACACTACTGTAAAGAACATTCAATTTTATAAATTCAAAACTGCATGTTACTTATATAAGTAAAAAAAAAGTTGTAAATTTGATAAATTAGTAATAAAAAATTAACTATCTTAATTTATTTAGTTATTTTCATTATACAGTGAAATGCAAGACAACTTTTTGTATTTGAAAAAGGTCATTGTGAATTTTCTCCTCTAGGAAAGGACTATATTCTGTAATGACCAATATCTGCCCCCAATACCAAACTTTGAAGTCTCTATGTATGTTCTTACCTACAGATTCCAAAGAATTGCCCATTTTCATTAGCCATCATGATGTCATATGTAAGATATGACATCAAGAAGATGAAGTAAACTCTACATTTCAATGAATTTGAGAGACAAAAGTGTATTTTACATGAATATTTTGATTAAAAGTCATAGAGCGCAGGTCTGTTCCAACTCAATCTTTTGATATGTGTAAGGCCACAATTAAAAAATTGTTGGTTTGGCATTGCCAAATGAGTCTTTAAACAGTTGGGTTGGTAGGTAAAATAAATCCTTTCAGATGTCTCTGGTCGAGCCTCTTTATTGTAAACCACTCATTAATTACCTTGATACATTTTAAGACTTTAGATGGGATACAAATTTCCGGTTGGGGTTATAAACGAAGGATAAAACCAGAGACCTCGGAATGGAATACTCAGAAGTCTCTGGTTTTATCCTACCCCCAACCGGAAGTTGTATCCCATCTAAAGTCTTCATATGTATCGAGGTAATTTTTGAGGAATAAATGAGTGGTTTACAATAAAGAGGCTCAACCAGAGACGTCTGAAAGGATTTATTTGACAAAAAAAAGTCTCTCGAAGCGAACGATATAATTTTAAAATATGTTAATGATTGATAAATGAACAAAATATGAGCTTGAAGTGGGGGTGCCTGAAATTGAGTTAGGTACCTTGTGGAAAAATAAGAAGGGGTGCCCCGTATACGAAACAAGTGCCTGTGGCTGTGCCCCCCTAACTGAAATTGCTTCCTACGGGCCTGTATATTCCTGTGCTTAGACGTAGTAAATTATTCTAACTTCAATCATCCTAATGGTTTACCATCAGAAAATGTGTAACACATCTTTCCAAACAGAAACTTTTACTTGGTTAACTTAACCGTTAAGTTAACTTTAACATCACATGATCGATTCTATGTCTGTTGAATTATTAAAGACGGCATATACTCCAATACGGCAATACAAAATTTCAAAAAAATAAAATTATTCTAGTCTAATTGCAGGCGAAAATAACCATTTTTAAAAAGAAGTCCACTTTTCATACCACATGCGTTCCATAAACATAAAATGTAGGTAATAAATATCTTCTATGGATATAACTAATAAATATCTTCTATGGATATAACTAAGAGAGAAGACTAACATTTAACAGAGACATATAAAAACCATAAAAAATGGTTTTTATATGTCTCTGCATTTAAGTAAGAAGTATTTATTATCATACCATCCTCTTAAGTCGATTCTATTTCAAGTTTATCCTTTCAAATTTTTTACCTCCACAGGAGTGTCTTTTTCTATCATTTTTACCAAAAATTGTTTTGGCATCATTGTGTAATTTTAAAATTGTTTCTTTTACTTCGCTTATACTCATTACAGGAAACGTTGTTTTGATTAAGATTAATGGTGAGGTAGCGACACAGATCGCTGCTCAATTAAAAATGCCCGGTGACCAAAAGTTAGTTACATTGCAAGGGAAAAAAGTCTTTGAGACATTTGGAAGATGCAGATTTTCTGAAATGGTATCCCATATCTTGATCATCAATCACCAGTATGAATTCAAGAAATTCATATATTTGAACAGATGTACATGGAGCTTGAATGTCATAATTATCATGATTATTGAACTAGGAATACGACGGGGGGGGGGGGGGGGGCTTAAATTTTTAACTCAGAATGATTTTTACACGTATATATCTTTATTGTAATGTTTTTAATTAAAATTTGAATAAGATATTACTTACGTTAAACGTGTAAGCTTAAGCAAGATATTATTTTTTATACCTTATCTCTACATTGGAACTAAATATTTTTTCTTTCTTTTTTTTTATCAATATTATAATTACGTTTGTAAATTAATCAATGGGAACAACTCAGGATTTTTTTTTTAAAATTATTATTTAACTTTGTTAAAACTTATAACTGGAGGCATTTGGATCCCCCCTTGGGAGCCCTGTTAACATTTGGTTTATTTTGATTTTCTAGGCCACGTAAGTAGAACGTTTGACCAGTTTACAAACATGACTGACAACAGAATCGAAAGAATAAAATCTCACATTACAGAGCATCCTGACTTTCCGACACCTGGGGTCTTGTTTCGGTAAGATGCTTTTTGAAAAAAATACTTATGTATAGGCGTAATATTAGAGTAAACATAAGCATGGCTTTGAGTTCATAGTAAGGTGTACCATTTCCGTAATAAACATAAAAAAGAAAATATTTATGTTCATGTGACTTTTATTGAAAAACCATTAAAATGTCCATTACATTGACGATATTTAGAACGTCTAGCGCAATACCCGTACTGAGGAGTGTAATAAAATCAATAAAATCTCAATTTTTTCTGCTCTTGCGGGTGGACGGGGTGCAGGAACGTTTACCTTCTCGATGCTCTTCCCGTTTCTCCATATTCCACTTTCTCTTCATGTCTTTCCCATCCTCTTCTATCTTCCCACCCTCCTTCTTCTCCTGTCTCCATGCCCCATCCCCCCCCCCTTCATCCGCTATTGCATACATGTACTTCCCTTGTACATTACCCAATTCCTTTTTGCGACGGTGCGATCTAGCGCGTTCACGTTAAAGGGATGACGCGATGATACGATGGCGTTGACAGTGACATGAAAGAGCATTGCTTCATGTCGTCATCGTGTCATCGCGTCAGTATCATTGTGCCTGAACATCAGCGTATAATCAAACTAACGTTATCGCTCTGGACATCGTGTCATCGTACATGTTCTCTGATCATCTGCATAGGCGTCGGAACCGGGGTGGGGGATGCTAGGGGGCTTAGCCCCTTTTTTTGAAAAGATAGGCATCATATAGACATTGAAATTTGGGGCTTAGCCCCCAAACGTGTATTTGTTGGTTTAGCCCCCCCCCCCCCCCCCACACACTTTCAATTTGCTTCCGACGTCTATGACCAGAGTTTCATTTGAACTTCTTTTCAGTCGAAAAATGATTAGTGGCCAGTAGAATTAGCCGTTTTTTTTTTTGTTTTTTGGTTAAATCAACCTGTTTTATGGATAGTGCAAGAATAAAATTATACTGGCAGGCGCGTAGTTGCATAAACGCAAAACTTAAGACAAAATGGTAATTACCAGAGCTCGATCGCCATATTGCAATGGACAGTATTTCAGTAATCTTTTCTGCTGGTTTTGTTATGGGTTTGCATGCAAATGATGCAACATGTTATTTTGTTTGGGTTTTGCAGATTTAACTGTGTAATTTTTACACATCTGACATTTAACACTTTGAATGTTTCAAAAGAATTTTTCAAACAATTATTTCAAATTTGTATGTACTTTTTGCAGACCCAAAGGAACGTGTGGGAGGGGGGTGTACCCTCCGAATATGCATGTACATACAACAGAAAACAAAGCTGATTTATAGTTATGCCTGACGACGCCTTATGATTTTTTTTAAAAATTGCTTTTCAAGGATTTTTTTAAGGTTGTGCCAACCCCACTCCTTTGAAATTGCTTCCTATGTACCTGTGTTTTATAACGTGTGCTTAAAAATTAAAAAAAAAAAATAGCCCCCATTTTCGCTTTGGAGAAAAAGTACAAATATCACCTATAGTTTTCGACTTTTATTCCTTTTTTTCCCTTATTATTATCTTTTAAGACTACATGTATTCTTGTGACACTTTCAGATGGTCTCATATGAATCCCCATTCAATAAGTAAAAAAAATATTATATATACATACATTTTAAAGGCAAATAACTTAAAAGAAAATTAATGTATATATATCTTCAGAGACATTTTCCCAGTATTACGAAACCCGGGTGCGTTTAATGATCTTATGGATGCTATGGTGGAGTATGTGAAGGAGAAGGCACCTGGTGTGGAGATCGTAGTGGGACTGGAAGCCAGGGGATTTCTTTTCGGACCCATCATTGCTCAAAGACTTAACTGCAGTTTTGCACCAGTCCGGAAGAAGGGTAAATTGCCCGGGAAGATGGAAAGTGTTTCTTATACCAAAGAATATGGAACGGTAATTATACAGTCGTTCATTATAAAAATGAAATTATAGATGGCAAGCGGCCAGCAAACATGATGAAATTACTTTTTCTACGGTGGCTGGTATAGGACATGGTACGACTTTTTTTTTTATAATTAATTCAAGGCCACGAGATAAAATTCGTGGCCAAGAAATAAAAATTCGTGGAAACGAAATAAAATTCGTGGCCACGATTTTTTCTATAGTATGTGTGTGTTAATTAAGTAAATATGAAACGGACTCAGCACTGTCCAATGTGTGCGTTACACTGCAATTAAAAAGCCATAAACAAACTGCAACAACAAATTTGTTTTTCTTGGTGTATTAAAATATCATACGTACAATATTTACTTATCTCAACATATATAGCTCTTGAATTCCACCCAGGCAAAAAGGTTTTTTTTTTTTTTTTTTTTTTTTTTTTTTTTTGTTGTTTGGAAAAAATGCATAATCCGCGTATTTAGCGTCACAATTATTTTACATCATAATGCTTTGGCGTCAAAGGCGCCAAAGTATCATGACGTCATAATAACTTAGTTGTGCATAGCGCGATTTTGTTGACAAGAAAACAAAAATGGGTCTCTTCCAAAGCTGTTTGCGGAACAATAAAGTTGGCATTCTGTCCGACGAAGAGGAAGCCGCCTACAAAAAAATACAGGAGGTCAACAAAGAAATGGCGCATGATCAAGAGAAGAATGACATTCAAACTCTCCCAGAGATGATGTTTTGTGTAACACCGATTAAAGCCCATGGGGATACTAGTCATGATCATGATGATAATGACCTTTCTCCAGATGCCATTGAAAAGACTGAGTTGATGAACTCCACCTACAAATCAAGTGTGCCCACGTTACCTCCCCTCGTTGGACAAGTGAAGACAATCCTGGTTCTGGATCTTGAAGACGAGAACGCTTACGTTCAATGGGAAGGTAATACTAAATACGATTAAATCAGTCTTCACTGACCAATTTCATAAACTTTCCAATTCTTTGTTATATTAAATTTATTTTTCTTTTTTTTTTCACAGAAGAAAGTGAGAGAATTCTTGTGGAGAAAGGTTTTCTTAAGAAGGATAAAAATAAGTTGACGGAACAAAGAAGAAAACAGCTTCTCCGAAGAAATTCTAGACAGACAGTCAATTAAAAGAACCCAAGACATTTTGTGAACAGAAGAGAAGCTGCTGTTGTCTACAATAGGAAGTTTGAACACTTCCATAATTTATTTATCTGATTTCCGTCGTGAATATCTTGGTCGAAAGAGGAACATTTATAGGCTCTTTAATTTGCAGTTTATACTTTATTTGACTTGTGTTTTTTCTTGCTCCTATACATATTTATAGGTGAAATTTTTCAGATGTGCGTAATGAAGACAGATCTGTGGCTCATTGCTACATGTAACTATTTATATATTCAATGGATTTAAACAACTTTGGCTTTTAAGGAATCTATATTCCTCAAAAAAGGGTACTGATTCCCTTTCAAAATCATAAATGGTAAATTTCCATTTAGATATCTGATATTCTGTTGTACCTTCTTTTTGAAATTCTGAAATGTATAATAAAAAAAAACTTTATGTTCATAATTTTGCACTTGTTGGGCTTATTATTTCTTTGAAGTGAGAGGCTATGCTGCACATGTATAAGGTTTATAATTCATTGTCACATACATGTACTTCATTTACATAGAGATGTATCAGCTACATGCATACACATTATAACATTCACCCATTTCATGATGTGAAGTGATTTTAATGGGGGCGGGGGGGGGGGGTAAATATAAATCTCGGAACAGAAAGAGAGTAAGTTATTAAAGAAATTTCCGTTATCTCATCTCAAACCAGCTAGTTCAAAAAGGGACAATGCAGAAGAAATGATTTGTAAGAATTTAATCAACTCAGACTCTATACACGACTTAATCTTCATCTTCAGTCATTTTTTTTCCAAATATGTTTATCAGTAACAATTAAACGTTAAAAATGACAAAACAACCGACCTGTCAGTGTTCGACTGTCAGTTGTGATATTAGTACTCGCCTATTTGGAACTAATGAATTTCAACTGAAAAATCCACATATATAGATTAAAATTTTGTTATGCTCATTTGGGCTTTGATTCGGTAATGAATTTGTTTATTTCTTTTCTATAATAATAATGAATATAAATGTGTGTTAGTTCCTCTCATTATCTCTGTAACTCTCATCAATCTAACAAGGATTTTTATATTAATCCAAGCTTTGTTTTTATGTAGGACGTCTTTGAGGTCCAGAAAGAAGCATTTAAGCCAGGACAGTCTGTTGTAATTGTTGACGATCTCTTAGCAACAGGAGGTATGTTTTAGTTTTCTGTTCATAAAAATGCAGCTTTATGAAATAAAATTGAGACTGGCGTTCATTTTTATAACCTCGCCTCCAAGACGCACTCGTTGCTTTTTCCGACAAGGAAAAGTACGATAAAAAATTAAGTTACCACAGTCCCTCCTTCGAAGGTGACTATTTCTCCCTTTAACAGGCCCGTAGGAACCGCTCCCCCCTTTCCAATAATTTTGCCTGTTTATGCAATTAAATAGATAACGATGTTAATGTGCGGTTATGCCCCCCCCTTCAAAGATAATGAAATTACTTCCTACGGACCTGTAATCATGCTTATGTTGTCGGTGTCATTGCATCCATTCTTTACATTAAAATCCCGAATATTACTGATGATATGTATTGAAAGAATATTGGCAAATGTAAATGTATACATTTAACATATTTTTTAGGCACAATGAAAGCAGCATGTGAATTAATTGAAAAAGTCGGCGCCAAAGTGATACTGTGCCTGGTGGTAATAGAACTGACGGATTTGAATGGACAAGGAAAATTGTCCCAGCCGTGTTCCTCTCTTATTAAATACTAATGCATATACTTATAGCAAGAAAAAACAGTATTTAATACCAACTGTGTATTAGTTGTATACGATAGTGTTACTGATCTGACGCAACGAATCCACTTTTTGTGCCTTGGTGGCCTACAATATGAGGAATAATTGAACATTTGCAACTTGTTTGTATAAGAGTTACCAAATGGTGTCTTTTCTGCATTTTTTTTAAAACAGAAAAATTGTGAAAAAGTGTACTTAGAAAAACAAAACACGAACTACTGTGAAATGAGGTTTCACTATACAAGTGTTCTACTGTTATCAAATGATCCATGACAAATTATAATAAAATCTGAGCAACACAAAATTATTGCGTTCGATTTTTGTTTAATCGATTTTTATCGACGGAAACGCACACATGTAGAGGAGCAAGCTCATATACCCCTGCTCCCTCCTCGCTAGACAATGCTACACAAATGCTATGCATTATAAAGCAAGTAACCACTCTTCACTTTTCCAGATGCTTGTGAAATGTATGCCACCCAAGACACAAATTAGAATTCCCTGTGAATATGCACATCTACACAGTATGTCCATATCAACTACAATGTTACATGGAATTATGTTGAGCAGTTTTAGAGGAGCTGTGCCTACAAACTATTTCGGAAGTACCTAGTATATCTGATCTATGCTAAAAAGGAGGCGTAACTCCCAGAAAAGAAATTAAATAAGAATTTCCCGCGAATATGCACATCTAAGTCATCTACATAGTATGTTAAACTACAATGTTACGTGGAATTCTGTTCAGCAGTTTCAGAGGAGTTGCAATGACAAACTGTCTGAGCAGTATATTTAATTTTGGTCTTCCTTCTAAGTTAAAAAGGGGTAAAATCCCTAGAGAAAAATAATCAGAATTTCCTGTGAATATGCACACCTAAACAGTGTATCCTTATTAACGATAAAGTTTCATGAAGTTCTATTCAGCCGTGTCAGAGAAGTTGCTCTGATAAGAACAGGACAGACAGAGGCCAGACTTTTCGAAGTTTAAAAGGGGTATAACTCAGAAAAAAATGAATCAGAATTTCCTGGAAGACTACACAGTATGTCTTTATTAAGAAATTCTATTCAATGGCCTCAGAGGAGCTGAGATGACAAGAGCAGGACCGACGGAGGCCAAACTTTTAAGTTCAAAAGGGGTATAACTTCCAGTAAAAAAAAAAAAAAAAGAGTCTGAATTTCCTGCAAATTTGCACATCTACACAGCATGTCTTATTTCTTCATCCGGTGATGTGCCTTGCTCCAATTTTGGGCATTTCCGTACACATGAACTGAATTGCACTTATTAACTAAAAAGTTTATGAAATTTGATTTGTTCAGCATTTTAAAAAAAGGAGTTGCATGACAAAATTTTTCAGAAGTACACTGTATAATTTAGTCCAAACTTTGAATTTAAATGGCTGAACTCCCAGAAAAAAAATTGAATCAGAATTTTCATCTACATTTTATGTCCATATTAACAACAAGGTTTCTTGAAATTCTGTGGTTTCGAGAGGAGCTGAGCTGATATGAACATGACAGAGTGAGACTGATCGACAGAAAGGTAAAAATAAATATATCCTCTACAACTTGTTGCATGGGGTATTAAAACATCAAAGCTTTATTCTAAATGTATGTTCAAGTTTTTCCAAGAGCAGAAAACAAAAATTTATGTCAATATGCCAAGATTGTTATAAAGGTGAAGAATAATAAATTCAGCATTTTTTAGTGACTGAATGTAAAATCATGATGTTTCACAAATCATCAGGTTTTTTGAGGCCTTGGATAAACCCTTTCTAGTTATTCTAACTCGTCCAACAAATCACTTTTAACAATGATGCTTAGGGCCAATACTAGAGGGAGCTTATACATGTTCTGCTTAGAATATATGTAATTGATAACTGCACAATGAGCATTCTTGATTTTTTCCCCACTGCAAAAGAGGATGAGGATTTGGATTTCATTCAAAAGTGTAAATTAGTGGTTAAATTATCATCACCCCAGGGCTGCCCAATTAGAATTGAAATAGCAGGGAACATTAAATAAGTAGAAGGGGGTTTGAGGTTCCTCCCCTAACAGGGGGTTGAGGGGGAATATCAGAATATACCAGGAGGTTACTTCATTTTTGGCAGAAAAATTCGGGGCCCCCAGGTCTTAGGGACAACCCTGTCATCTCTTAGTTGTAGGGGTATAAAGTATGCCTCAGTTTAGTACAACACAAACATAGGTAATCAAAGATTACGAAGCTCACCTCGACGAATGTTTATCTTTAAGTAAGGCAAATTTCACATCATATTCTTTTTTTAGTTAGTGTACATCCCAAGATCAATATCCATGCAAGTTTGATTTAAGTACGGCTTACAGTTACTTGGAAATAGACCTATTCAAAAAACGTTTATCCTGTTTACTAATCAAGAAAATTTTGGTCAGTTCCAACATCCAAAGTAAGTCTGGAAGTTTTCATCCTTAGATGCACCATCTATGCAAGTTTAATCATAACAGGCCATAATGTTATATAGCTACTCCAAAAAAATTATCCTGGTCACTCATCTGGAAAATGTAGGTCAGATTCAGAATCCAAAGCAAGTCTAGAAGTGACCATCCCTAGCTACATCATCCATGCTAATTTGGTTGAAATATGGCTAAAATTCACTCATGTGGAAAATCTAGGTCGAATCCAGCATCCGAAGCAGGTTGGTTAGCGTACATCCCAAGATGCATCATCCATGCAAGTTTGGTCGAGGTAGGGCTTATAGTTACTTGGAAATGGACCTGCTCCAAAAACTTTAATCTGGTCACTCAACGGGAAAATGTAGGTCAAATCCAGCATCCGAAGCAAGTGTGATAGTGTCCATCCCTAGATGCATCATCCATGCAAGTTTGGTCCAGGTAGGGCTTATAGTTACTTGGGAATGGACTTGCTCCTAAAACTTTAACCGGGACGCCGACACTAAAGCTGACGCCGGGGGTTTAGCATAAGCTCATCTTGACTTTGTCAGGGCGAGCTATAAATTCCAACATCGGTTGGATTTTAACTTAAAATCAACAGTGGGGTACAAATTTTTGCATCACCAGGACTGTTCAACTTTTTTTGGCACCACAAATTATGTAATGTGTATTTTAAAATTTTCAATATTAAAGAGCCAACAATAAGAGAAAAAGTTTATTTAACATAACACAAATCATTTAGCTACATGCACTCATCTCTTTCACACACTTTTCATCTATATTCAAGTGTAGTTGTCGCAATATATCTTACACAGGCATTAGCAAATACATGTATAGTAAAGCAAAAAACCATCTTAATTCCCAGTAAAAGTTCATCTTCCTTTGTTTTGTCTTGAAAATAAGGTTTGACAGGCCTAAAACTATCCCTAAAAGTTTATTTTTCTCTGAAATTTGTTGTGTCTATATTGAATAAGCTTATGTTTAATTATCAAATGAGTAATCAAAGGTAAGATTATTGTTCTTTTTTTAACTGATTTTTTAAATCTGATTATCATTGTCCTCCTCTTAAAGCCAGCACTAAATGTAGGACTGAACCTCCTGTCACTTTGTAGTCTTGTGCAGTTTTTTCATCATTCCTGAATAAAGAAATAAGAGAAAAATAATCATCCATGGTGTAAGAGTTAATGATATACTGTGGTGTGTGGAATCATTTCCATTTGTTCTTGGGCAAGCAAATTTGTATAAATATACACTGTATGAAAATGTTGAATAAAATAATTGTCCGTGGGGATGATGGATAAGGGTGACCCACAGAAATTCACGAACATTGGTACCCCACGAACACTGATGAATCCACAGTAGATAATTCCTAATTGTAGAGATAGGTCTGCCATCCATGATTTGTGACAAGTCTCTAGACAAAGAGGTAATTCCCCATCCTCGCAATGCCAGGGGTCCTGAGTCAACACTTTGCCATGGGACCCCTCCAATTTCATTAAATATTTTTGGGTTTGCTTCTCACTTTGAGAAGCACCAATCAAATTAAAGCTTTCATAAATAGTTAGATAATGTAAACAGAAAGGATTCAGTTGACACCTCAAATGCACGTGTTAAAAGTTGTTGATCATAGAATGGCTTAATGTGATTGGCCGAGAGAAAAAAAAAACAATAATCAAGATTTGTAATTTTTCTGAAAGACGTCGCTACAGTCAGCCCATGAACTATTGAATGAAACTGGCAAGGGGTCCCACAGCAACGTGTTGACTCAGGACCCCTGGCATTGCTGGTGATTCCCTGCAGTGGGATTTTTCTTTCCTTCACTCCCACATATGCTTGAATCTTGAATTCTCAACAGATGACAACCCTAGCCCAACTTTATACTAGAACTCTGGACTCTTGTGACACCATGAGTCTAAACCCTGGTCTCATGGTACAAAATTTTCAATTTTGAAGGCTCATACCCTGGTGGCTATATGACTTGTTGATAGTCAACGGCTAAAGGGGGTATTCAATGTTCTAATACACTTTCAATATAACACCAACTTAGTTAAGCTTGGATTACTGACATTCAGTCCACCATCATAATTGCACTTTTATTTTCAAAATTTTGATAAGTCATTTGAGTATGGCTTTGTACTGATATTACAATGCATGTATCTAAAAGAGTATCGTAGCAAGAAATTTTGTTATCGTTCCATCCCTATAAATTAGGATATGTCAATGACATTTAGGTATTCAGAATAATGTATATATTATTTGTATAAGGAATAGATGTGAGATTTGCATTATTTTGAATTTCAGATATTCTTTGGGGCTTTGTTCTAAAGTTTACTAATCAACTTACATTTGTTTACCGCTGAAAATCAATCTCTGTTGTGGTGGGGGAATCCCCTCTTTTTCTTCCACTCTCTCTTTGATTCTCTCCACCTTGAGAAAATTAGTGTATAAATAGAAATTCTTAATTTTTTAGTATAGCATAACTTGTTCTTATTATGAGTAAATACATATACATGATGATACCAGGTAATTATTGTAGAATTATAGATGTACTGAATATTTGGTTCATGGTTTACAATACATGTATTTTCATTCCTTGGGTGTTTACAGACAAAAAAATTGCAATATACATGCATGATTGCACTTACTTTGTCTGTAGGTTCGATGTCAATTTCAATCTGTAATGACAAAACACCATATTGTAAGAAATAATTCATACAGAGAAGGAAATAAACATCACCTAATGAATTATTTTTATATTGTACCGACAAAAAAAGGAAGGGGGAGGGAGAATAATTCATCACAAATTTTATAGGGTTATCAGGGTTATAAAAGCATTTTTGAATGCCAGAAATGCTTCTTCATCAGAATACATTTATATGCAAAGTTGTAGTATGTAAAGATTGGTTAAGACCACTTTTGGCCCTGATTAAGGATGTCTCTAAGAACTTTGCAACATTTTATCATTATAAAAACCTGTTGTCATCCCTAATCCCTATTACAAAATTACTATTGATTCTAGGCTATGGGATACATAAAGGTCACAAAACATGGCAATTTCTGTATTTTCTCATTTTATGCAAATTTTCATCAATTTTACAAATCTCAAAAAGGTTTTTAATGATTATTTCTTATTTTCAGTCCAACTCCTTTTGTTTTCTTTAAAATCATGCCGAGTAGATCTACTCCATTTTACGTCTACCTGTGGTTAGGGTTTTAACACACACACACACTGACAGAATAATTTGTGTTTATTAGACACAGATTATTCTGTCAATGTGTGCGTGTATGTGTTGGGAGGGGGGGGGCTACCTTTGATCTGATTCTGATAAAATAATTAAGTTACCTCTGGCTCTGAAAAGGTATCATCTTATGAATAACAGTGATATTTTCAAATAAGTACATTGTATATACAAGTATGAAAATTACTGTGCCGATTGTCAGATCTAAATATAGAAACCTTTTCACAATATACCAAGATTCAGAGACATTTATGATAAGTTTTGATGTCGTATTCTGTAAATATAAATATATCCGTTCTTTCTTTACAAAAAGATGAAGAAACACCAAATATATGGTTCATGTTACCCACAATGTACGAGTAAAAAATATCAATATCTTACCTCCTTTCCTGTCAATGTCTGAAAAATTAGGGGAAATCGTTAACAAGAAACATAAAAATATTGGTAAAATATTCAGAACATTAAAAAAAAGGACTTTTTTTTAAAATTCAAAGCGATTCTTTCTTACCTTCACTTTGATCAACATTATGAATGATTTCTTTTATTTCTTGCAAATATGCCGAAGCCGAATTTCCATAAGCAGTTCTGCAGTTCCGGTAAGCCGAATTTATCATGAAACAGTAATTTTGATTGGTTGAAAACGGAAAATTAATAATTTGTACATAGATTCGCTCGTATATTTTTAGCTCACCTGATCACGGATGACAACGTTACAGAATGGGTCTCAAGATCATAAAAACTGAGAACATACAGTTTAGATTCAATAAAATTTTCATTATGTGTCGGCTATGTGTTTGTATTCAAATACGGTAAAAACGTTAAATATTTTAAAAGTGTTTGTTATAAATAAAATTATGTATTCAAGATATTCAAATTCTGAATGTTAACATTTTATTTTTTCTTTTAATTTTTATTAACTATTTACATTGCCCAATATCATAACATGTATAAAAAGAAGACAAAAGAGTGTTTTTTGGGCACAGACACTCACTAGCTTATATATGTATAGACTCGCTCTTTACATGATAATAATTACTGGTAAAATGGTTGAAAAAAAAAATCTATAGCATATTTATAATCATAACTTTACATATTCTTCTTGAAATATATATTTACTACTCTATATTAATTTAAAGATACATCAATAAAAATCTAAATATGGTAGCAAACAATGTAACAGTTTTAAGCTGATTGAAATATGTTTTTTCCACAAGGACCACTCTTTTTCAAATTTTCTATGTAGAAATTATTTTATAGCTATACATTTTTCAATATTATTTTTCAATTTCATATGATTTAATAGCCCAAAAGGATTTGGAATTTTACTTTGCATTAAACATGTAAAAATATATTGTTTTGTATATAATTTTATAAAATTTTTAACATTGTTAACATTGTTGCTACATGTCATTGGTAGTTCACCTAAAATAGTATTTTCAACATTAACAGTATTTAAATAGTATTTTCAACATTAAAACATTAACTCTATTGTAAATTGTTTTGTAAAACTGAGGTTGGCCCACAAAGATAAAACTTTTTCACAACCAATGAAAACGTGCTGAATAGTTTCTACTTCTTGTTTGCTAAAAGTACAATTGTCCGAATTCTTAGTCTTATTATTATACCCCCGGATCGAAAGATCCGGGGGTTATATTGTTTTTGTCCTGTCTGTCTGTTTGTCTGTTTATCTGTTTGTCTGTCTGTCTGTTGTCAACTTTAACCTTGCCCATAACTTTTGATTGGTTGAAGCTATGACTTTCATATTTCACATGTGTATTCCTTGTGACAAGACCTTTCTTTGGAAACTATCATATTTTACCTTTTGACCTTGACCTTGGAGTTTGACCCACTTTAACAAAATTTTATGAGACTTTAACCTTGGCCATAACTTCTGAACAGTTGGTGCTTGGGGTTTCAAACTTCACATGTGTATTCTTTGTGGCAAGGCCTTCCTTTGGATACCAAAAACTTTGACCTTTTGACCTTAGAGTTTGACCTACTTGTGAAAAACTATAATCTTGGCCATAACTTTTGAACAGTTGGTGCTTAGAGTTTCAAACTTCACATGTGTATTTCTTATGACAAGACCTTCCTCTGGATATCAACCTCTTTGACCTTTTGACCTTGACCTAGGAGTTTGACCTACTTTTGAAAAACTTTAACCTTGGCCATAACTTTTGAACGGTTGATGCTAGGGCTTTCATACTTCACATATGTAATTCTTGTGACAAGACCTTTCTTTGGATACCAACTTTGACCCTTTGATCTTGACATTTTATTTACTTTTTAAAAACTTTAACCTTTGCCATAACTTTTAGACAGTTGAAGCTAGGGCTTTCAAATTTCACAGGTATATTCCTCGTAACAAGACCTTTCTTTGGGTACCAACATTTTTCATCTTTTGGTCTGGATTTTGACTTGCATTTGAGAAACTTTACTTTAACCTTTGCCATAAGCTGCCATTCGGGGCATCATTATTTCACAAATACATCTTGTTTTTTTTTTTTTTTTTTTTTTTTTTTTATGTATTCAAGCCCAGAGGCTTCGGAAAAATCTCCCTCCCCCCTCTCGTCGAAGCCCTGGGAGAATATGATTTTTCTTGGCTGAATAAATCTTCATATTTCCATCACCATCATGAAATAAATATATAATATATAGTATGCAATAGGTCCATTCAAATACAACTCTTCAAGGCTGAGCGAGACAAAGTAGGTATATGAACATCTCACTATTTCAAAAATGGAAGTAATAAGTGTAGCTAACTGAAGAAAAGAAGAAATAAATCTGTTTACAAAAATGAATATTTTTCCTAGGTATATTGAATCAAGTTGGTTCGAGGACTATATATATATTTACAAGTGAGCTGTGCAGGTTATGGCCTCTTGAAATGAATAAATTCGGGTTCGATGTTCATTTAATTCTGAATTACATATGGCGCTGGTTGGCTACTTTTTTCTTCTTTCCAAAATCAAAATTTAATGTTCCTGATTTTCAATTTTGCAAGAGTACTTCCATGGCACAGTATATCCAGGTTAGTGACGAAGAGGGTGACGAGCCGATAGAAATTCCTAGTGAGGATGACGGTTCGTTGTTGCTCAGCACACTCGCCGCACAGTTTCCGGGGGCATGTGGAATGAAATACAGAAATCCAAGCACTGGAAATTTTCGTGGAATTAGACTATCAGAGGGAAGACTGCATCCACCAGATGGAGTTTGGGGAAATTTTGTTTACATTGTTGTATTCCCCAAAGGTTTGTATTGAACAAGGAGTAATTTATATTGGCATTTTTATATTTGTTCCTTATTCAATCAGTGAGTCATGCAAGAGATGATATCCAGCAACAAAGTACATTTTTTTTCTGTATATACATACACAGAAGTGACATCTCATGAAGTTCTTAACATGTTGGTTGCAGTTTAAAAAAAGGATGTAAAGATTGTAACTCTTACAAGACAGCTTGAATAGGTCCGGCACAATTTCTTGATTTAGCTAAATAGCTTGAATTAGTTATCATTATTTTTATTTATCATTATCATTTTACATTTTTCTTAACCATGCATTTTTTTTATCGTTATCATTTGACTTTTTTCTTAAATGTGCATTTTTTTTCAGCATGCTAAAAAAAAAAATCACATTTTGGTGCACTGAAAGTTTTCAGCTTTGAACTCTGAATGCATGAGAAAATCATTCATCAAATTGCCAGGGCTCTACATTAACTTTTTTTCATACTTGTCCGTTTGGACAAGTGACCAAGACATTTACTTGTCCGAACTTCAACCTCACTTGATATTTTTCAATAAATAATTCTGTCAACTTGAAAACTATTACTTAAAATAAAGTCCATTTTATGCATGCTTGAGGGATTTGTGATTTTATTGATACATATGACAAACACATAAGACAAAATTTTATCTAGACTTTCTGTCCTGACAGCAACATAAATGCTCACAAATGAAACTGTCAACATCAAACAGAATCCAAACTTGGTAAGGTCCATGCCTTTGCAGTGGTATGCAATTAGTGAACTTCAATCCTGATCAAGTGTGAACTCAATTACATAGTGATTAATATTGGGATTAAAGTTTGGCTTTTATGTACTGCTTCAGTCTTTAACCTATTGTTAAACTTTTCACCAGTTGTTCTTTTTATTATTTAGAGGCTTCGTTACATAAAAAAGCACTTGTCCAATCGGACAGGTGCCCAGCAATATTCACTTGTCTGTAAATTTTTTTCACTGGTGCCGGACAAGCAGACAAGAGTTAATGTTGAACCCTGATTGCGTCTCCTTTGAGAGACTTTGTACTCATTGACAAAGTTCTAGAAGTTTTAGGGAGTTATAAAGAATCTGTGACCACACAGTTACTTCTTGAATGAACTTGTATAACATATCAACTTGCAGATAATGTGATGATAAAACGCAAAGGAGATGAGGCTGGTGAAAATTCAGTGGCAAAGAATAAATGTGTTGATAAACAGAGATGCAGTGATCTCATTGTTCTTGGCTTACCTTGGAAAAGTAATGAAGATGATCTGCGCAGATACTTCTCTTCATTTGGAGAACTGCTTCTTGTACAAGTAAGTTAATTTATTACAAAATCATATAAATTTAAAAAAAAAAAAAAAATGCCGGCTTTTGCTCTTTGAGCAATGAGCCTGACTAAAAAAATGTTTTGTTCTTGAAAAAAAATTTTCTACTTCAGATATTTTTGGTTTTATTAAGATTTGGTGTAATTATGATGAAGTTTTATCTTAAAAAGTATATTTTGTGTAATGGCTTGTTTTTTTAGGTGAAGAGAGATGTGAAGACAGGAGCATCAAAAGGGTTTGGCTTTATTCGATTTTTAGAGTATGATTCGCAAGTAAAGGTTTTGGCACAAAGACACATGATTGATGGAAGATGGTGTGATGTAGCTATTCCAAATTCAAATGCAAGTATTTTCAGTGGAATAATTTGTTTTATACTAATTAATCAAATTTAGAGATCCGTTTCTCAGTTTTTAAACAATAAAAACATCAAAAATTAAAAGATATCATTTGACATGTCATTATACCATTCCTAGTATTGGCATTTTGCAAAGTCCAAAGACAGTGTTTTACTTTGATTGCTCATAGATACAGTTTTTTAAGTATGCATTGTGAAAGTAAAAATTCAAATAAAAATTTATTAATTCATTTTATTACATGTACAACTGTATATATTATTATATAATGCATAATGATGATAATTCATTCTTGGTTTTTTCCTTTCATACAGGAAGGTGCTGCAGAAATGGTTAGCAGAAAAGTTTTTGTAGCAAGATGCACTGAAGACATAACAGCTGATGACCTAAAAAGTTACTTTTGCAAATATGGGGAAGTGTCCGATGTTTTCATTCCCAAACCCTTCCGAGCATTTGCTTTTGTTACTTTTGCAGATCACAGGGTTGCTCGATCTCTTTGTGGGGAAGACCATATTATCAAGGGTGCAAGTGTTCATGTCACCACAGCTGCTCCCAAAAACGCCGACAGAAATGATAACAGGGGCAGATTTGATCATGGAGGAAGTGGGAGGGGAGGGGGACATGGGGGGTGGAGCCAGCAAGGTAAACCAATTGCTACTGTAGGTACAGTTCCACCTGTGCCTGACCCAAACATGGCTAATAGTATAGGCATGAATTTATTGAATTCAGCTGTGTTAGCAGCAGCCCAGGCTATGTTACAAAGTCAAGGTCAGTTACCAGCACCCCAACCACAGCCAGTGGGTCAAGGTCATGGGGATCCTTTTGGTGTTCAAACCACAACTGCCAGACAGACCCAGCAAACAGGGTTCTTTAGTACTCAGAACTCTGCAGGCTGGGGGACAGCTGACACCAACACATCCGCAGGCGGATATCCCAACTGGGGAGGAAACAGCCATCAGAGTGGTTGGAGTTAATGTATGGGAGGATACATTGTTTGGTGTGCGTCAGTGTGGTGTTGATTTTTTTACTATGCAGAGTGCTAAGCCTTGTGTTTATTAGGGCTGGAATGATATGGGAAGACAGACTTCTATGATCCATGCATCTACTGCTTGTAGTATATATCTGTTCCTATATTTTGATTGTATATCAAAAATTACATGTATAGCCAAGTCAAATACTTAAGTTATGTTAAATTAATTCTTTTAATTCAAAGACAAAAAAAGTCCCGAACAAATATTTTTCCTCTCGTAAAAAAAATATCAAAGACTTTATTTTCTCTTTTTTTCTAGGAAATTACTTGGTAATATTGAAAAAAAAATCTAAGCTTTTATCAGTGTAAAGTTGAATTACTGAACTAAAAAGTATTTTAATGTGCAGAATGTAGCAGAATTTGCAGTCATTGTACCAGGATGTATATTGTTTCACATTTTACTTGTATCATCCCAGCCCTAGAGTTTAACCATTTATAAGGTCACTACAGCAGTTTCTAGAACTTTGCTTATTCTAAAATGATATTTATCCTTTTTGTTAATTTGCACCATAGGTTTAACAGTTTTTTTAACACACATAATTATATTGTCCATTCAGAGAAAGTTATTTACACAAACTGACATCTAAACTGTACCTTTTAATTAACACATTGCTCTATAGCATATTAACTTATACATTTAAAGAGATTGTTTCACCTTCACTAAAGTGGTGCTTTCAGAGGAGAAATCAGTGCTAAGCACGACAACTTGTTTATCCTTTCAGAGTTTAAAAGTAATTCATAAGATTTTTAACATGGGAACTTGGTTCCAAGTTTGTTTTTTTTTTTTTGTGTTGCTTAAATATGATCAGAAATCTTAATATGTACATGTACATAAAATATTATGTGTGGATTTGCATAAATTGTTAATCAGTGTATCTACCTTCAGCATTCCCATTTGTTGTAAATTTTTACGAAAAGTAGCTTTCTATATTTTCCCTAGCAACCTACTACATGTAGCAGATGCCTAAAATTTTCTAAATTGTTTAAATTTCACCTTTATTTTTTTCTGATGCTGATATTGTATTTACTTCTAAATAGATTTTTTGAGATTTGTATTTCAGTATGTAAAACTATTTAACACTGTGTGACCATTATGAAAAGTAATTGGATTATTGGTTGGACTGAAATGAACAGAACTTGAAAGATGTAATCTAGACTGAAGTGTGTATTGAGAAAATTTGGAAAAAATTGAATTAATTGAATCATGAATGGAATGAACTGAATCATGAGTGATCTGGAATGGACTGAATCATGAGTGATCTGGAATGGAATCATGAGTGATCTGGAATGGAATCATGAGTGATCTGGAACAGACTGAATCTTGAGTGATATGAAATAGAAACTTGAGCAATTTGGAACAGAAACATGAATGATCTGGAATATGAATCATGTGTGATCTGGAGCAGACTGAATCTTGAGTGATCTAGAATGGATTCAGTGGTGTATGGATGCTCTGGAATGGACACAGATGAAGTGTGATTTTGCTTTTATGTTGTATTGTGCAGAATGAATTAAAGGAGAGTGTATATATGGTGTGCAAAAGTGTTTTGAGTGTTTCTTTTTAGCATTGAAGTCTATGGTAATATCTGTGTTTTTATCTTTCAGGGGTACCTCCTTGAGGGTTGAGCATCATTAGAAAGAGACAACTTGCCTAACTCATTGTGCTTAAAATCAATTTAAGGTTAACATGCTTATCATATATTTCTTTTAGCTCGGTGTGGTAAAACCCGTACAAATTTATGAACAAATACTCTTTCATAATAACACACCTTTTGTTAGGACTTACTAACGTCTTCTCTGCCCGTTGCTATTTAGCAAACTAAGTGCATGGTTATGATGAGCAAGGGTGCCTCTTCAAAATTTGTGAATTGATTACCCTTGGGTCAGGAGTTTTGGTGTTAAGGAGGGGCCCTATTGATTATATAGTGAAAATGCATTTATTCTTTGAAAATTTTCTTCTCTTCTCCTGGGCATGTAGGAGGTAAACAGAGTACTAAGTTGTAATGATGAGGATTTTTTCTTTTCTTTTTACAAGATTTGTGAAATTATGGAATACTGGGTCAAGTGTTCTTGTGCTGGGTAGGGTTCTTTTGATATAGGAAATTTGCACTCTACTGAGAAAGGTTATTCCCTCTTTGCTATTCACCTATGATAATAAATTACTGTATTTGGTAGGTCAAATTGAATAAAAATTAAATAAGAATTTTTATTGTTTAAAATACAAAAAGTACTTTCATAGTGTTTAATGGCCAGGTAGACCGTAAATAATAGATAAAATACAAAAAGAAACAAAAATACTAGCACCTTATCTTTGTGTATTATATATTCTTCAAGGACCAAGAAAGGCCTGCGTGTGAGGGAATGTGAAGGGTTTATTCCATGTTCTCAAACACTATTGTATTATATAGTGCACCTAATGATAATGACAAATGGGAGTGTATAAATAGAACTATTTTATGATATATAACGGAGTACTAAAATTACCATTTTGTTGATCCCTGATTATCCTATTTCGCTTGCTTTGGGGCAGCATTTCCTCATCTCTCAGTTTATTTTATTTCATTCTTCAGTGGATCCTTTATAGTGTTGTGTTACACTTAAGTGACCGGTAAGCCCCTTTGGAATCTTGCTCTCTAAGCCTAAAATTAGCCCTAAAGAACTCCTTTTCAGTTTTACATTAATTAAAGAAATCGTATCATATTTTGACTTTAAGCTTTTTTTTGTATTTTAGAAAAGAAAAACAATTTAGAAAAACGTACGAAAGGTTATATAATACAAAAGCATAGTATATACCATGGGCCTTAATTTGGGAACGATTGTTTGATCGTAACGTCCCATGCGAGAATTTTCACACGTATGGAGACGTCACCATATACCGATGAAGGGCTTCAAATTTAGACCTCTATACTCGGTCAGTTAGAGCCATTGAGAAGTGAGAGATTGAAGGTTTTGATGTGAATATATGGGAACAAATCCTATAAAGGATTTCTTCAATTCAACAGTGCCCTGATTGGTGATATTTACTGTAAAAGAATCTAATTGTGCAGTGCCAGGAACCAAAAAAAAATTGATAAATTGTTCTAAAAAGTAAATTGTATCCGTATGTGCAAGCAAACTCAGGAATTAAGACTATTAGTGTATATTCAGGTTTGTTCAAATCATGGTCTCCAGGAATAGAGCGGGCCATTTTTTTTCATGTACATGTAATTAAATAGAACAGGATATGGATTTTGGTGATAATTGTACACAAGAAGACTCGAGTAATTCAGAGTCAATTTTAAACCAGACGGGGTAGGGTGGACCACAATAGGGAAGCAAAGTTTTACATGGGGATATACTAGTATAAGAAAACGTGGAAATCAATGTGACATCAAACCGGGTTTTCTTTTGTGTGAAGAGTACTGGTATTTTTCACATGAATTAAAAACTTTCCATTCTGAAGACTATAGGAGCTGACATCCCAACAAAATCAATGTACCCTATTTGCAAATTTTGGAGAGTGTACCCTATTTGCAAATTTGGAGAGAAATAACAACTAAGTTCAACAAATGGTATTTTCCCCGTGATGATAAAAAAAATCAAAGTGTCATATACGTGCAATTGATCTGCAAAATAAAAACTTCTTATATTGAAAACTGTAGGAGAAGGTTATCAGGACAATGATGTACATATCTGCAATATTTTGCAAAAAATAATTCAAATAGTTCAACAGCAGGTATTTTTTCCTGAAAAATTATCAAAATAAAATCAAAATTCAAGTGATATGCACATCTCTGATATATATACAATCGATCTGCAAAATAATGTCCCCATCTTGAAAACTTTCGGAGAAGTTATTACGACAAACGATGTACTCTTAATGCAATATTTTACAAAATAAATTACTAAGTTCAACAGCTGCTATTTTTCTCATACATAACTAAAAATCAAAATCCATGTAAAATGCACATCTCTGATATATGTACAATTGCTCTGCAAATCAAACAAGATGTGTTTGTGAAACACTGATGCCCCGTATGGCAACTTAAAGCAAAGGTTAAACTTTCTCAAATGCAAATCAAATATGTTGATACCCAAAGTAAGGTCTTGTCTCGAGGAATAAACCTGTGAAATATGAAAGGCCTTGCAGCAACCATTGAATAGATATGGAAAAGGTTAAACTTTTTTTTCAAAAGTATGTCAAAATCAAGGTCAAGGTCAATAGTCAAAATTAATGGTGCCAAAGGAAAGGCCTTCTCCCAAGAAATACACAGGAGAAATATGAAAGCCGAAGTACCAATCGTTCAAAAGTTATGGCCAATGTTAACGTTTTCCAAAAGTAGGTCAAACTCCAAGGTCAAAGGGTCAAAGTTGTTGGTATCCAAAGAAAGGTCTTGTCACAAGGATTACATATGTAAAGTATGAAAGCCCTAGCACCAGCCGTTCAAAAGTTATTGCCAAGGTTAAAGTTTTCCAAAAGTAGGTCAAACTCCAAGGTCAAAGAGTCAAAGTTGTTGGTATCCAAAGGAAGGTTTTGTCACAAGGATTACACATGTGAAATATGACAGCCCTAGCACCAGCTGTTCAAAAGTTATCGCAAAGGTTAAAGTTTTACAAAAGTAGGTCAAACTCCAAGGTCAAAGGGTCAAAGTTGTTGGTATTCAAAGGAAGTTCTTATCACAAGGATTACACATGTGAAGTATGAAAGCCCTAGCACCAACCGTTCAAAAGTTATGGCCAAGGTTAAAGTTTGGCAAAAATTTGCAAAACTGGGTCAAACTCTAAGGTCAAAAGGTCATATATGATGGTATACCCAAGGAGAGGTCTTGTCATAATGAACACCCATGTCAAATATTAAAGCCTTACCCTTGACAGCGTAATAGTTATGGGCTAGGTTAAAGTTGACAACAAACAGACAGACAAACAAACAGACAAGACAAAAACAATATACCCCCGAGATCCTTCAATCCGGGGGCATAAAAAAGTTCCTATATCCTGTATCTTGGAAACTGAAGAAGGAGTTATACGGACGAATGATGCACTGTACCCTTTTGGCAGCAGACTGCCATTTTCACCATTTTCAATAATCTGATTTTTCCTACGGAAAACCCAGTCAAAAGTCTTTAAATGATATTTTCCCTAGGAACAGCAAGACCAGGATTAGTCATTATATGCAAGGACCCTAAAGTAGTGCAGATCAATTTGTTCAAATCCCCCTTTGGGGGATAAGATAGGGCAACAATGGGAGATTTAAAAATTTTATGAAAATACTGTATGTATTTGGGAAAATCTTTTTTTCCCAAAGCTGCAAGGATGTGACAGTCATACTGATATTGAGGCATCCCAATGACGCGTGGATTCAAGTTATGTCATGATCCTTGAGGAAATGGGTGGGATAAAAATATGGGGTTAAAATTTTTCATTTGAAGAGAAGGAAAAAATTTTGATTAAGAAGATCAGCAGGTCCAACGGGACTCAGGTGAGCGTTGCAGCCCATATGTATGGATCTTTTGTTAGCTCACCTGAAGCAAAGTCTAAAGTGCGCTAAACATGTTATTATGTGTCGTAATTTTTTTCTTCACATTTTCATCTTCCCCAGAATCTCTACTGATCCAAACTAACTTATATATTGCGTAAATTTATTGTATGCTTGGGTGAAGGAGATTCGATTATCCAGATAAAGGACCATGTCCCTTTTAAGGGGAGATAACCAAGAAAACCTTAAGTAAGGTGGAAACATTTAAAATATTCTCAAGAACCACTGGGCAAGAAAAGACGAAATGTATGAAGACTTTGTGTGGGTTTAAGTTTTGTACAATTCATGAACCCTGAGGTAGGGTGAACCACAAGAGGGGATCGTAAGTTTATATGGAAGTAGACAAGAACAGGGCTATAAGTACAAACGCACGGACGGACACTCCTCTCACGGCTCAAGGTAGGACGATAATGGGGGATCAAAGTGGGTGGAAAATCTCCTTAAGAATCGTTGGGTTATATAGTTAGTATTTACAGTGTATTATTCATAATAGCATAGTAAGCATACCAATGCAGTACAGCTTCAAGTCCGAGATTAAGTTTCCATTCTGGCCCCTTGGACTAGGATGATTTCAAAAAATGAATTTGAATGTTTATAAATGATATTATAGAGAAAATTTTCTAAAAGCAATAATAGCAAATATTCCTGATTTAAATTGTGTAGCTATAGGAAAATTTTTAAAATTTAATTAAATCCTTGGGTTAGGTTGGAACCAAAATCAGGGGATAGAATTCTATGTAATACATGTACATGTGTTCACACAGAGAAAACCCCTTTTTACGAACGGCAAGACCGTGTAAGTCATATTGAGATCGAAACAATCCCATATTGACTGGACCCCTTGGAGCGAGAGTGGGCCCATATTATAGACTCATAATTTTTCGTGGGAATAGATGGGGATATTTTTTTTCATGTTTTAAAAATTTAAAATGCGGTCAAAATTAATTATTTACAAACTCAATTTTCATATCGATGATGATTCAATACTGAGCGCTGTGGCCTTTCGGATAAAGAATTTTCATCTTTGGTTGTTAACCAGGAATTTCTGTACAAAATGGTAAGGAATGTCGATGATTTTCAATTATTTCATTATTCAAATCCAATACACCACACTGGGAAGGAGGGGGAGATCATATTATCTTTGTTCTGTATTCGTATGTAACAAAAATGGTTATTATATATGTTCCATATAATAATATGTTATATATGTTCGGCAGTATCAAAAGTTTTCAACCGATGAGCAAAGGACAGTATAACAAACTCAAAATTATCGTCATGACGCGTAGAATTATTTTCAAACCAAAGTGTTGGATATGCAATACAAAGAGGACTTGAACGTTGCCCCCAGAATGCCAATAAAGCCTGTAATTATGACAGAGAGTTCTTTTAATGATCCTTACTAAAAGTGATATGAATATCATTCTACAACGGGTTTTGGATTGTTGACTGAAATAAAATACATGTGTATACCGCTCTTCTTGACAGCAATGTTTCCTCAGCATTTGCAGGAAATTCTGATTCGTTACATTGTACTGATATGGACGTTATCAACATTTGACCAAATTTGATGTAACTTATGGGAAAAAAAATGTCCAGGCTAAACCCTAATGCTGAAAAAAATATGACAACTGCTGCTTGTTACCCGGGAAACTGCAGTGAATTGGACTTTGTGTTTGTATGGTCATTTGAGGATCCACTGAATTGCGATTCGATAATAAAGTAAGACAAACTAAATTAAAAGAGTAACGAATGTTGCGCACAAAGAAAATACGGTGATTAATGATCAAAAAGATAGTTTGACTGGTATTAATGAAAGTTTAGAGAAAGTCTATTTATTTGCAAGTTCACTGTCTTTGATCGTATCACCCGCGTGGCGCAGTAGTTAGAGCGTTAGCTCTAGAGTCGCGGAGCGAAGTGAGGAGTTGATCCTTGCGTTGCGGGTTCGAATCCCACTGTGGGACGTGGAGACCGGTCCTTCGGAGCGCATAAATCGAGGTCTCGCGTCGCAGTAGGTGCTGGCACAGAAAAGATCCTTTACTGCTCAATGGCCCTGAGTTAATTCCCAGTATAGGTCAAAATTTGCAGCTCTCCACCGGCAAGTGGTGGCGTCTCCATATGAGTGAAAAATTCTCGAGAGGGACTTAAAAATACACAAACAAACAAACAAAAACCAGACCTGCTTTATTGTAATTTGTGCCTTGTCCGATGGAAGTTATGAATCAACCAAGTTGAATCAAATAATATAAAACACTGCAAAGTATTAAAGCATGCGATTTTATTAGTAAAAATAACGATTATCAACAGTGATTATAAAACATGCAGATATCTATATAAAAAATAAATATACTATTGGAGTAAACCAATCATTTGGCACATAATTATGAAAATAATAATACTAAAATAATGGTTCATATGTTCTTAGATAAAAGTTTGGATCCCTTATCTTGGAAATTCCTTTGGCCACTGCTAAAAAAATAAAAATAGTCAAAAGACCGTTTCCAAAGAAATCTCACAGAAATGTTAAATGAAAGACTGTGGTTGTAGATAACGTTCCATCACTGAATGTTAACAATATCCGACAATATTCAGAAATCTCTGTCATCCAATTAGAAGAAAGGCACAGACGCCACAAAGCAGTGAGAGCCAGAAGTGACAAGAATCTCTGGTCCATAGAAATTGTCTGCTTCCAACAGTGAAAAACTGTCAGGTGACAAGTTTTCTAGTAACAGGGATGTGTTAACCACTGGTCTGTAGTCCTCTGGGAGTGTCTGTTAAACATATTTTATAATTATTCAGTTTGTTAAACTAAGAAGAACTTTGGAACATATGTAAATTGATTATATAATGATAACAATTAAGCCCAAGGTGTATGCAACAGTTTTACTAATACTTTTGGAAAGTAAACATATTTAAAATTTTGTATTTTCAGCAAAGCATACTTTCACAACTCTTATAAATAAACAATTTTATTTCAACAAAATGTGTAAGGCCTACTACATGTAATACCTTTCTGATAGACATTGGCTCTTTTTTGGACCCAGAGTTCAACTGGCTACATCTTTCATTGACCTTCTGGACAGCACTATTAGACAAGGACTTATGCTGAAGCTGAAATTATTTTACACAATTTATATACTTTCATTTAAAATACATGATATATTCTATTTTCACATAATGTCAAATTATGTTTTCTGTATGTAACCTTTTGTTCCTGGGCAGACTGCTTTGATGGCACAGGAGATCTTGATACAACACTTTGTGGTTCCTTTTGTTTAAGATCTGAGTTCACAGTGTCCTTTGCTTTTTTGTCAGCAGTAGTAGCCTCTTTAAGAGTAGAATCAGCTCTGTCCTTAGCATTTCTACCAGCAGTGCTCATTTGCTTGGATGTGGAATCAACACTTTCCTTTTTATCATCAGTAGATTCCACCTGACCCTGAAAGCATTCAACATGTCAATTTAAACTTGCACTTATAATTTTCTGAATTATTCTTCTTAATGACTTTTTATAAGTCTTTGTTTTGAAAAAAAAAAGAGAAAAAAAAGCCCCTGACACCGGCGGACTGGTGCCAGAGGCAATTAGTTTTAAGAGAGAGAGGAAAATTTGAATTCAGGTATTTATTACACCTACCTGTTTTTGTCTGTTCAGGATCCTCATAATTCTGGCAACATATGGAGGATATTCCACTGAGTCTGTTTGAACTTTGGGTGGAATAACAATGCGTTTGACCCCCTTCTAGAAAATAAAAGAGGAAGTCAAAAATTCAATTTACAATAAATCTTGTAAGAATCAAACAATTTTAAAGGATTTATTTAATATTGTTTTAAATTACCTTGCCACTTTTCTGAGTTACAGAGGATGGGGCAGAATTCTGACTCTGAGTCTGCTGCACTGTTGCTTCCATTTGTTTCCCAGGGGTCTGCTGCATGGATCTTGCTTCCATTTTATCCAAATTTCTACTCACTTTGGCTTTTGAGCTGTTGGAAGTTAATTGTTTGTCCAGACTTGCATATTGTCCCTGGGAAACATTTTTAGGAGTCCTTTTCTTAGTCTTTCTTGTTTTAGTTTTTGTTTGTGCCTCCATTGGTGCCACGAATGTAGGTACACTCTTTGGGTTAAGACTCCATGATTCCTGACACCAAAAAATATACATTTTTTTGTTATTGAAAATGTTACTGACTTTCAGCATAGAAAATACAGTTAAGAAATTGACAAAAACAAATCAGAAAAAACTTACAAGCTGATTAGCAGAACACCTCTGGGGATAGTCAGCTGATAGTCCAGTTGTTGCCATATTAGGTGTGGGTGTCACCAAAGGTGAGTATGCACCCTCATTGTAACAGTTGCTACTGACTCCATGGATCGTTTGAGTTGGTAGATAAATGATCTGATCATTCACTCCAGCAACTGAAGGAATACTGAGGATATTGGTAGGAGCTTGCAGTTCTGTTCTCTTAACCCATTCATCTGGTACAATGGTTGGAGTACAGCCTTGAATCTCCAAATTTATGGGTAAAACCTGTTTATAAAGACACAACAGTGTTATTTTTGCAATCTAAATTATTAATTATTAACTTCAAAATTATAAATTTTACAAATCAAGCTTATTTGTACATTTCTTTTACTATAGATTTAAGAACCGCTCTATGTATTTAGATGTGAATACTTTCATGGGTCTGTTTGAAATAAATAAACTGAACATTTAGTGTCTTATTTTTCCAATATGATTGTTCTCTTTAATGTAAAAGAAAGCATCATCGGTGTGTGTATAAAGATATAAAACACACTTAAATCTGGGAATTTATGTCCCCGTAGGATTCAGATGGAGGGAGAAAAGAAGGATTAACTTTAACCTTGATCTTTTGGCCTCAAACCAACAGGGGTCTTTCTTAAATTAGAAAGTCATAACCTTGGTTTCATTGCAAAAGCTCGGCATAAGTTATCATCTGGAAACCACATTATGCAATCTATGAATTTCTAATCTTGGCTTTTGACCTTTTGACCTCAAAATCAATAGGGACCTGTTTTAGGTCATAAGTAATGATATTAATTCTGTTGCAAAACCTCCAGGAGATCTAAAGTTGTCATTTAGAAACCATTTTCTGCAATGTGTGCATTTCTGACTTTTTTTGACCTTTGGACCTCAAAATCAATAGCACTGTTTTTAAGTAATAGAATATTATGATATAATATTTCTTGCAATAGCTCATAGAAACTTAAGCCATCACTAGTTTCTGACCTTGACCTTTGACTTCAAAGTCAATAGGGTTCTTTCTTTAGTTATAGGGAATTATGAATATGGTTTAATGCTCTGCCCATTGCAAAAGCTCAAAGAAAATGAAATTTACAATCTGGAAACCATTTCATGCAAATTTGATTTTTAAACCATGACCTCTGACCTTTTGGCCTAAAAATGAGTATGTTTTTTTTGGAGTCATAGGGAGTTATGTTAAAAAAAAATTAAAGTAAAAGTTAAAGAACATTTTAGAATATCAGAAACTTAAGTGTTACACATAGATGGATAGACAGATACTGCAGACTGAAATTAATATTCTCCACATTTAGTGAAAGTGGGGTCAGAAAGTATGAGTTAATTTTCACACATTTTCATTGCACATCACTGTCCAGTTAAAACTTTTCATATCTGAAAATGAAATAAAGAGGACAATTTTTGAATACATGTTTCTTGAACATGAGATACAAGTATACTTACAAGTTCATTTGCAGAGATTGGCTGTTGTGGCTCTGCCTGTGTCAAAGTTGGATTTAGAACATGGACAGCAAAACCATTCTGAGCTGAGGGATGAATGTTTCCCTGGCTGTTTAAGACCTGCTGTTGTACAGTAGACTGAGCATTGTATCCTGTTTGCAGTACAGTCTCCTGAGACTGCTGCTGGATGGATGTCCATGGTAGGGTCTGTCCTGATCTCAGCACATTCAAGGTCAGTTGTGGATGCACATTTGTGCAGTCAGTCTACAAAAGAAGACAAATTAAAAACCAAATATTGTAAACTAAAAGTACTGTGGACAAGCTAACAAAATCATACCCTCTGCTACAATTTTAAATTGCTTAAGTACCAGTACATTTTTTGATCTTGGCTCAAGAAAATGAAACACCCTCTGGTCATAAGTAATCTGTTTTCAAAGTATGAATGTCCAGTGATTTTCCATTAGAAAATTATGGACCAGAGACAAATTTTTACTTTTTCTGACAGAGTCTTGAACTTCCCATAGGACCTAAGGTTAAGTATGATATATCCTTAAGTCAGGAGCAATCTTTGCATAAAGTTTCAACTTCCATTTTATCTCCAGTAGAAAGTTGTGACACTTATTCTGACAGTGACCTTGAACTTCCCAATATGACTTTGGGTTATGAACAAGAAACAATCTTGGATCATAAGCAATCTTAAGTTTGCAATAAATGAGCTTCAAAGTTCAAATGTATCTCTAATTACAAAATATGGTAAGGACAGGTTAAATAAAGTTAAATAAAAGTTTCTAAAAATGTGACCTTGAAGCTGACCAAATGACCTTTGATCAAGATCATGACATGCTCTTATGTCATAAGTAACTTTTGTATTTTGCATGAACTTACAATGTTTTGATTTGGTTTGGATTTTACACATTCAGCTATTGACCTTGAAATCCCTAAATGACCTTGGTTAAGGTCATGACAGATCCTTAGATCATAAGCAATCTTTGTATCAATTATGAACTTCAAATTTTTCTCCATTAAAAAGTAATGGCCCAGAATGATTGCATAGACAAAACCCCCACCCCTCCTCAACTTTGTTTGCGGTATATGCATGTTTCCTAAACAAAAACATACCTGCTGTTGTATCTTTGTCTTTGGTTGAGAAGGATACACAGTGTAAGAGAAATTAGTGACATTAGGGTCAACTGCTTCAGTGCTGGGGGCTGAGCGACCATTAGGAAGAACTGTTGAGGTTATGAATTGCTGTATTTGTTCATTGCTCAAGAAAGGTTTTGCCACCTGTAAAAAAATACAGATATAATTATGTTTACTTAAATATACTTCTTAAATTTTATTAATGAACTTTTGCCTGTATCAGCATTTGCCTTTATCCGGCTTAGTAGATCACTTACTAGTAAATGTGACCTATTTAAAATTAACATTTATTAAATAGGTTGCTAACTACATGTAAGGGTTATACTAGAAATTGTTTTAACCATTCCATTTAACATACCCCATTTGGCACCACTCTCCCAGCAGTACGAGTGGGCCCTGCGTTTTGAAATACTGCTTGATTAGCAGGTTGAATATAGCGTTTTCTTGGTGGCTGAACCTGTTATAGTAAAATACATGTATATGTATTACAAATGTGTATGGGGGTCCATATATTGCAAATTCGGCCAAAATTGAACAAAAATTTAATAAAAAGTGGACAGTTAATTGTAGAAATGTCATGGAAAAAGGAAAAGAAATAGATAAAAGGTTGAGAGAAGAACAAATAATATTCCAAAGGAAATAGATTGAGGAAGATTAATATTTTTAAATTAACTTACTTGTATTTTACATCAATATATATGACATATAAAACAAAACTGAGACCTCCTCAATTCCCCCGGAAGTGATGGGTGTGGTCAAGATGTCCACTCCCAGCCTCTCGTAAATACGCGAGGCATCTTCCGGGTTGGAATACTGGACATCTACTCTCTTCTGAAATGACAGAAAATAAAATGTTTAAGCATCTGTCCCATCAACTGGTAAAATTTAAATACTTTTAGAAAATGTTTTGGCCCAGAAAAACAGTGAAAATACAAAAAGAGTTTACTTTTCCCTCCCTAATTTTTACACATTTTAGGAATAAATGATAATGATTAAAATTTCATAAAAAAACAATACAAACTAAAATGATATATTAATCTCAAATTAGTTTTCATTAAAAGGCCGGTCCCCTAACAGAACAAATTGCTCTCGTTTGGTGTTTTTTTTTCTTTTTGCTTATCATTTTTTTCAAACACATAATTTATGGGTCCTCAGTAATTCCTCCCCTTTTTGCCAGCAGTTCAAAAAACGATACTTTGTATTATTTTTTCTCTAAAATTTCTCCCATGTATAGAAAGATAAAAACGATAAATATCCAGATTTAGAAAAACCACTCTAATGTTCAAAATAAAGAAAACGTGTTTCACGATCAAAGGGGAACAACTCAAATTACTCGCTGTTCGATGAGTGCCCTTTGCCTGCACATGTACAGGTAAGCATTCTGCATTATTTTGCAGATAAACATATTTACCTTTTCTATCACTCTACCTACCAGTACATGGTCTGGGTTTGGATATATTATTACCGGTATTGTATAATTAAAGAGTATCATAGCCTGGTAAGAATCGATTATCTTGTTTTTTCTCTGATTAATGAGACAAATAAAACGGAACCCAATCTAAATACTATAGGATACTAAGCAATTATTATATACATTATGCTACACTTTACAGAAGCAATCGACATCTGTGCACATTAGCCTAATTAGGCCTAATACCGGGTATTCATTCATTCTGCTTTGTACAGAACCCTAACTTGGGCCTAAGGCACAAAGTTTGCCAAGGACTTAAAACAATCATCTTTCTTCCAATCTTTATTAATATTATGTTCATTTATTTACCAGGTTTTTAAATGTTCATAGAATTCAAAAGATTAATGAAGATAAAGCCTACATCATGGTAATACATGTAGGTCTATACAGCTATATGTAGGTCTTCTGCCTCTCGTTTTTCCCTCCCTAGCAACAGAAAACTGTAAACTTTTTCTTACAAAAGCAAACAGATATGACCATTACCCTCTTATAGCTCTGTCTGTTCATTTCTGTAACTGTATTGACTGTATGTTATCAAATATTTCAGAAAAATCTCCGCTCAGCGAAAATCACGTCTTATCTCAACAACTGATGCTGAAACAATGAGCTGTAACCAAAACACATCACACAGCCTAGCAATCATGACGTCATCACCAAGACGACAACCAATGAAAATATTATCCTATTTCGGAAGTAGAAAGAAATCGACATCCCCCCCCCCCTTAAACATGAGATGGCTAGTGGTGCCCCCTTTTTTCTTTTAAAAGAAAAGTCTTAATTTTTTGTTGACAAAGTATGGGAATTTTCATTAAAAGGCCGGTCCCCTTATTGTTTATGCACCCTTCCCCAGAATAAATTGCTCTCGTTTGGTGTTTTTTTTTCTTTTGCTTGTCAATTTTTCAAACACATAATTTTTGGGTCCTCATTGATTCCTCTCCTTCCTGCCAGCAATTCAAAAACGATATTTTGTATTACTTTTTTTTCTAAAATTTCTCCCATAGTGGAAAAAAAAAATGATAAAGTAAATATCCAGATAAAGAAAAATCACCTAATTTTCAAAATAAAGAACACTTTCTATTTGCACGATCGAAGGGGAACAACTCAAATTACTCGCTGTTCAATGAGTGCCCTTAGCCTGCACGTATATCATTATTAGACATTTGTAGATAAACATATTTACCTTTTCTATCATTCCCAACAATTATTCTAGCTACCAGCGCATGGTTTGGTTTTGGATGTAATTATATTATGTATAGAGTATCATAGCCTGGTAAGAATCGATTATCTTGCTTTTTCTCTGATTAGATGAGCCAAATAAAAAGGAATCTAAATACCATACTCAGCAATTGCTACACTTTAATGTAGCAATCGACATCTGTGTACATTATCCTAATTGGGTATAATACCGGGTATTCATTCTGCTTTGTAAAGAGCCTTAACTTGAGCCTAAGACGCAAAGTTTGACAAGGACTTAGACAAACATCTTTCTTCCAATCTTTATTAATTTTACCAAATTTTTAAATGTTCATAGAATTCAAAAGACTAATGAAGATAAAGCCTACGTCATGGTAATACACGTAGGTATATACAGCTACATGTAGGTCTTTTGCCTGTCGTTCGAGATTTAAAGAAAATCCCTCCCTAGCAACAGAAAACTATAAAGTTTTTCTTATAAAAGCAAACAGATATGACCATTACCCTCTTATAGCTCTGTCTGTTCATTTCTGTAACTGTATTGACTGTATGTTATCAAATATTTCAGAAAATCTTCGCTCAGCGAAAATCACGTCTTATCTCAACAAATGATGCTGAAACAATGAGCTGTAACCAAAACACATCACACAGCCTAGCAATCATGACGTCATCACCAAGACGACAACCAATGAAATTATTATCCTATTTCGGAGGTAGAAAGAACTCACATGGAGGTAGGAACCGGGGGGGGGGGGGACGGGGGGCCGTGTCCCCCCAGTAATTTTGCCAATGTATAGAATACTATAGAAAACTTAGCTACTATATGTTTGTGCCCCCTCAATAAAAACGGCTGATGCCCTTTTTTTCTTTTTTTTTTCTTTTGCTTGTCAAGGAATTTTGGTAGTTGATAGTGCCCCCTCAACTGAAAATGTTTGGCTGTGCCCCCCCCCCCCCAACTGAAAATGCTTCCTACGGGCCTGACTCATCCCCCTACCCCATTCTTAGAAAACGTTAATCTTTAAATGTAGTGATAAAAAGCATATACATATACTTTCACGTCTTTAAAAAAAAAAATCCAAGTCGCAAACTGTATCCTCGAATACGCAGTACTTAGTCTGCGCTTAGGAACGACCATTTTGATTGTGGAGGGGGGGGTTATCGCCAACACCCCCCCCCCCCCAACTTCGTCACTTTTGGGTAACTCCGCGCTGTTTGTATACAAATGCGATTGTGACGATTACTGAAAATCTACAATCAAATGCCGAGAAATCATTTCTGTCAAATTCAAGAATGCGTCAAAAATTACACGTGATCTTTTGTATCTATCATATTTTATGTGAAATCAGTAAGCACTTTTTCTCTTTATGCGCTATTCCATCGATACCTTTGACATTTGCGTCAATATGCTCATTTTTACATGTCCGTCATATTTTTGAAGGTCTTAATAGTCAGATAGTCAGCGGTCATACCAATCGAGCTATTCAGGCAATGCCGGTAAAAGAAGGTTTAAATTTTTATATGAACCAGGTTGTCAAAAACAGGTTTCCTTATTTTTAAAAGTTTTTTGTGAATTTCGTCCGCAGGGCAGGAATGTCCTAAAAAATCATGTCTTAAATTATTCATTAGATCACAACCTATCAAAATATTATAATTTTATTTAGGGGCAGACCTACCCTGAAGGACTTCTAGGTCAGAATTCATGCAAAAAATCAGTGCTTTATCGGAGAAAATGCTGTTTTGGAGGTTAATTGAAAAGTTGCAAATGAAAAAAAATTAGGTTCAAAATTCAAGTTTGCAAAATTTAGACATATATAAGGAAGAGTGCAACTAATGAACATTGATTTTAAAAAAATTATGACTTTTTCCGAGAAATTGGTCTCTTCTTGAAATTCCTAATACATCCTTTGTAAAACCCAAGTACCAAAAACTCCTCTGATTTTTGTAATATGGAAATTTTATGCATTGTCCAAGAACTTTCTGAGCTTTGTTATCCAAGAAATTTGTTGCATTTAGGTCTTAAGAAATGAAAAAAAAAAATTAACTTCCTTTTTTTGTGTCGGAAGTATGTCTTTCTTAAGGTCCATCATCCCTCTCTTCACTCACACAAAATTTTGTTTTAATGCTAATGATTTTCAATAAAAGAAATCTAATATTCATAATTAAAATGTACACACTTTCGGTATACCTTGAGGGGTAAAAGAAAGGCTTCTATATAATTGGGGCGCCGACTAGGAGCGGGTTGGGTCTTAGTCTTTACAAATTTCTGTTCCGGTTAAAGACTTCAGGCTTCATTCATATACTAATTCGTTTCTCATGAATTATTTTATTTCAGTATGCAGAGATAGAAGGGACCTTTTTCATAAACATTAACTATATATAGCATGCCAATGTCAACGCATTTTGAGTTTGTGATCTCAAAATGTTTTTTTGATATTTTTTCTTTACTTTTCATTTTACATAATGGTAATGTCGATAGTCTTAACTTTTTTCTTGATGCGTGTTTATTTTACAACACATTTCCGTGGATATATAATAAAAGCATGTCATAAATGTACACAAATTATATAAATGAAATCTAAGGGAGTGCAGATACCGATATATATGTAGTCCTACTGGTTAAAAACTTGAGGTCTGAATTAACATTGAATCAGTATATGTATGTAGTTCTAAATATATTTTATTATAAGCTCAGATAATACAAGCAATACGTATACTTTCCAGTGCAATAACCCATACAAGTAGTAGTAGTACAGACGGAATAAAAGCAATGTAACGCATTGAATTGATTAAATTCTAATTCTTCTATAAAAAGAAACCCATCGCATCTCATTGCAGGCGAGAATAATTCTTGTCCTTGAAGAATGTGTGCTATACTGAGGTATAGCTCCGCTTGACTGTGTTTTAGATACAGTGGAATTTACGATTTACTTTCTCTTTAGTGTCTTTTATATCAAGAATGAATATGCATAAAAGAAAGATAATTGAAGGAAAATACAGAAGTCTATATTGAAAAAAGTCTTTGAAAAGATGAGAATTTAAAACTATAAAAGTGTGGCACCATGTGGATTCGAACCATGACTCTAAAAATGATATTCATTCCGCGGTGTTGAAACTTAGCTATTATACCAATCGATCTATTCTGACTATGAAAATAGCCGTTATAAATGTGAACCAGGTTGTCAAAAACAGGTGTTTTTTAAAAATATTTTTTGTAGTTTTTTTTTGTGAATTTCGACCCTAGGGAAGGGGTGCCCTTTAAAAAATCCTATCTTAAATTATTCTTTACATTACAACCTATCAAAATATCATAATTTTATTTACAGGCAGTCCTATCCTGAAGGACTTAGAACTAGGCCAAAATATAGCAAAAATCGGTGCGTTAACGGGCTAAATGCTGTTTTTGGCCATCTTTGGAGATAATTTTAAAGTTGTAAAAAATAAATTTTAGGTTCAAAAATACAAATTTGAAAAATTTGGACATATATACGGTAGAAAGCAACTAATGAACATTGATTAAGTGTAAAGTTGTTCTTTCCAATAGGTCAGTTCCTTTGAAATTGTGAATACATCCTTTTACACAAATGGCCTTTATCTTGAAATTTTATAAAGAATAATAGACAATTATATCACTGGGAGTTATCTCTCTTAGCTGAGGGTCAATGCATCTTAATCTGTCATCTAAGAAGCATCATATACACGTACCATGTACCGTTTTTTTTTCTGTTTGAATACATGTATTTATAATTGTGATAAAACTTTGTATTAGCAAATAACGAATAGTAATAAAAGGTGTGAATTAATCTGGGACACAATTTACATAGTTAGCATTTGACTTGACTCTCCATTATTACGCAATGCATGATGGTTGGCTATGATAGATGGTGCCAATGCATAATAAAGAGAATGAATTGGGTAAAAAAGGGCACCGCAGAGCGGAGTATTTCCTTCCCAAAACACATCGATCCCGATATAAATTATTACTTCCGAAACTTTCGTTACGCACATACTCACTTACACCTAGTATATCCCCTACTACTTTGTTGCTAGACTAGATAAAAAAAATGTGTCTTGTTTACTGACAACACACAGAGATAACTCTAATGGACAACCCGTTTTTATGGACTGGCATATAGAAGCTGCCTTAAACATGTTCTGTGATTAAAATGAGATGGCGGTGTTTCTGGTGCTGTGACAGTACATATTGTCGTTCTGTCCATATTATCACAGTGTAAAATTCATGGTTTCAGAAAACTTTTTTTTTTTACTTTACTTTTCAATTTCTTGCTTATGTCATATTTTTCATCTCTCACAATATGTTTAACAAAGCTAATTGTTTAATTAACTTTTCACATTTCAGCTTCTTCTCTAGAACTACTTCGGCCAATTTCAACCAAACTTGCCAAAATCATCAGGATAAAAGGGATTCAAGTCAATTTAAATGAAGGATCATGCCCTTTTTCAAGGGAAAATAATGAAGAATTAGTGAAAATTTAAAAATCTTCTTCTCAAGAACCACAGTGTCAGAAAACTGTGTGTTGAAACTTATATAAAAGCTTCATTATAAAGCATAAACTCAATTTTGTTGAGATCATGACCACCGGGTGGGACTACAGTAGGTGATCAAAGTTTTACATAGGAATGTATTAGGAAAAATCTTCCAAAATCTTTTTCTCAAGAACTACTGGGCCAAAAAAGTTGATACTTATGTGAAAGCTTCATTAAATAGTGTACATTCAAGTTTGTTCTAATAATGACCCCAAGGGATAGGGTGGGGCAACAATGGGCGTTCAAAGTTTTACATAGGAATATATATTATACAGAAAATCTATAAAAATCTTCTCAAGAACAGCAAGTCCACGAAAAGTCATGTTTATATGGAAGCATCCTCAGGTAGTATATATTCAAGTTCTTTCAAATCATGGTCCCCGGGTCTAGGTTGGGGCCACGATGGTCTATCAAAGTTTTACATAGGAATATTTGTGGGAAGAGTAGCGGATC